GGATCAGCAGTTAATGTCCTGGTTTGCAGAGGGATGAAAGGCTCCTCATCAGACAAACTGGCAAGCAAATCATCAGATTCTGCATTTTGAGAAGTGAACTGAAACACAGTTTCTTTATGGATTCAGTTTTTGCAGTGAAACCCTGCCATCTGAAACGCTTAGAAATTTGTGACTATCTCAGGTATAAGGTCTGTTAACCATGGGCGAGATTGGATAACTTTTGACTGGTAAAAACTCAGGATGGCTTTTGGCAGAAAAAATCTTTGGACAGAATCTAGCTGTGTCAAAAAAAGGGGGATATAAACCCTTCTTTCAGACAGAAAACACACCTAGCATGTCAGGACACACAAAAAGCACACAGTCCGAGAGAAGGATGCACTGATGTGCTACCTAGCTGTGAGAGCCAACGGAGCCAACATAACTAAAACACACCAGATTTGATAGTATATTTTGAAGCTTAGAGCACAACAAATAGTTATCAATTCTAGCTGCTTAAAGCTGTCTTTAACAAAGAATCACATTACAATCTATCTTTTGATAGAATTCAACATCACATTCTGCTCATTCCACCCACCTGTTTGGTCCAAAGCAGCAAAGACAGTTCTTGGTAGAGGCTTCCTACTTAGTACAGAGTGCATTGAACTGAAAACTTCCGTAGCAAATCCTTAAAGTATTGAACTATTGATTTTAGGAACATAAATGTTAAGAATAATACAATGCATGATATTTCATGATAGCGGGTATAAAGGATGAGAAAGCTTCACGTGACAGGGGTCATCTCCAGTGGGTAATAAGAAAACATTTTTCATGGGTTCTCAAGACCACAGGATGGGCAGTAGCTTTGTACTCTAAAAGGCAAAACACATTCATGGGTGCACTAGTTCAATCTGTCCAGCTACCACTTTGGGGGAAGCAGAGAGGACTTAGAAAAAAATATTGCCACAATGAATGTGTTGCTGTGACACTTCAATCTTCTGGTCCAGATTGTGGATAATGAATTTCAAATTAAAAAAGATTTTCTCTGAGAAAGAGAGATTGAACTCTTTCACCACAGGAGAATCTAATTTTCACTGTCTGATTGTCTAATATGACCCCTGGAATAACAAAACACAAAAACTTCCTGGAGCAGTTCCTGCTTTAGATATATAAACTGTGCTTTAAAGACACTCTGGTTTATATAGACATATGTATATATATAGACATAAACCCAATAGATACCATATAAAAACAATCATCCTTTTAAAGCTTCCAGTGATGGAATAATAATAACAATCCCATCAATCATCACTAATATTAAGAACGTGCATCTGATTTCTGGATTGCAGACGTGCAGCTTCCCTTTCCAGCCACTGATTTTTCTTAACCCTTTCTGTTAGCCTCAGTGACCCTGTATCAAAAATGGCACTTTTCCATGGAGTTATATAAACTATGACCAAGTCATAACCTTCTCTAGAATTACTTCAAAATCCCCCTCAATGAGAACATTTCAGGAATTTTGTAATCATCTATGATCAGCAAAAACACATGTGTTCTTACCATCAGCATGACTGGCACTGACAAGATTATTTCCCAACAACTTTTTAAGTCTATCCAAATGCATACATACATGCAAGTCCTCCTGTGTATATCTGTTCATTGTATAACACTGCTTCCAGATCTTTTTGAGTGTAGAGTTTCTGATGTGCGAAAACCAGCATGTGTAACTAAAAAACAAAGTTATATGAACATAAGTCTTTCACTGTTTCTCAGATAAGGTATCTCAGAACACTAAATACAAGATCCAGTTGTCAAAGACATCATAGAAGTTTGTCTAACACTCTGGAAGACTTTGCAACTGAAAATAAAGGATAAAACTCATGAAAAATTATATAAGAACTCTCATTTTTAAGCAAAACTGGATGAGTGGGGTAACAAGAATCTTAGGAAGTTCAACCAGGACAAGCATAAGGTCTTGGACCTGCGAAAACATAGCCCAGGAGTGCAGCACAGGCTGGGATCTACCTGGCTGGGGAGCAGCTCTGTGGAAAGGGACTTGAGGGCTCCAGGGGACAAGCAGCTCAACTTGAGTGAAGAGTGTGCTGCAGTGGCAAAGCCAACAGGATGCTGGGCTGAATCAACGAGGGCTTCACCAGCAGAGATAAAGAACTCATTATCCCACTTTACTCAGCATTTGTCAGGCCACACCTGGAATGTTGTGTTCAGTTTTGGTGCCCTCTATACAAAAAAGATGTGGACAGGCTGGAGAGGGTCCAGAGGAGGGTCACAAAGATAATCAAGGGGCTGGAAAGCCTGCCATGTGAAGAGAGGCTGAGAGAATTGGATTTCTTCAGCCGTGAGAAGACAAGGCTTAGGGAAGACCTTATCACCATGTTCCAGTATTGAAAGGGTGGCTACGAAGAAGATGAGACGCCCTTTTTACAAGGAGTGACATGGAAAAGATGAGGGGGAATGTATACAAGTTACTCCTGGGGAGATTCCAATCGTACATCAGAGGAAAATTTTTCACAATGAGAACAATCGGCCACTGGAATGATCTCCTCAGGGAAGTGGTGGATTCCTCAACATTGCCAACTTTTAAGATTCAGCTGGATAGGGTGCTGGGCCATCTTGTCTAGACCGTGCTGCTGCCAAGAAAGGTTGGGCCAGATGACCCTTGAGGTCCCTTCCAGCCTGGTATTCTGTGATTCTGTGAAGTTCTAGGGACCCAAAATCCAGTGACCAACCATTAGACAGTTATTCCTTAAAATTCTGGATCTCAGTTAAAAAGAGAGGTTTCTACACAAAATACACAGGAACAAATGAGGCTTAAAGGTCTATTATGCACACAAGAACATGATTTGCTAAATCTTATTTGAACAAGTTACTCCCTGATTTTCAAAACTGAGTTGCAAACTTCTTCCCATCAAGCACAGAAAGCCTTTTCGAAGCTATGCAGACTTCTGTGAGATGACTATTGTGTACTGGGAATCTGTAGTGTTTTGTGCAAGCAGGATATGTGTGATTTCAAAAGACTCATTTAATTACAAACCACTATTTGCTTGTACACTGTTCTGTGAAACAAAAAATTCATTCCATTTAACATCATGTACATAAAGACAGATACAGCTTGGTAACCTTTACAGAACCAATTATGTATGTGTGTGTTAAAATTAACAAGAGTTTTCAGTTTAGTTTTTCATTTTCTTTAATGTGATACACTACAGAATTTTGAACTGTGAAACAAATACATTCCTGATTATTTTGTGTCTGGAAGATCTAAAGGTGTGGAATAGCACCACATGGTACTTTTGAGGAACTATATGGATTTTAAATTTTGTTCTCCCCATAAATTTTCTCTGTGTTTGAACCAAATTCTATTACTAAGGTCATAGGAATGCTACTGGTTAATATAGTAAATATCATGCTGGTAAAATAACACTTTTTGAATTTTTATACAAATATTCTCAGAACATAAATTGATGCTGCCTCTGCAGAAGCACAACTTTTTTGCACTGCACAAAACCAAAACATGTTGGCTACTTCTAAAATTGAAATAAGCTTGCTCGCTATGGATGAAATGTAACCACAGTCACAGGAATAGCACAAAACTGATTTTATGGACATAAATCAGACTTTTATTCTTATGTGGTACTTTCACTTACAGCAATTAAGGTGAATTTCATGTTTTAAGAACAATTATTGGCCCTATGACAGCAATGGAAATGTATCTACTTTAATTATGCATCATTTCCATCAATCTTCTCCTTATAAAATAAGGTATCCAACAGACAACTTACATGATTTCTATACAAAAAGAGAAGCAAAAAGCTTAATTGTATTCTTTCGGAACTGTTACAACTACATGTACATTAAAATGTTCCAGGAAAATACCAAATGAATGTTTTCTGCTTGAAACTAAGCAATTTATCCTCACAGTCTTATGTCAGGACTCGGCAGGAGCTTCAGATCAGAAGCAAGCACTTGGTATTTGATGGCTGAAGTAAACATGTACCTTTATGTCAGATATACAGATAATGAAGCAAATGGAGCACATCTCCCATAAACTCACAAGTTTGCAGAATCTGAGGCCTACTTTGGAAGCAGTCTCTCAATTATCCTTTCTGCATCCTTACACTCCCTTTAAAGAAGCAGCTGTAGGGATCACTTAATCTGCTCATTCTATGCACACGTGCTTCAGGACTTGTCATATGCTGTATGAACACCTAGGCATTTCTACTTTAAAAACTCTGCAGTAGATGCTTAATTAGAAGAAATCAATTTGTATTTGCCTGCAGAAATGTAGACAGCTATAATTATTATATACAACCTATTATAATACATCAAAGAAGCTGGCACACAACTGAGCTCATAAATTGATCAGTTGACAGAGGCAATCAGGGTAACTTTCAAGGAACTGAAAGAACATTTTAAAAAAGTTGTATTTTTCATAGTCGTTTCTGATGTTAGCGTCTTTGTTTCTGTGCAAATGAGACAATCGTTTAATACATACACAAAAGCTGTTTTTTTTTTAATTAAACTCACATGTACCACAGACACTTATGAAGGAAGCATTCAGTTTCCTAATCACAGCGGTTTTATGTAGTCAAATAACTTTTAAAGTGACTTGGACAACGTACGTTCTCAAAAAAAAAAAAAAAGGTTAAAGTGGAGAGAGGCTGAGCATTGTCCCTCCAGCCCAGCCCGCAGACGGGCACAGCGCTCCCCGGCCGGGCCGGCCTCCCTCAGCACCCCGCGCCCGACGGGGCCCTGAGGAGCCGAGCCCGGCGCGGCGGGGAAGCACCGCGGGGGCCCGGCGGCGACCCGCCTCCTCCTGCCGCAGCCGAAGGGCTTCCCCGGGGTACCCCGGCCCGGCGCCCGCCGTGCCGTGGGCGCTGAGGGCACGGAGTCACCTGCAGCACCCCTGCCGCCCGCCGCCATCCCGCCTCCGCTCCGCCTCACTGCGCATGCGCCGCGTCCGCTTCCCCCCCCTTCCTCTCTCCTCCTCTTCCTCTCGCTCTGGCAACAGTTCCCGCGCCGGGCGGTGGCGCTTGCGCAGCCGCGGTCAACCGCTTTCCCCCGAAGCTTCGTGAAGATTCCGGCCGGCTCTTTCCGCTGAGGGAGTGCTCCGCACCGCGGCTCTGCCCGGCTGCCGCTTCCCGCTCCGCCGGGCTCCCTTCTCCCGAGCTGGGAGGTGGGGGGGGCGGTAAGGAAGCGCCTCCGGCCGCTCCTCCGCCATGTCGCTTCTGTGCTACAACCGCGGCTGTGGTCAGCGCTTCGACCCCGAAACCAATAGGGAGGGTGAGAGCGGCGGGGGAGCGCGGCGGGGAGGGAAGGGTGGCGGCGGGTTGCCTTTCCTTCTTGCTTCCCTCCCCACCACCCCCCGAGCAGCTTTCGGTTTGGGGGATGGGAGGGAGGGCCTCTCGGAGGGATTACGAGGGGTCTGAGGGGCGGTCTGAGGCACCCGGTGTGCCCGCCACGGTCTGTGTCCTTCCCGGTTGCTGGAGCCGCGGCGCGGAGCTGTCCCGCGGGCCTGGGGCCGGTCAGCACCGAGGGCGGGGAGAGCCCGGGGCTGCGGCCGCCCGCCTCTCACTGCAGGGCCCGGGCCCGGGCTCGCTTCTCCCCGCGGAAACCCGCGTTTTCGGGCGGGCCTGGCGTGGGGAGGCGAGGCTGCAGGTTGCTCCGTTACGGGCTGGGCGGCAGCGGGACCTGCCCGGCCGGGAAGTTTAACGCGGAAGCGCCGGGCTGGCAGCGAGCCTGCCTCTGGGGTCCTTCGGTGGTAACAGAGCTGTTCACAGCAGGATGAGGGAAAAGAGGCAGTGAGATGCAGTTCTGTACATTACTGTCATGTGTTCTAAAGGTAGAAACTGGAGGCCTTGCACAACAGACGTTTTTCTTTTGAGGGCCTCAGTGGCTGTTGCATACATAGCAGTTATCAGCTACTTTTTTTTTTATTAATTGTAGTACGTGGACTTGCAGCAGGTAATTAAATGTACCTTATGATACGCATATGTCTGCTTTGTCAAGTGCTGTGAGTTCTTGCAGTGCTTCCCCTATGTATACTGGGAGTGCAGTACCTGGTGAAACATCTTTAAAGCGCTATCACTTTACGTTTCATAGTTCCTGCAAAAGGGTGATCAGAGTTTTCAGTAGGTTTGCCTTCAACTACTTTGTAAAGTAACTCTTTTGGCTGAATTTCTATAATGGCCTCCTTGCATTAGCTTAATTTTTAGCGACCCACAAGATTAGAAGTAAGCTAACATGTTCTAGCATGTGCATACTCTGTGATTAAGAACCATGGCCTAAGTGTGTTTATTTTTCTGACCTAACTATTTCCAAAGAGAGGGGCAGCATTTTGTGTAAGAGTCACTAATGTTAGTAACAAGAAAAGCAGGCACAGTTGTGGAATGGCTTCATTTAGTGATCTTTCCCACCAGCATCCCATGTGCCCCAAAAGACAAAGCAGATCTGGGGTTTTATACTAAAAATTCTCCCTGGGGCTTCATGACCTGTACTTGTTATTAAAATAACAGTTCTTTACCATGTGTTCCTGTGGTTATGATCGAGTTGTAGTAGACTCAATCTGGTTGGCATGGCCCTATGCTAACTGTGTGGTGCTTGGATCGGGGAAAATAATTTCTGGAGATGAAGTTTATTTTGGTAAGTGACTGGAACACTTACTGGAATTACCATGTCCTAGACTAAGCAGTTCTAAAGGTAAACGCAATTATTCACAGACCACTTCAGAAAATCAAGTTTCACATTTTCTGTGGAAGTAGAGTGATTATAACTTTTGGCATCCCTAAACTTCATCAGGGTCAGTGGGATGATAACTACTTAAGCATCTAAGTCCACATTTAGCTGTGTATGGCTGTCAAATTCAAATGTTTGGTTATGTTTTGGAAGTGTGTTTGGATTTACCTCTAAAATATTGTGGGGATTAAGGCTAGTACATTTGCTAAACAAACACCAAAATACTTATCCTTTAATAAATTTTTCATTGACATAATCTGATAGTTAAGCTGAGGATAAATATATTATTAGGAAGATTTTGTAAATGAAAATAGGTAGAAAATGAGGCCTTCTGGCCCCAAAGCAGTTTTGGATCTTTCAGGTTTTTTGTCCACATTCAGCCTGCAGTATATTCCCATAGTGATGATTGATGTAAGAGGCCATTAATCTTCTCTTCAGAATCTGATGGCTGAAATAATATATGCATGTATTTTCTGTAGAAACCCTCATTGTTTCCAAAAAATGAGCAAGTGGCAACTGGCTGACATGAAGGACTGTATGCCTCTTAAAGAGAGGCAGAAAAAACAGCCTGAGAGAAAGCATTAAAGGTATGTCTACACAGTTGTGACTGAGTGCACAGTTATGAATTGATCTGTGGCATGCCTGGCAAGGTACAAATTTCACATGCATTTTAGATATGTTAACTACTAGTTAATTCATACTGTACAGAATCTGACACAGAAGGTAGAGCTTAACTTCAAAACTGGTAGTAGGTATTTTTTTTTGTTTTTGTTTTTGTTTTTTTTTAACCTGTGAATGACCATATGAATATTTCTAATCCATTAAAAGGCCAGGTCGAATTTTGTCACTAAATCTGTGGTATGAGGTAGTACATGCACACTTGGCACATTTTGAAAGCAGTGCTGCTTAATGATAGTTGAAAAGATGGCGTGCAAAACCAGACTGAAATTTTATGTTGTATGTGTTTGTCTTGATTTCTTTACTGTACTGCAACATTTTTTTTATTTGGATTATAATTTGGATCTTTCTTAATGCAATTTAATTTGGTCCATTGCCAGCACAGAAGCACATACTCTTTTGTGTTTGTTTATACCCTTTTTCCTTAGATCAAACTTGATGATGTTGCACCCGCAGGATAAATGTGGTCACAGAGCTGTTGAAATTTTACTTTATGTATTTCTGAGGTGGTGTGAGATGTGTAGTCAAAAAAATGATAGGTTAGATTTTTGGAGTCTGTCTGCCCAGAGTCAGTTTTCTTTAACCCTGTCTGGTCCCCACAGTCCAAACTCTGTTCCCATAAAATGCACCCCCTGATTCTCTGTCTTCCTTGCGGCTATCTGTTTCTCAGGCTTAGCCTTTCTTCTCTCTGTGAACTGTTTATAAGCTCTTGCCATACCATGTTTGTCCTCTTCTCTGTTTTTTTTCCAACACTGTGAGAAATTCAGTGGAATTAGCTTCCTAGCTTCAGGAAGAACTTGAAAGCATCAACTTCTTCAAGGTGCTGAATGAAGTTTATCAGGTTTAATGACCTTCTGTTGCTTTGAGGCTGTAAAGCATAGTTGGTGAAGTATTGCGAAGTTTTTCCACAGGATAGCAGGTTGGTTTGCAAGTTGTATGTAGACAGATATTTTATCCTCAAGAATTCAACAGGATTTAATTGTAAAAATAAGTTTGGGTGACCCGTACCATTTTCTACTATGATATTTAACAAAAAGACTAATAAAATGCTTCAATGAGTCAGCAAGGATGTAGCAGTAAGGTAACAGCAGACAGCAGTGTGTGCATTGTCAGAGTGGGATTCATTTAGAAATTAAATCATAATTTAAAAATAAGTTAATAGATATAAACCAACTAAAAATTTATTATACTTGCATTTCCAAAAATTATCTGTCGGTGAGAGAAAATGGCTTGCTTTGAAAAACCTTATGTTTTTCCATGTTAAGGAAAGCTATTAACAGCAGTAGGGAAGTAACTTGATTTTTTTGCAGTGAAAAACATAGAATATCAACCAAAGGCTGGAATCTGAACTCAGAAAAATCAGAAATAGAACATGCTTTTAACTACTAAATTGACTATCAGTGTATTCTAAATTCTCATTTTTCCCCACTTATTCTGAGATGGGATACTTTTAGGGATGTAAACTTTACTCGGACAAGAGTTGCTGGACTCCATATGAGTAGAAGCAAGTTGGTGTTTTCCTGTCCCCTGGTCAGACTGCTTAGTGGATAAGTCCCACTGCCTCTGCTTGAGGCATTGCAGAGTTCCTTGTCTCAGCACCTTCTGTTGTGGGACACGCGTGGCCTGTGAGACAGCAGCAAAGTGGGCTGTCATTTGCTCCATTATGTACCTCCTGCAGAGATCAGGGAGCAAGGAAAGAGCCTTGGCCTTGGCCAGATGGACAAATAGATGATTGTGTCTGACTTGTGAGCTGGAGGATAGCCACCCCTGAGTTCATTGATCATAGGATGGTTTTGGTCTCTAAAAATGCTGTACTGATTAACAGCACCTCTCTCCTTTAAACCCACATGCTTGTGAGGGATTAGAAATACTCATTTAAGTCTTCTAATTGAGAAATAATCTTTGCTGCAGAGCTTAGTTTTACTACCACGATGCTTCTGATGACATACTTTAATACTTTTGGAAAAGAATAACCTATTTTTCTTTGATTTAGCAGTGAAGTTCTAGGCTCTTTATACAAAGTAATCACATTTTTTAAAATTTTCCTGTGCGGTTTACCAGCATTACCTTTACATACCAAAGCTTAAGGAATTGGTGGAAGTTCACAGATCTGTTTCTAAATCCTGCTGAAGGACTAATGTCTCAAAATATGTGCCTTTTGAATTAAGGTGGGAACTAATGTCTGTCAGACTGTATTAGTGCCTTAGACTTAGGCACTGAATATAAAATGAAAGAAAATTATACTAATCAAGATTTCTTAAAAATTACGTATTTATAAAAAATAAAAACAAAATTTATGGGGTTTTTCTTGTCTGTGTAATATCTGTACACAGATCACTAAAAGTTATTTATCACTTTTTTTTCTTTTGCTTCCTATTATGTGCATTGTGATATTTTTCACTCTTCTGTTTTATGGAGGCTTATTATAAAAATTGCTACTGTTTGTGTCACTCTTTATCCATTTCTAACAACAAAAATTTTGCTTTAGAGGCTAAAAGATAGCTAATGTTGCCCATTGATTTTAGAGTCGGGTAATTAAAATATTATCCATGCAGTATATGTCAAAGATATAATATAATGTGTAGATCAGAGCAATTATTTGAAAAAAATACATATTTTAAGTAAAAAGGAACAGTTGCTACATAAAAAGCTGTAATGTTGATAAATATCTAAGAATTTAAACAGCTCTGTTAATGCAAATTGTGTTTCAATGTAGTGTTTGTACAGAACCTATTAATAGTATTGGCATGTCTAAATTGTGTATGTGGACAACTAGCATGACCAAGGGTACTGCAAACATTGAAAACAGAACCAGCTAATTATCATGGCTAAAATATTGAACTCAAGACTTGTGTTAGGAGAATTTTTTAAGAGTGTTTCTAAGTAGAAAGCCCTAATCAGGTGCAAATAGATGTATTTGATGCTGTAAGCCGGTATTTTGTGTCTGTTGTGTGGCTTAGGGCTGCCTTTTTACTTCTGTTGAATTACCAGTAAGGACTGGTTATTGATGAAGGCAGGGGGTGGTCTGTAGAAAGTTTACTTGTTCCATATGGAAGCACAAGTTTGTCTTACATGCCTGCTTTCTGGTTTGTGTTGTATAGTATGGAAGAAAAAAAAAAACTTGATTATTTAGGCTTAATATAGGGACTCAGAAAACTTGTTCTATGGAGTCTGTATTTTCCTTCATAATTGTGCCCACTTAGGGAAGTGGGACATCTCATGGCATACATGAATTACAAGTGTGACATTTTTGCTGGATTTGTGATCAGATGAATAAAGATTCTTGGTATGCCTGAATATTAATAATTGTAATTTCCTTCTAGATTCATGCACATATCATCCAGGTGTGCCAGTCTTTCATGATGCCCTCAAAGTAAGTATGCAACTGTCCTAAATCTCATCTTTTTTATCATATATGTAAAACAGTATGCTTGTTTTCCTTTTTAATTCCGGGTCTTTCAGTGATGTTCAGCCTGTCATGTTTGAACACCCCATGAAATTAGAAAAGCACACTTACTCACACCTGAAGAAAAAATTAAAAACTGTACTCATATATGGTCTAAATGCCATGCAAGTCTGTGTGACCGGTGTTTCCTATTGATTGACTTCAGGTGTCTCAACAGTTTAATTGGGTCCTCTAAATAGGTCTTTGGAGTCATTAAGAGATGTCATATTCTTTCAGTTAATTAACCTGCTTGGAATTCAAACCAGCTGCTTGTGGTCTCATGTGGCTAGATCACTAATGTGTAAGTGACCTTTGCTTACTGTAAAAAATAATTGTGTCCTGTTAATTGACCAAGTGAGGATGTTGGTTAAGTTGGGACTGGCCACCTATGCCTCTGATGCAGCTGTCCAGGAATCTTGGGCTACATTTTCAGTGGTGAATTAAATACACCTGTGACTGGTCTCTAGTGCTTCGGCCAACTGCATAGCCCATATTCGTTATATTAAACTGGTCTTCCACTTGAAGATCTACTGGATGCATCTGAAGTGCCAGCATGGAATTATTTAGACACAACTGCCAAAGCGGTACTGGAAATCGTTCTAACAGTTGTGCATGGCCAGAAATCTGGAGTTCAGAAATGGAGCCAGACACTGTTTACTGTATTCATTCAGACATAGCCTAAGTGACCTTTCTTAGGACATAAAGATGCTATTTAACTAAGCTTTGGGGCAAACATTTTCTCCTGGTGTTTAAGAACTGCTTCTACCGGCATTGTGTCTCATCCCTGCCCCATAATGTGGTGTCTTTTGGGCTCATGGAAGCTTGTGCATAGGTGCTGGGTAGCGTGTTTTCTGTGAGCTATTGCTCATCCTGCAGTACGTGACTCTGGAACCAGCCGTTGTGTGCCACTGGCAAATTGGTACAGATACTATTACATCAAATACAATACAGTTACTTAGACTATGGCAATTTGTTTTGTACAAAATTATGGTTGTACTCATAACACAGTACATAAAAACTTCTGCCTAATTATAAAGACAGAAATTACAGTGTTACCTCAAAAGCTTGAGTTTACTCCCTCTTTCTCTTACATACACACTGTTTTTAAAACAAGTACTGCTTTCTCCCCTCTCCTTATCCTATCTCTTGGCCTAATTAAAAATATATCTTAATATTGTATGAGCAGTTTTCTTCCTGATATGAATTCTAGATATTCTATGTAGGCAGGGTAAACCTTTTGTCTCCTCAACTGTGGAAATGGTTAATATTTTGAGGATATTTTAGAATGACCTACATAAGGTCCATTGTGTCACACTGCTTAAGCTCTTAAAGTGGTCATGCATTTATTAGTCAAACTGTTGCCTTTAATACGATTCTTTGAGTTCTAAGATACATTATTCACAGTGGCAAGATAATTTTCTCTAAAATTGGATTTCTGGTTTATATAATAAAAAGTGCTCTTGATCGATGTAGTTGGATAGATGGCTATGCAATGCAGATATCCAGCTTTATGGTGGGAAATAAATAGTTGAAAGACTTGACTAATGCTCAAGGAAAGAAAAAAATCCTCATCATTTTAGGAAGGGGGCACATACATTCTACCACAGGTCAGCCTAGTCTCAGGTATAGTATTTGTTTTGCTTATGTGTTACTTTGAGATAAAGTAATGTTTCTGTTTTCTGTCATACGGACTTGGCACCTAACTTGTCATGGAAATACTGCCTCATGTTTACCGAACTTTCTGATTAAAGCAGCATGAGTGAACTAGAAATGGCATCTGTAACAGGTTTCTCTGGCTTTTCAAAATGCAGATGATAATATTTTTCAAAGAAGGGAAGAAAATAATCTCTAATTGTGATGTGCCACATCTTGTAAAGGAATATAATTAGTCTTTTGCTTTTTTATAAGCTGTTGCCAAGTTAGGTAATCATGCTTGTTTTGTTTTTATTCCAAAATGTTTATAGGGTTGGTCATGTTGTAAGAGAAGAACAACAGACTTTTCTGACTTCTTAAGCATTGTGGTATGTACTCATGATTATTTACAATTTTTATACTTGTCAAATGGCACTGATAAATATTAAATGGTACATGTGCTTACATGTTTAAAATTTGCTTACTTTTAATAAAACTGTCTTAAATCTTGTATGCACTATTTTTCTTGATACAATGTTGAAGTCTCATTTTCAAGCTTTAATGGTTATAAATAGTTCTATTGAAACCTGTTTATACACTTGTTAACAATGAAGGGAAGGTCAATATTTTTGGTCACTTTGCTTGATTATGGAAAATACATATTTTTCTTTAACTTATGTCCAAATTAAGATATTTTCCACTTTGTTTGTAGCATTTCCTTTGCAGACAGTGTTTACAGTGGGCTAAAAGAGAAGATGGGGCTGAAGAAATAAATCAAGAAAACTTGCTGAAGTTTTTGATAATGTTTAATTGTGCACACACACACTGTTTTGCCAATTGACGGGGTTAACACAAAGGACACAGACACCAAGCTAAAGAAATAGGCTTATTTTACTTTAGTAGAAATAGAAATTTTACTATAGTAGAAATAGCAGAAAGAATAAGCAAGGTAATGCACCTAGACATTACTATTAAAAGCTAGCTATAGTGATTAAGAAAGATACATCACCAATTGCCCTCATACATTACCATCATCCAGACCCGTGCATCAGCTGGGGAGCCCCGTCACAGCGAAGGGTCGGAGAGCCTTTCCCGGCAACTGGGAAGTCCTACACAGTGCGTCCACTCGTAGGTGAGGTCTCCGTCTTTGCTGTGAGAGGGTCCAGCTTTTATACAGTTTAACAAACAAGTCTAAACAAAATGCACAGGAGATATCTGGTAGATTGATATGCCTCACTCAGGCATGTCCGGATCTGGCCAGGATCCGGGCATGTCTGAGGAGTTTCTGTTTTTCTTTACATTTGGGATTTATAGTTACTTCCTATTGTTTACTTATAGTTCCCAAGGATTGTTCCCAGGGTTACATTTTCATGCTGATAAGATACTGGTTGCTTCAGTCTGCTGATAAGATGCTGATTGCTGGTCGGGGAATTCACTCAGAAGTCAACTTTGGTTTGAGGCCTATTGTTTGGGCCCCTTTTTGTTTCACACACACACACACACACACACACACACACACACTACGCTGCATATATATAAACATATGCTTTCCACAATAGGGCTGCACAAAAGGCCTCCATAACAGTGAGAAACCTCCTGAGCCTGTTAAACCAGAAGTCAAAACTACCTCTGAACGAAAGGAGCTAGCTGAACTGAAACCCAAATTTCAAGAACACATAATTCAGGCACCAAAACCGTTGGAAACAATTAAAAGGCCGAGGTACAGTATATGAAACTAAATTTTGCCAAATTTGCGATCAGTTGGCTGAGTTAAAGCTCATTTGGTTATTCGGTGTTATATACTTTATATAGTGTAAAAATTCTCAAATTCACTTTAAAAGAGATTGTGTTTGGTAGTAGTGAAGGTGTTATTTTGAGCTTCAAAGTGAGATAAAAGAATTCTGGTTAGGACAGGGTAATACTGGATCTCTCAGCATTTAGTTTAGCAGGAAACAAAAATTGCAGTCTAAAGCCTCGTAGCTTAGAATGCCACTGGCAGTTATGTTTAGTGTTTTAAACAGTCATAAAAAATAATTTTAGGGTGCTTGCATTTAGATTCTTTAATGTCTCTGATTTATTTTTATTATTGTATTTAGTATTTTCTGTTGAAAGCCAAGACTGCATTCTAAATTTCTAGTCTATTTTCCCATAAACAGTAAGAATTGACATTTACAAATCTAGTTTATTTGTTGTAATGGAGGTTGGAAAGGAAGAGCCTTATAGCAAGATTAAAAGTTAGTACTTTGTTGTCTTTTGTAAATTATTTTTCATGAAGCTGACATGAATACATGGATTTTTTTTTTTAGCCCAGATGAGCCAATGACAAATTTGCAGCTGAAAGTGTCAGCTTCCTTGAAGCAAGCACTAGATAAACTGAAACTGTCATCAGAAAACGAAGAGAAAAAAGGTAACGCCATAGGGAGGTTAAGTAGGTTAGGTGTATGATGCTAATTGTCACAAAAATAAATGCTATTTTTTGTTGTTGTCTGCTGAAGAGATTATTTCATGTGATTATGTTCTTGTTCTTAATAATCTGGGAAACACCTTCCAGTCAAGGGAACTATAATCAAAGTTTAAACGTGAACACTGTGGAGACTTGGGTGTTAGGAGCAGTATGTTGCCATTAAAATTATTTGAACTGTCTGTTTTATAAGATTTCCTGGTTTGAATGGACATGATAGGGACATCCATTTCTGAATATATGACTGAAAGAGTTCCCAAGAAATTAACTACTCTTATGATACTGCAAACACGATGTCATATAAAACCTTTCATAAAGTGGTAAAATTTCTCTGAAGACTATTTGGTTCTCCCTCGTCTTTTTGTTCATTTTTTTTCTTCCCACAGTTTGGAAGTTGTTTCCAGAACTACACTGCTCCTTAAGGAACACTTCCTAATTTCAACCTACATTTGTGGCTATTTTATACTCTTTTGTTCTTGTGCCAAAACTGCCATTTACCTCTTCTTTCTACTTGGTATGCAAATTCCTTCCTTGTGTGTATTTATAGACATCAGTTGGAGCCTTTTACCTTCTTAATTTTACAAAACAAAACAAGACAATTGTTCTCTTCACCTATGATTTTAATAATCCTCTTCATATTTTTTTTTTTTTTGCCACACTTAAAACAGTATAAAGGTATAGAACCTCGAATCTGATGCATAGGTAATAAATACATCTTTTGGAATATTTGCATAATTTCTGTTTCTTTGTATCTTTCTGGCAGACTTCACTGCCATGCAGAAAATAAACAGCTTGAGAGTTTGTTTTTTTTTTTTTCTAATCTATTACTTAGCTTGTTTTAATTTTTAATGAAAGCAAAATATTTAGTACATTATACAGTTCAGTTGCTATTTTCTATATGATTCTGCTTACAGAGGAAGACAGTGATGAAATCAAGATTGGGACGGCATGTAAAAATGCAGGCTGTTCAAAAGTAAGTGCTTCAGTTCCACTCTTAAACCCGTCTGCTAAAGGATTGTGTGCAGTTTTGTTATCTTTTCCTGTGTGTTTTTTTTCTTTTGCTACAAATTGATTTGGAAATGACACAAAGTCCATCAGGTTTAATGAATGCACATTTGATAATACACTTTAAGTATGGACAGATGTGGGCTGTCTTGTACTGTGCATGCAGTAAGTCTAAAATTACTTCAAGCCTGTCCTGAACATCTAATTAGTAAGCTTGCCAAACCCATGATACTGATGTATTTAACTTAAAAGGGTAAATATAGTGTTGGTAAGAGGTGGCTTACTGGTAACACTTGAATTGCTCTTGATAATCTGTGTATAGGTCAAAAGCATCTGCAGGTCTTATCAGTTAATGCTTCCTGCCAGAAGAATCCACAAAGAAAATGTTCTAACACTTCTAGCACCAGAAGTAGTCTTTATGATACATAGTCAGCATTTTAAATGAAAGTTTTTTTACACAGATACCCTTGCGTTGTACAGAACGGGACAGTAGAATTTAAATAGGTATTTCACTGGTGTTGTGGTTTGATCTCAGAGGGTAACTGTGCACCACACAGCTGCTCGCTCCTCCCCTGCCCCCTCAGTGCTGAGGAGCAAAGAAGTAAAGTCTTTGAATTTGAGATAGGACAGGGAGGGATGAATCACCCGTTACGGTCATGGGCAAAAGACAGACTCGTTAAGGGAAGAAAAAAAGAACATAAATTTATTATATACACTGACAACAACAACACTTAACAGAGAAGCATTACCACATCTTGAAAACATCTTCCCACTACCTGTCCTTCTTCCTGGGTTCAGCTCTGCTCCTGATATCTCTGCCTCCTTCCCCCAGCAGCACAGGGGACAGGGAATAGGGGGTGCAGTCATGCTGCCACTTCTTCCATCTTTGGGGTGGAGGTGGAACTTCTGCAGCTTCTTTCCCCTTCTCCGGCATGGTCCGCCTCTCACAGGATACAGTCCTCCACAACTTTTCTCCAACTTAAGTCCCTCCCATGGGCTGCAGCCCTTCCCAAGCTGCTCCAGCATGGGACACCCCGACGTGCTGCAATCCTCCCAGCGCTGACTTACAACAGTGCGGGCTGCTGCTTCCCACAGGATCCCAGCTGACTTAGGGCCCAGCCACCTTAAATGTCATGTGGGGCCTCCCACAGACCATATATCAGTGTCTGCTCCACCGTAGATCTCCATGGGTGGCGGGGGGGGGCCCGCCCTGCCATCTCACCACAGGACACAGGGGGGTCTCTGCTCCGGCACACCTCCCCCCTCTTTTCTTCTTCTGTTCCTCCAATGACCTTGGTGTTCATGCAGCTGCCGCAACTCTTCCTCACCAGTCCCCCTGCTCGTCACCACGTCCCTTCTTAAATACGTTATCGCAGAGGCGCAGCTGATCGGCTCAGTTTTGGTGCAGAGGTGGAGCTGACTTGGAGCTGGGGGAGCTCCGAGAAGCTTCTCACAGGGGGGCGCCCCTATAGCCCCCTTCCCTGCCACCAAAAATCCATCACTCACTCAAACCCAGGACAAATATCTGCGTTTTCTGCTGAGACTCTGGTGGATGAAGAACTTAGAGCAGTGTCTTATTTGTGTTAGGAAGAACTGATCAGATATTCAGTGGCAGGATTGTATATAGTTTAACTTCTTTTTGAGAAATCATGTGGTTTATGAAAGATAAATTTTATTTATTTTCCACTTAAATACTTGTTTTCTCTGAATATTCAGAGTATTTTTAAAGACGGCTATCTCTGAGGATCTAAATTGACCTTTATGAGCACAGATGATGTCACCATTGATGTGTGCCATTGAACTAACACAGAATATAGCTTGTTAGGAATGCAGGGGAACCTTCAGGGAGTGATGGTTGAATGGTTACATTGAAAAGCTAGGGCAAGCCATTAGATCTAGATTATTTACTCAAAATTTTTTTGGATTTTTCTCAGTGTTTCTGTTTTGGGTTGTTTTGTTTTATTCCTTTGGTCCACAACCTATATCACTAATACGCTTTGTTTAAATGCTTTGTTTACTAGACATATGAAGGACCACACAGCACAGAAGATGTATGTATATACCATTCTGGTGTACCTATATTCCATGAAGGGTTAGTATTCTGTTACCTTTATTTTTTTTAATTAGTCTATTGTATGTTCCTGCTTTCTTTGTGAATGTTGTGTTGTTTTCATTCTGTATTTCTTCTTCAGTCAAAAATGGAAATGCTTGAAGAAGGTATACTAAATTAATAGTAGTATCTCATAAAAGAAAGATCTTACGTATTCACAGTAAACAGTGCCCTCAATATTGTTGTTAATTACTTTTCAAACTTTCAAGGATGAAGTATTGGAGCTGCTGTAAAAGAAAAACATCTGACTTCAATACATTTTTAGCTCAAGAAGGCTGCACAACCGGAACACACATATGGACTAAAAAGGATGCGGTAAGTAGCATTAACGTTTCATTCTGTAGCTGGCCATTCTAAATTTTGAATACTGAAATGTAGTTAGTAGCTTGATTGAGTTATTACTGTAGTTGAGCTGTTAGAGCACTACATCTGAAATAATGTGGAGGATGTTATGCACAGCATGACAACAGAGGAATGGAGTTTGAAGTAAACTGTGGTAGAAGTATACTTATAATAGAGTACAACCTTTCTTTTAGTGATATGTATAGTATCATTATAGTAAAAGTGGTTTTTGAAAATTCAGGAAAAAAAAAGCAATCTTTTCTGCTTTGTTAGTTAAGAAAGTCAGTAGTATTCCATATAGAATATAATCCATATGTATTACCTTAAAATAAGATTATTAGAAGTCTTTCCTCTCCCAAAGACCATGAAGAGAGCAGCTGCACATGTTCTGTAGCAAAATAACCGTAATTCCAGTTTCATTCAGTGTAGTTGAGTAGTTGTTTAGGCAGGGATGGCAGGGTGGATAAGGTCAATGAGATTCCATGGGTGGGGGTGCAGGAAAAAAGGGTCTCTTCCTGTCTAATTAGGATTCTGTTTACATGCCTGGATATTTTTCTGGTCTGAATCTAATTGAGTGCTTTGGTTTAGCTACCAGTATAACAAATACAGAGAGAGCATCTGTTGAGTTTGTAGGTATTTCATTGTAATGTTGGGAACAAACTGCAGAATTACAGGGTGAAAAATACCTCCATTTAAGGTTTAAAAAGATCCTTAGAGAACACTATAAAGCATAATAATGGAACTGAACAATTACTTCAAAAACATTATTGGTCACGTGTTAGATGCAGATGAACACAGAATTATTGTTATGAATATATTGTCTGTTGCTGAGGCAAAATGGGTTTGATACTGCAAACATCAGTAACATTTATCAGGAGAAAATACAGGCATATTACAGAAAGTGTAGCTCTTAGCTCAATTCTGCAACAATTACTTCACAAGTCCTTTACTTCCTTAAAGTCACAGAATTGCTGCTTGCTTTGAAGATCTATATGTTTAAGAATTATTTTCAAGTACAGAAAGGAAGGATTAAAATAAAACCAAAACCTGAAGTTGTGAGTCTAAAGCAGGAGAGTATCCTTGTAAAGAATTTACCCAGATGTTAAGAAACTGTGTACGTTACATGTGTGTATATTGAGATAATGGGCCTCCAGCTAACAGCATTTTTTTTTACTTTACCTTTTTGTTGTTAATTTGTGGGTTTTCCACCATTTATTTTTCTTGTATTGGAGAACAGAGGGTAATATTAAATTATTTTTTTTGTGGTAATATGAAAGTTTCTTGGTGTCATGGCTTTTTGTTTCTTTGTTCAGTTTCTTTCTACAACCTGCTGTATAACTGTAGTCTTGGAAAGAAAGTTAATCCAACAAGTAACAATTTTTTTTTGTTGTTGGTTGGGGGTTTTTTAGTTGTTGGGTTGGGTTTTTTTTTCCAATCACAGTGTTCCGGTTTCTTACTGTAATCTCTGTCATAAGCATTGGTTTTCTCACTTATAATGTTTGTCAGGGACCAGTAGCTGAAATATTTAGTAGAGAGAGATGTTAAGTGGTGTCTTGCAATCTCCAGTGAACATGAATTTAGCTATTCTTACTGGCTATTAAAATAGTCCTGGGCTTTGGGCTTTTATCCTGATTAATCTTGTAAAAATACTCCTGAGCACAATTTTAAGTCTTTTTTCTGTACCTTTTTCCTTTTATAGGGTAAGAAAGTAGTTCCATGCCGGCATGATTGGCATCAGACTGGAGGAGAAGTGACTATTTCTGTATATGCTAAAAACTCTGTTCCTGATCTGAGCTATGTAGAAGCAAATAGCACAATGGTGAGTATTTACCTTAAAATGTAATTAATTTTTTTTTTTAATTCTTGCAGCAGCTTGAAGTTAGGAAAATCTGGCTTCTACTTTATTTACAAGGCAGAGGTAGCATAAGAATCTTTTTTGAGTAATGGCTTTTTCTTGGCATTTTTGTTCAAGTATATATAGCTTTTTTTTTTTTTTTTCACCTTCTGTTTGGACATCTGTGCTTTTTTTTTAAAAAAAAAAAAGCTCCAATTTAATATTAAAAAAAAAAAACCACACTTTAATTTGACTTTTGCAATTAAAACCCATGTGATGGATTTGCATCACCATATCTGTAAATAATTATAGACTCATAATTTATTTATATTTGGCTTAATGTAATTTAATACCGTTCTTCACAGTATGCAGTAACGCAGCTACTAATATTAAACAAGTGTTGAAATGCTTCTCTGATTTCCTAATCATGCATTTGGAGAAAATGATACAGCTTCCAGGATGTATATAAGGCCACTATTGACTATGATACTGTATCAGGATTTATTAGAGTAGATTTTCACTTCTGTGTCTGAGGAACAATTTGAGCACTTTGCTCATTACAGGATCTGAGTCCTAATGTGATATATTTTGCTTAAGCATATTTGAGGTGTCAAATGTTTTATTAGCCTGACAAAATTTTCTGTTATTTTTCCTGTTAAGTTAAATATCCATATTGTATTTGAAGGAGAAAAGGAATTTCATCGCAGTGTGAAATTATGGGGAGTAAGTATAAGAATAATTTTTCTATTAAAAAAAAAAAAAAACAAAGCAAAACCTCACTTCTCTTCCAAAATAGTTTTGTTTTCCTTGTTACTCTGCTTATTGAAAGAAATTCAGTTGTGTGTAATTCAGTAATATCACTTAAGTCTGAATCTAATGCCCCAAGTGATCAGTTGTGACATCATAGTTGACGCTGTTTTGGCAGAAGGTCACCTCCTGAGGTCCTTTCTGATCCCAACACCATGATAGGGGTGTTTCAGAAAACCCTTGACACTATGTGGCTGCATGCTTACAAATGTGTTAGACCAATGTATGTGTTATATATGCATAGGTATATGTTCATAGCTTGGGAATGGGAAAGGGCTGGCTTCTAGATAACAGAGGGAACTCCATCTACCTAAACTGCTGAAATGTAGTGATGAGGTACTCTTCCTAACTAAATTCCCAAGTATCTAGCAGTCTTTTTCTTAAATCAACGTGTGAAATATGTTTTCTGTTCTAGGTTATTGATGTAAAGAGGAGTTATGTGAACATGACGGCTACAAAGATTGAGCTTACTATGAGAAAAGCAGAGCCCCTATTATGGGCAAGTCTTGAATTACCGGTATCAAACACACAACAAAAAAAAGAAAATTCAGATCAATAATGATTCCAAGAGACAAATTATTTCCCATTATGAAGTGGTGACTTGCTACTGTAATCAAATATTTAACTTTGATATAGATTCTTTTTTTTTTAATGCTAGATCGTATGTTCCATTCTACAAAGAAATTTGACTCACAGTAAATGGGGGTGTAATCTTGAAGGGTAATAGCTATTTCTGCTCTTGCTCCCATGAGTATATTCTAGTTGGAGTGTCTCCATGGGGATTTAGAGTAAAAGAGATATTGCCCTTTGCTTACAACTTTACCTACCATTCACTATCCAAATAGATGTGTTCTCAGTCCACTCTGGGTGTTAATTTTTCAAGTGGTCGGTTTAGACTGGATCTACTGGGTAGCACACATTAAATTCAGCACTGTTCATTATGAAGTATACAGTAATACAGATACAAAAATCTGAGTTTATGAATGATTAGCATGCAATTCTACATCTAGAATAAAAAGCTACGTAAACATAAACATGGAAGAACACTTGTAGACTTGCATTTTTGTCTTCTGAAACTAAGATTTGTTACAATACCTGTTGTCTGCGGAGGGATGGAATAAACAGTATTTTGCTCAGGATTTCAGTATTTGCTGACTCTTGCTGTCTTGTATAAAGTCAGAAGATCAGATAAAAAAAAAAATTCCCTCCTGCCAACTTAGTTTTTGTTTTAAATTCATGTACCTTTGGTATTTGAATTGTTAAATATAAAAGTGAATGAACAGTGAAATGGATGAATAACTTAGCATCTCAGCTGTGGAGTATATACAAACAGCAGACTACTGTAAAATTATCAAGGTGCTCTATGTATTTGACAGTCTTTAGAATATATATTCTGTCCTATTCTACAACATTCAGAATTACAAATCTTTTTTTTCAACGTAGGTGGATATGTGTAGTAGGAGAAGCCAGTACACACCGTAGGTGTCTCAGGAAAATTATTTCCATGTAGATGTGCATAGCTCTTGTTTCTGAGAATGGTAATCTAAGAACTAAATTTATCTTAAAGACAAATCCTAGGAGGAACAAACAGGAAGCTTTAAAATGTCCATCTCAAATCATAATTGTACCTTTGAATTAATATATTTTAAAAATATTATTTCTTTTGAACAGCATAAACAAAGCACTGTAATTGGAAATCAAGGCCTTATCTTTGTTTTCAGTTCTTCATCAATAAAGATTGGTGTCTGAAAACAGGATAGTTTTAAAGATAAGACTTTTATGCAAGCAACAACACATGCAGTAATGTTGCTCTCTCTTTCTGCTTGAAATAGTTTCTTAATTTTGGGTTGTAGCAGAAGAAAACCCCAATGTTTTTGTAAGTCAGTCATGCAGAAATGTACACCATTATTTATTGTGCCAAAACTTTATAGATATAAACAAGCAGTCCTGTGGAATTTTGAAATGTGTAGATGCTCATCTACCTACCTTGGCAGACCTGGAATAACACCAAGAGAAAGACAGAATGTAGTGAAGGTATTTTGAAGTTAAATATGCATTTCTAAGAATCTTACTGCTTTCTAACAAGTATAATTTCACTTGAGCTCAGAGTTCTGTTTCTAGCAGTACTTGAAATTCTACTTTGTGCTTAAAGTAACAGGAAATTACCAAAGAAACCATCCCCAAACACCAAGAAACTAACACTGGTGCTGATATATGAAATTTGTTTTGGTGCTTCTTTACCTTCATTTCAAGATCCTGTTTCTTCATTGACTTGGAGGGAGTGTGGCTTTTTACTCACTCGGTCCCCTATTAAAAGTTCCAGCTCCAAGTTCTGCCTAAAAGATTCTAATGTCAGGTGCTGTGAAGTGATAGGGACAAGCTTTCAACAATGTATGCCTGCAATTGGTCCTCTAAACATTGAACATGTTCCCTGTTGTGTTCTGAAACAAGAAATGGAGCTCTTGTTAGTATAATACTGAGAACAATCACTTCAGTGGATGAAAAGTTCTAGATGGCTGTAGCTACTAGTGTGCCATCTGTGTTTTTGAATGCAGAACTCTGAACTTGGACAGCAAAATGAGCAGTGTTTAAATGCCAGGATAAAGTTCTTATTTAACAAGCAAATTCAAGTGTGTGTCTATCCATATGGATATATAAATACCCTAAATATCTTATGTTTTCCACATTTTTTAACATATTTTCATTTTTTTTGCATCTTCACATACAGTAGGTTTACATAATGTAGAATCCATTTTAAAGAACTACAAGCAAAATGGAATTTCTTGGGAAAAAAGAATTTCTGGTTTTAAGTAAGTCATTTTCTCCCTTAGTAGACTAAAGGCTAAATGGAGGGAAATGTGTATGCATGGACCTTCTGCTTTTAATGGTGCAGGCTTTGGATCCCATACCTATTTGTTTTAGAATTATGGAATCATTGTTACACTCTTTCAAATTACATTCTACTGGTTGCTGAGACAACTTGACCATAAGTAGAAGAAAGCTGCTGTAAACATGGTCCTCGGTTCTGTTTTTGCTTTTTATTCATTCCTCCTAATCTTTTCCTGTTGTTCATACTTTCAGCGGAAAATTAAGGCACTTCCGGAGTTCCGTAATGATTTTCCCCATCAGTGGCAATAAAACCACTTTTAAAATTCACCTGTTGAAAAAAGGAAGAAAAAATAAAGAACAAACAAAAAACCCCAGCTTTGATCAGACAAAAAGGTGTGTAGGTTTTACATATAATAGCCTGGTTTTCTGTGGCCTGTGATATTTTTACAAATAAAAGGATGAACTTTCAGATGGCATAGACTGCAATAAGTCCCTTGTTTAGCTGCATTAATTCTTAGCAGCTTTTTATAACCATATGTCTGCATCCATTGTCAAGCTGCAAAAGCTGTATCAGATGCTGAATTTGAGTGTTTTGAGCAATTGCTCAGAACATGCTTCAACACACCCATGTTTGATCCTGGTATTTCATGAAATGACATCTTGACATGGGTAGTGCTACCTGACGCTTCAACACGGTATTGGTTTGGTTGTAACTTTTATTAGTAAGCGTGGAGAGAATATGAAACCAGCTGTAGTACTAAACTGATCACAGTATTTTCTCAACAGCAAAATTTGAAAACATAGCTAAGCGGTTTTTGATCACATAGGCTTTCACCTGTCTAATAATAGTGAAACTCCATTGCAAACAGATACGTACTGGTGTTAAATACTTGCTGTTAACTTTACCCTTTTTTAGTGTTTTTAGAAGTTGTGCTGTATTTAACCAGTTGGTTAACTTGATACAGTCTAACTATATTTTTATAATTAATGAGTCTTTAAAAGCTGTAGTGTGTTTCAGTGTGGGTTTACATGTTACAGATGTTGACAGCATATTACAGGTCTCAGAACTGACTGGCCAGGTGCATATAAAACCTTCTCTTCACAATCCCCTTTTAATATGAAAAATTGAGTGGGTAATACAAGCTTGTGGCAGAAATCTTAATCTTCCCTCATGTGTAAGCCCATTTTCCTACCTAGCTTTATATATTATATCTGTAACGTCATGTCTTGGAAGAGTTGGAATTTATTTTTAATATACTGTTAAGCACTGGGCTTTTCAGCTACTTTGACTCTTACACTTTACATAACACTGATGTAACTTGACAAAAAAATCTTCCGTTGGACTGTCTTCTGGAACCATGTACATTATCAAGTCACCATTTCAGTAGTTTAGGGATTAGTTTTAATAGGAATTTTGCCTTGAAAAGAGATCTACTTATTCTATGTAATGATGCATTTTTTGCTTGCATTCTTTAAACATGGCATGAGTACTGGTTAAATACTGTACCTGTTAATCATTGGTCTTTCCCAATTGCTACTAAAATTTTATCTCAGTTCAGGAACAAGATCCTTTTTAAAGTAATGAGTTATGTGTCTGGGACACTGTTTTAAGGTGGTAATAATTTTGCCATTATAAGAGTCTTGAATTACAGTTGAAGGGAGAAGATGTCTTTTTGCATGGTTGTTTGATTCTGCACATTCATAAAACTTATATGCAGAAATTAATCTCATGTCCTCGTGCTCTAATTTTTTTCTAAATGTGTTCAATAAAATTCTTACTACATGCTGGTTGCATTTGGGATTTTTTTGACTTCTTTTGCTAGGGGAGAGAACTTCCTTTGGATTTGCAACACAGTTGTCAAAATAAAATGTAAGTGGGCATTTTCCACAGGTCGGTCTGTATATGAGGGAAAGGTTGTGGCAAAGGGTTTTTCCCCACCCCTTGGTTTGTTTCTTTGCCTGTAGATTTCTAACACAACAGCCCTGTCAAGCTATGTAAGTTTTGCAGCAATTTGAATAAGTGTGGCTACTCGGATGGGGGCCTGTCTCATTCATGGAAATGGTTCTGCCCAAGAATTTTGAGCTGTCACAAACTTTCTGGGACTGGAATAATTCCAAATACATTGTTCATGCTGTGTCTAAGAAGGCTGAAGATATTGTAGCTCTGCTGCTTTTTTTCTATTTTAATAGTTTCCTGGAGAAAGGCAGAAGATAGCTGTCAAAACCTCTGGCATTCCCACAATGGAGAGAAAAAGGATTCACTTCTTGGGGGCCTTAAATTTTCTGTGGTCATAAAAACTGTGTTTTCTCCAAGTTTGGATGGGGGTTTTAACCAAAGAGAACTAAGGTAGTGTCACAGACATTATAAACTAACCCACAGCTGCTGTGCCAGATGATTTTTAGTGAAGCAAATTCAGTTTCTCTGAGTTTGGCTGCAAAACAAAGGGCAGGCGTTGGGTCCTTACTTCTCCATAGGCAGCACAAATTTCAACCTGTGTTCAAGTCAACATTTTTCTCTTCAACTTCTGAATGTTTTGTTTTCCTGACATAATGTTGACATTAACAGGAATGGAGAACTATTGTACATGACCACTGTCGACTACGTATTTGTAGCCAGTCCTGTGAGCCTAAAAGGAAAGGGGCTGTAGGAACAGGTCTCCCTGATCTGGAGGTGCGTGGACTGCATCAGTGCATTTTTCTTTAGCTTAATTTATCAACCTGTATGATGACTGATTCTGGCTACCCAGAAGGCGTGCAGGTTTTTTTGCAGCCAGTGCATTTCTGTGTGAGAATGAACCATCCTCATGCATAAAATATATTTGTTACCTACTGGAAACACGTATTTGAAAATACTCAGCAAGGGCCGAGTCCCCAGTTATGCTCTGAACCCTGTGTTAACATGTAGCCCTCAGGCCGGTTATCAGACGGCAGATGACAACGTATTTACAAAACCAACGTCCAATCAAGCTGAACTATGTGAGCTGGGATGGTTTGCAAATGTAGAAAGAAAAGCTACGTCCGTTTCATCTGTTTCTCAGATTTGCCAGGACTGGAAACTAATTACATATATGGCTATATACATATCAGAAGCTGTCCTTAACGATTGTTCTTTGAAAAACTTGGGATCTCTCCCAAGTAGTCCCTGAGTGCCGACCTCTGCTGACAGCTCAATAAATACAGTATTGCTGTGGCTGGTGGCAGGGCACAAGTTTTGTTCCAGCTCTGCAGGGCCGCAGGACTTGCCAGGCTTGTGAACTTCTCTTCGCCTGCCTGCAGCTTTGTTTCAGCTTGTTTGGCTGTTACAAGTTTTCACATGACCAGGTGGTATTGCCTTGCTTACTTTTGTTTCTCCTTTTATAGTTGTATGGTATAGCCATATTTTTTATATAGATACTAGTAACAAACAGTTTTTCTGTGTAGAATAGCAGATTTATTATTCTAGCATCACGTTGCAGAGGAATTCAAGCCTGATAGAGGCCTTGAAGGCAGGCATGGGATATGCTGTAGAGGACCATGTGTATGGGCAGATTAGAGAAGGGGCACAGGGTGATACTGGAGACCCCAGGTGGATAAACAGCTCATAATCATTTTAGCTGCTTTGTTATTGAAAGATTTGTCTGTAATAGTATTCTTTGGTTTTTCTTTTTCTGTAATAAATAGAGACTAAACATTCTTTAATCACACAGTTAAGATTTCAAGTGTGCTAACAATGAGTTTATAAAGTGTGTTTCTTTCTGCCCGTAATAAGACAGGCAGGATGTTGGTGTTTTACTCCTCTGCCATGGCAATGGGCAACAGGATGGAAGTGCCCACACTCCTGCAAGGCTAATTCTGTCTGAGCTGCGGGATGGACGGTGTTTTAGTGCAGGCAGGAGGTGCCAGGGCACGTGGGCTTGGGTGGAAAGAGCATGGAAACATGGCTTGGGAGACAGAGAGAGCTGAGGAAGCAAAAGCAGTGCTTTGAGAGGGGGGGGCTGGTTCCAGGAATACCTGAAGGGAACAAGTGATCTCAGCAGGAGCTGAATCTTTCAGTGCTCAGTGTTTGCAGCTGACCACGTTTCCCCAGCCTGATGTCCTACTGCTTATGGTTGCATAAGGGTCTGTTGTCACAACAGTTGCCATGTCCAGAAACTGTGGCTTGAGTTTCCTTCTGAAAATACAGCTAAGTTGGGAGGTAATGTGGATGGCAGCATCAGGAATGCGTCAGCAGCTTGCTGTTGGCAAGCTAGCAAAGCACATCTGGGGAAGGTGCCATGTAAATATAGCAAGTCTATTCTTATCTGATGCCCTCCTGTGAAATGCTTTTACCATTATCACCTCTCCTGTTCTTTCCCTTTATGGAAGGTTGTAATGTGTTTGCAGTTTATTTGAACCAGGTCCAGCCCCTCCTGCATGAGGTGCTTAACAAACAAGCCTGAGTCTTCCTCCTCCTCCATCCTCTCGGCTCCCCAAGCTCATCCAGAAAATGGATGTGCCTTACAGGTTGGGTTGAAGAATAGCTCATTGATTTTCTTGGATGAGTAAGAAAATGTTTAAAGGTGTAGGTTCCATCGGGACAACCAGTGTGTTGACACTGACAGAAGCTGCCTTGACTTCACAGATTGTAACTGGCACAAGCAAATACAGAAGCAATCCATGGGACAGACTGCTCCCAGACCATTCAGGCTTTCTAAGTTCCTCCTGCTGACACTGATTAACAGAAGCAACTGCTGATCATGACTTAGAGCTCAGCTTTAATACTTGCAGCTAAATTACAGGGCTAAATGGTAGCCACCCTTGCTTGACTGGAGTTGCTTTTAGTCCCAGTTGTGTAATGGAAACAGCCTTTTGTGTTTGAAAAAGTGCTCACTAAGTTCAGCTCTCACTGTTTTATCTAGGGACAATTTCTGTGTAGCAGGTGTTGCTCAGTGACGAAAACTACTTTGGTTCAGCTCAGCAGAGAACAGCATGGCAGAAGCAAGATTTCTGTATTTCATTTAATTAGTGTTGTCTTCTCTGTTTTGCTGTAGGGAAGTCCATGACATTCACCGTCATTCAGCTCTCTTAATGGCACTCTTAACTGTATGTTAAAAATCCCATGAATGAAAATAGAGGAATTAGTGTAAGAGAGAAAAAATGGGCCATGTTGAGTATAACCTATTCCTACCAGCTGCAGAGAGGAGGTCCCCAGCTGCTTTTGATGCTGTGTTGTCTCCAGCTCTGCCTCCTTGAGGGCTTACACAGCATTTCCTGGCAGGTGCAGAAAGTCCTCAGTGACTTTCAGACCCAGTCAGGATCTTCCAGAATCTCATCCTGCTGTTGTTTCCCATAGGAATAATGCGGGGTCACTGCAGTAGCTCTTCTTTGCAGATGCTGCACAGCACCTTTTACCCTCTGAATGACACCACTGCAGGATAAACCATTTGTGGTCTCAAGCAATTTTGTTGTTTTTTGTTTCTTTGTTTGTTTGTTTGTTTGGTTGGTTTTTTATATATATACCTATCATTGACATATTTAATCATTATGTTGGTTTAAAGAGGAGAACAAGCAACCTTTTAAAGACATATTTATTAATTTTCATGGGTTTCAATTAACGGATAGAGAACCACTGGCAGCACTTAAGAGACTGTCTAGTGGAAAGCACAATGAGAGAGTGCAAAATACTGTCTGTCACAATAATCTCTCCATGACAAATGCTTAAAGCAAGGAATGAAGCAGGTCTGTTTTAGTCCCTTCATACTACACTTTAATTCCCAAGTGCTTTAGGGCCTTCTGAAAGAAAGGTTGCATCTGGATCATTAGGCATGAGCACTCCTTGCATGCGTCTGATCCTTTTTTAACCCATTTCACCCTTCACAAGCTCCTGTAGCAATGTGCTTCACTAAATAATCACATGTAGTGTGAGTAATCCCTTTGTTTCAAACCTGCTGGCTGGTATTTTATTAGAAAGCATGGACAGGAACAGCAATAGTTCCTCCACACAAGGAAAGGGCTTCAAGTCACAGAGGGCTGCTGGCCAGGTGTTCAGGTCCTCTTCTGTTGCAAAATACTATGCAGTCCACAGAGTTCATGTTCTCTTGGCCCTTACGAACATGCAGAGATTATTTTATAGATTATCTGTAGGACAGAACAATAGAAATCAGGTTTGTGGAAAAGTCATACAGCACCAGTACTGATTGTTGATCGTCTACTTAATGGGCTGATTGACTGCTTTAGGACCTTTCTCTTGCTATTTATTTTCCTTATAGATACACTGAGTTACACAGTATGATTTATTTTTATCACTGTTGTAAAAGAATGCAATTTTAGATCAGCTAACGCAATTTAAGTTTGACCTGGATTTGACAAATTGCTTTGGCTGAACCAAAAACCAGACAAATCCAAGTGCCCTGTTCTAACACCTGAACTGTACAGTTACTGAGAAGATTTATGAAACTTCTTGAGCTGGTGTACTTGTACTTCAGTCATCAGGATACTGGGATAGGGAATTTTTAATTTCATTGCTCCACAAATGTAGTCCCTTGATACATGAGTCAACTTCGGGAAGGGTTGCTAAATTACAGGGTGTTGAGAGAAGCACTGGCATCACTTAATCCTAAACAGATTATTGTCAAAGGTTTTGAATTAGTTTGAGTTTTTATTAAGCTTAAGTTCTGCAGAGCATTTTTTTAGGCGGTTCTATTTCTATTTATTGATTGATTGAAAAACACAGCAGAATAACTATTTCAAGTTACTACCATTTTGGTGCAAATGAATGAGTGTTGTAACTGGACTGTGTTTATCACTTACTCAGTGGGAGAATGGAGCATGCCAGTCATCCCCACTTTCCAGCCATCACTAAATTGACCAAGTGTTATGGCTTCCTTTCCAAAGGCAAACGAAAGGTGTTTCAACCATAAGAGAACCTGAAATAAACTTCCTGGCACTGTCCCTTTGAAACTGATTTTCTAAAGAGACAACTGACAAATCAAATATCCAAGACATACTTGGTTCATCCGAGTTTAGTTTTGCCAAACTGTTTTGCAGCCCCCATCTAGGCTGAAGGGTCTGTTTCTCCCCGCTACATGATTCACAGATTGTTTCAGCCACATTGAGTGAATGAACTGTGCAAATGAAAGTAGGGACAGACAGAGTAGGTAACCCACTATTACTCATTTGTGAGGAATGCCTGAAAAGTCTCCCTACACTTTGAAATTATGGGTAGGCAGAGCTACACAAATACATCAGCCTTTGGGCTGGGAGACAGCAGCAGTGGCTTGGTTGCCCAACTATAGGAAAGAAGATACTACTGACTGAAGCAGGGAAGGCAGTCTCAGATCTCAGTAACTGATCCTTCCAATATCAAGAACATGGGTCTTTATGGAAACCAATTAGTATAAGCCATCTGTAAGTGGTTTGGTCTTATTAATAAGGGTTTAGATATCACTCTCCCTTAGTAGAACTTCATACAGAGGAATGGAAATACATTTAAGCTATTTTGTGTACTTCTCAGGATGCAGCAGGTCATGACGAATCATACATTCATACGGAATTATCAGTTAAGTTGAGAAGAGGAACAAAGCAATCGATGCCAGCTGTGCATTCATCCTGATGTGAGCTGTAATTTATTCTTGCAGCTTCAAACTGCACATGGAAACAAAAAAAAAAAAAAGATAGTATGTTCTTTTGCAGCAGCAAGGTAATGGCACAGGACTCCAAAGGCTAACTACCACTGAAAAAATATATTTACTGGTGAAACATTTGTTCACTGGCTTATTTATACTGCTAAAGGGATTTATGTAAATGAAGGAGGAAGCACGCTTTGTCAGATACTTCCTTTTTAAGTGGAAATCACTTGTTTGCCTTATCCTTTGATGATCCTACAGCAGTGACCACTGACAGATGCAAAGCTGTCTGCTCTTCACATTCAAGAGGCACTAGTGGCCTTTTTCCACCATCCAGACATCCTAACCCTTCCTTGGGGGCACGTGCAGCTGATGCCCATTGCAGTTAACATGCAGCTATGGTGGAGCATGAAGAGCAGGTGATTCAGGAAAAGGGAAGAAAAACCAGTGCAGTTACCTGTCAGTCACTGTTCACAGGGTACCATGTCCTTCAGCAGCACCTTAAGCTACAGATGTGGAGATGGGCAACTTCCAGTTAGGTAGAAGTGAAGGGAACAACAAAGATGTAGTCACTGTTCTGGTGTCCTCAGCGCTGGCTACTCACGTCTCTTACGTTCATGCTGACAAGGTCAGTTAGGCACGACTTTTGCCAACAAAAGAGGTAAAACATGAACTGTGGAAGTGTAATTTCCTCCTTATGTGCCTAAGGCTTGATCTGTGAAAAGCAATTTAGCAGTAAATTCCGAGCACAACATCCATAGGTACACAGTCCTTTGTGTTTCAGAAAGGCTTATTGGAAGTGACACCACTGAAAGCCTCACTTCTTGGTGGCATATAACCCCAAAAACAACTTCCCAAAGGACTGAACTATGGTCATTTCTGGTTCTCTTGACTGAATTCAAAGCATCTGAGATGAGAACAACTCCTTCTGTAGCCTAGTAATTGTACTGTTTCTCTAATTCTGCCTTTTTAAGTACCACATCTGTTCTATTCCCCATAAAACTAAAAGGATTTTATTCCCACAACCTGGTGCAATTTATAGTTGTGAGAAAAACTGTAGTATATTATACAAGAAATTGGTTATTATCAGCTCCCACAAAGTGGAATGTGATTTAATAAAATTCTAGCAATTTTATTAGTTGTAAAGCACATAGATGAGGAGTACATTTAAAGGGTCAATGAAACAAGAATAATTTTTTTTACAAATTAAATAGTTTTGTACGATTACCATTCTCCTGCATTTCAGTCTCCCTTTGAATGTAAAAGCAGCTCATGATGGGAAACTTTCTTTAGGTCTTATCTGTAGACAGAATAACCTGAAGACCCATGCCAATAGTGACAATGTCCTCCAGCTCCCTTAACTGGAAGAAGACATCTGCATGAAAGAGAACTCCTGGGAAAAAATAGGAACAAAAGCTGCCATGGGTTTGGGATTCGTGAAAGTGCCAAAAGGAGCAGGGATGTTAGCTTTTGGATAGCCTCCAAAAACCTTTATTTTCCAAAGTGCAAATAAGGGAGGGAGGTGCACAGTGACTTTCAGAGGCATGGACACTCACTGCCCAAGAAAATGCTTTTGGGTTTCTGCATATAGACAGCTGTTTTCTTTGATTATCAAGAATGGCTGGTACTGCCTTGGCAATCAGCAGGAGGGCCAGTATTTTATTTTTTTCAGGAAAAGAAAGCAAATCAGTATAATGAACATTCACCAGTCCTGCAGAATAGATTCTAAAATACAGAGAAGCCTTTGGTGTCTTATATTATGGAAGTAATTATAAGAACAAGAAACACACATGTGCTGAAGAGTGTTATATTTTTTCTCTTTAAGTGTGTGCTGTTGATCACTGTGATGGGCAAGATTTACAGATAGCTTAGCAAATAACTGGTTTTGTAATAGTACATCCAAAGTAATGGGTCTCAAAATTGGCAGATCTTTCAGAAAATGCCAATTGGGAACTGATTCTTCCTTCTCCCCACCCCCCCTGCCCCCAAATTTGCTTTCATCTAGGGTTGTTCTTAAAGCTACAGTTTTGTCGGTATCAGAGAAGCAGTAATTTCTAGCTCGGGAGTTCTTTGATATGCAGATCTCCTGCTCACACTACCAGTACGCTTCCGTGCATTCAGAAGGTGGAAGCTCAGACGCGGCAGGCAGTCAGGAGGGACGGGGTCACTGTCATAGCCTCACTACACTGCAGTTAAGATTTTGCTGTTTGAGCTTTTCGAAGCCAACATCCTATGCTACTTCTTTCAGAGTCCCTGCTGCTGCCTGCACAGTGAAGGCTGCAATGGAAATCTGCCTCTTTACTTCTTCCCAGGCTTCATGCTGATTTGCTTTGCTTTCAATATCAAACATGGCATCATAGATCCCTGGGAAGGACTCTCCAGCATACTTGTTGTGACTGCTTGGAGCAAAGATGACATGTCTGTGGGGAAAGAAGAAAAAAGTGTAGGCATACTAAATAAACATAATCATTAATGGTGTGTGTGTTCACTGTAGGGAACTGTATGTATGCTACATAAAACAGCCACAAATCCCAGGAAGATCAGAACTTCCTAAATACGGAGGAAATGAAGCTGGACCTGTCTTTAAAAGGACAGGAGGAAGCAGCCTCAAGGGCAAAATCTATGGGAAAGGGCACAATTTTAGGAAAGGTAGCCTTCTCCTTGGGAAGAGATGATGCATTTGTCTAGTTAGGAATGAAACCATGTTAAATTTTTTGTAAATGAGAGCTCAACAAACCTGGTGAACTAATGTGGCAGTCTGGAACAGGGAATAAAACTAGTTACAGATGTACAATGCCAGGTGGAACAGAAACCCCAGAAATAACTAAGCAGCTGAATGACGGTCAGCAGATCTAGGAAAGGAATGTAGAAAGAGGGGAAAAAATCTATGGGAGAGTTCTTGAGAAGAGCATGAATTTTTCAGAGAAGAAGTGATCATGTTGGAACAGAACCATGTGAAAGTATCTAGTTTATTTGTTGATTTTTTTTTTTTTTTGTTAAATAATGAATAGTTGCAGATCTGCTTTCAATTTGATTCTGTTCATATGAAATATCAAAGCACATTATTAGCATGCAAAAAAGTCCTAAATCAAAATAAACATTAAAACTACATTAATAAATGCAAGCAAGCAAGTAAAAAAAAAAAAAAAATTAAAAATCCAGACTGCTTTAAATGATATCTAACACCCAACAAGAAGAACTGTAGAAAACAACCATTTTGTTTTTCCAAAAGCGTGAACAACAGTTTATCCTAGGAGGATGGAAGTGTGATTCTCAATTCTACCTGCCTGAGGGACTTCTGGCTTGGTGTGAAAGCCATTGGTCAGTGAGTCAGATCTATCCAGTCATTAAGAAAAGGGGGATACTGAGAATAAAGTGAGGTAGTCACACACCTGACACTGGAAGCTAGCTTTTTGTCAAGTGTTACTAATAAATGCACTAGGCTTCTAGTGCATCAAACATTGTCTTTCTCCAGGCCCATGTGCTTGTGGAGAGAAAACTTCCAAGAAGAACTAGTTAATGATTTCAGCTAATAGGAGCATCTATAGAAGCAGCCAAACTGGCACAGACGGGACTCTGCAGCACAGCTCATGGACCTTTATCCATCCTGTGCTCCAAGATCTCTCCCTCTACAACTCTCTCTTCTGGATTTCTCTCTGCACCTGATTCTCACTACACGTCTGTTTTCATCCTCTTCTCCCTTTCACTCTACCCTCATTTCCCCTTTCTTCTCAATACAACTGATTCTTCACTCTATCCTTACCTTGTACAGGCTTAAAAGAGGAAGTGGTAACAGATGTAGTACTATACACCTGCAAGTAAAAGTCACAGAGTATGATGGCTGACAAAAACAGAATGCCAGACCTAAGAAGAGGAATTAGGCACCACAAGACTGGTGCAACCAAAGAGTTCTATTTTGGGGGTTATAAACAAATTCTGCTACTCATTGGATTATACCTGAAACAATCTGTTGAGCTGTAATTCCTATATGAGGCCTATATAGCAGTTAACTACCAGTCAGTTGCAGGGTGAGGTTCACCTGCAAAAATACAGTGCCTTAGTACAGCTGGTCAAGAAACTTGTTCTCTCACCTGTAAAACTTCCTTCCTGGTAAGCCAAGAGGATCAATGAAAGCTCTTTCTATAAACATCAGCTGATCATTCATGATTCGCACTGCAACTGGACTGCAGAAAATAGAGATATTTCACACAATGAAGAAACATGACTTCCCAGTTTCATTTCAACAGTTTTCTTTAGACAGGAAAAAATGATTAAAAAGATGGTCTACAGTTTGCAGAAAGATGAGGTTTTGCAAATGGAGATATTCAACACATGTAATATTAATGCATTGGGACTTCTGTGGTAGAAAACTCAACTACAAGGTTTCACACTATGCAAAATAAAATGGGAGATTGTCTGAGAGTGTCCGATACTCGATGAGTATTAAATAGCACTAGAAAGATCCCACTTAACAGAGGGGAGAGAAAGGCTGAGATTTAGATCAAGATGAAGATAGCTAGATTTTGGTGTCCACCCATAAACCAAGTGTCACTCATAAGCCAAGTGTCCAAACTCCTGCTCTGATCTATACAGTAACATAGTAAGTATGAGATTCAGTTGCCTAAACAAAACTATCTGGTACTGTACTAGGTACCTGGGAGCACCCGGCCTCCAGCCACTGCACTCAAAGGGCATGTGGGTCCCATAAGGCCCGTAGGTTTGCAAGCTTAGATAGTATCTTAGATACTATGAAGCATCATCCTGTCTCCTTGAAGTGTGTTGAAAGTACAAATTCTAGCATCACCTACAACACTCAAGTGTAGGCATCTAAATACAGAGCTCAGTCCAACTTTAACTTTCACTGACACCTGCTTTTCCATGTATTATGATAACTTTAATGACAAGCTGATACTAGTAATAAGTTCTACAGCTGATACTATACATGACAGGAGGAAGAATTAATCTTAGCAAATGTCTCAGAGTTCAAGGGCTCTATTCTACACTAATCAGAGAGACTCCTATGCAGTCACTGGAAAGAAAGAACTGCCACCCTGGGTACCTAAGGCAGATATATATATATATATGTATAGATATATATATGTATAGATATATATAAAATATTTGTTTTTCAGACTTACTTTTTCTTGTCAACTTGCTCAAGTCTCCTGTGAAATTCAGCAGCAGCCTTTGAGAAATTCACTACAGCAGAAAAAAGAGGATCTAGAAAAGGAAGGACTTTGTGAACAACTTCAGAGTATATACTGAGCCAAATATACCTCTCTGCTGTCCACTTAGAGAAAAACTGTATTTGTTTTGCTGATATAATTGCATTGATTTTGTTGTCTTTCTGTAATTCATTAGTTTCCCTAGTGCAGACTTTAAAGAGCTGCACTACTAACAGTAATAGACAAAGACCTTGTGCAACAAGGCCAACAATAAAGCAGAATGCCTGACAAAGCTTTCACAAGTATACATCTTCTCTCTGCCTGGCAAGAAAAAGACTGGCTGGCATTGCAAATGGAGAATTCCACGGTTTCCTTTTTAACAAAAGGATGCACTGCAGAATTTAGGTATAAAAAGCCTGATTTCAAAAATACCAGTTCTTCCAGCAGGCTGGGGAAGGACGGCAGGATTTCCCTCTTGGAACACTATGTCCTAGTCATATCATAGAAGAAGAGTGTGGTACGTCTATTGAATAGCATCAGGTGAGGCAGTCTAGTACTAGCTGAGCCCCATGCCTGCTCCACACGCACACTGGAGTCACAGCCCAGGAGGTGTCTCTGCCACAGCCCCGCATGCCATCCCACGGCCCCGCTGCCCGAACCCCGGGGTTTCGCCTGTAATTCCTGACTAAGTGCAGGCGGGCTGGCGGGTAAGGCAATTGCTTTTCCCTTCTCTGTTCCTGGCAGTACGTCCAAGCCATGTGGAATAACTTAGCCAAAGAAGCAGCAAGCCTTTCTTTTAATGAAGAAACAGGCCTTTCCGCTAATGACAATATCAGCTGTGATCATTTTTCCTGCGGAAGGATCTATTTAATACAGACCTGGGAAAAGTATCAGTTTATACAACTGATTTTCGTAGAATAAGTAACGGGTGGGTATTATGAGAAGAACTTCTAGCCTTACCAAAACTCAACTCAATTACAAAGAAGGAAGCTTTAAAACTTGTACGTTTTGCCCACAAGTTTCAGAAAACTTTAGATAAACCAGAGTATCTTTTCTTTGATCGTACAGGAATATGGGCCATAAGATTTTGTCATCTCCTAAATCCAGTCCTCTGTTGGAAACTATGGCCCTTCACTGTTTATATATGTATCACACTATTTTAGGGTGATAGGCGTTCTGTAGATATATTTATCACACTATTTAGTGTGATAGGCTTTCTGTTCCCAGGACTCCTATTGGAAGCTGTTCTGCAGTCTCATTTGCTCTTCTATTTCTAGCAAACTCATATATTCATCACCAGCCTACAATTGCTTCTTCTTGTATTAGTATTTTTGTTTAGTTTACATAATCAGAGGCACAGATTTTATGTATGCAAGCTGTTTATGGACTGCAGTATAGACAGACCCATGTCACCTTGTCCACAATTGTGGCAACAATTAAATTTGCCAGAGGACAGAGCTCTGCCGTGCCGACATCGTGGCTATATTGTGGCAACAGATTATATTTCCGAAGCAGTAGGAGGGGATTTAGGAGAGAAAAAAAAAGAAAGTTCATCTGAAAATATGAAGAGAATTTGTGCTCATGTTCACTAGCTATTCAGTGTTGTCAATGTTGGTTATTTTAAAAATATCACAACATTTCTTTTTTTCTCCCTGCAAACCTTAGTTCCTGATAGCATATGGCTACAAGTACATATTTTATGAATAAAGTTTTCCAGCCTTCATTGTTGCAGAGGAACAGTTGAAATGTGAATCCAAAGGCAAATAAAAACCTTAATCTATTATTCTGAAAGGCAATTATGTGATTTATTCAGGCTTAATTAATGTTTTTCTGATATTCATTGTTTGTCAGTAGGCAATTCTATGAAAATATTGAGTGAAATTAATTTTATTTTTGCAGTACTGTAAAAACTGTCTATATATTTTAGTGTATTCTGGTGCAGTAAAATAAATAAAAATTAAAAATTATAGTTTTATTCAATAAATAATTTAAAACCGATCAGGCATCAGAGAAGAGCTGTGAAAATAATAAAAAGACTCAAAAACATGCCTTGTAAAAAACTGATCAAAATTATACACCTATAAAGTTATTAAGGAGAGGGTTAAGTGATATTTGGGGGAAAAAAAGCTTAGAAATAAAGATTATTTCTAGAGTCTAGGAACAACAATAGGTGCACTGGTCAGAAGGTAGTTTGAGCAACTTCTAATCTGAAATGAGAAAGAAACTCAAACAATGAAAATAAATAAATGATTTAACAGAAATTTTGGTAGATGTTCTACTACTGCAAAAAGAAATTCCAGATTTTATGTTTCCTTACAAGAAATGCTGCAGTAAACACAGCAACATATTGAAATAAATCCTTGTGTTATGTAAAATCTCAGCCCAGTCAATCTATCATGCAAAGCTTCCTCTGTCTTGAGTGGCCTTTTTACAAAAAAAGGTGTCTTAAAAATAGTCAAGAATTTTTCATCTAAACCATTTAATGAAGTTTTAAATGTCATTTTAAATTTTCCCCAAGTGAGGTTTCAGTTTGAGTTACTTCTAATATTTCACACAACCCAAAAGAGTACTGAAGCTCTGAAAAATTATTTTATGTCACTAAGCCATGGGTCCATCAGGTAGCAAGTGAATTAGGACTGACTGAAAATCCTCCTTGGTACAGAAACACAAGGGGTGAATGAGTCAAGAAGAAAAAAAGAAGAGAGAGGGACAGAGAGAAGATTACTGTGGAAGCTGTCCTAGCCCAGGATCCAGAGCACTCTGCTGCTTCGGACCTCTTTTATACGCTTCATTGCAATGTGTGCCGGTGCTCAGCAAATGGGTGTATTTGTGCAGAAGAGTTAGAGAAGTGCTTCTGTGGCCTAAAAGTGGCAGCCAGGCCCTGAGGCAGATGGTAAGCAGGTTTCCCAGAGTCAGATGAAGTCTTTGGCTGAGGAAGAATCGGCACCTGTGTCTCTAAAGTTCTAGGCAGGTGCCATAAACCTTCAACTTGTCCTTCTTTTTTAAGTAAGAAAGTGAGAAGCAGGCTGATACAGCTCTTTGTTCTGCATTTGAGGTCCGTGACTGCTCATAAGCACTGTAATAATGCCCATAATTAATAATATGCATGAAAATTGTTATACCCCCCTCATTTAGACCTTTATGTCTTAAATCTGTGTTATGTTTGGAAGAAAAATTAGAGGCTCTTTATTATGATGGCAGAATTGAAACAGTAAAGTCAGGAATACAGTTTCAGAGCTATAACAGATATAACGTGTCCCTACATGATTCTAATTAATGCATTTAAGAAATAGTCTTGTGGCTATTACTCACCAAATGACACTTTGTAAGATTTCAGCTGTTCTTCATGTTTCTTGGCCAATCTATAAATTCTACTGCTATATCCTTCTAAGGCTTCTCCATAATCTCTACAGTCGAATGGAATGACCTGGGAATCTGCCAGTTCATAAACCAGTTTCCCTCGTAACTGGGCAATTGTTAGCTCTTTCTTGAAGGTGGGGTCATAAAATTTTTCCACTAGCTCAAAGGTCTCATAGACAGTGTGATAAACAGGATAATTGCTGAATTTGTCTACTTTCTGAAAAAGAGCAAGCAAACTTGTCAGTGTCCTGTATTTTAACTGCAGTTAAGGGATGTATTGATCACCTAATGACTATCATGTTTTGCACAGTTTCCAAATCAAAAAAGCTATTTGCTACTAAACACATTTACTATCCTTCCATTATTGTGTGTTCATTTTAAGAAACTAAAACAACCTGAATTCATGGTCTATTACACAAAATTAAGTGAGCAGGCTTCCTTCTCTTTAACTACATGGACCTGCCTTCGGTTCCATTGTACAGAGATTCCTTCACTAGAAATTAAAACAGTTTGAGATTTTGGATAGAAGTCCTCGATCATGGTCCCCTTTTTATCCTGTGTAGTTATTTCTGAGCACAATCAAGGAAGATCTATATATTAAGGGGCCTACTAATAGTATGGTGGAATAAAATCAGATTCCATAAATACCCTTCTGTGAACTTAACAGTCTATAGAATATAAACATCACTGTAACATGTTTTATTCTCCAAACATTTAGGTTTCTCGCTAAATTAAGAAATAGTACTAATACACAAACCAGTCAAAGATTCTTTAAGGCTTTTTTATTATTCATTAATAAATGTTTTTAAAAGATGAATGCTCAGCACTATCAAACTAACTTCTTCAAGCAATCTGGAAGACTTACCCTATTCTTGGTATAACGGACTCTGCCTGATGTAATTCCCAGTCGCTGAAAGTAAGCTTCAAAATCACTGCCTGATCCTAGTTTGTTTATTCTACATGTAGAAAAGACAAAATCTTAGTGAGAGCACTTACTGTATAGTATGGTAGTAATTTATTCAAAATGCAAATTTTCCAAAGAAATGAAGGCCAGTTATTTTGGAAGGCACATCAGGGACACTAGTAAAATCAGATACTAGATGAGTGGCAAGTTTAATTACTCTGACTGATCTTATTTCACCACACTAATTCAGTGTCTGATATTTCTAGGAAGATCTTTTAAATGTAGCAATCTTGATTATGACACTGACCATGTTCTTTTTTAAAAAGTACACATTATGAACAAGAGCCATAAAACTTTATCAGACATGCCTCTGCAATCTTAAAACATTAATCATCTATTTCCAAACTAATATAAATTGGTCAGCAATATATGTAAAGACAGATATGTTTACATACTCAGCATATTCCATAGTAGAATCAGACTGAAATAATTTCCACTGCAGAAGACACGATTAGCATTTGTTATTTACAAGTAAATATTGCCATCTGCTGGGTAGATGTGGCAAAACAGAAGAAAATAATAAAAGATGTAATCTTTTAAGTATTTTCAAATATTTATTTAAGTCTTATATTAGGTTTTAGGTGTATATGTCTAGCCTGATGAATAACTGGTGTTTCTCAGCTAAAAATCAAAAGCGTTTCTTCTATTCCAACTAAAGTTCTTCTGCTAGTATAAATTTCTGCAAAGAACTATTTCTATCGACTGAGATAGATCAGCTCCAGCAGCTTTTTCAGAAGGAAGAAATCTCAGTGAGTCTAAGGAATCTAGAAACTTATCTTCCCAGGGCCTGAAAAATAGGGTGATACATGCAGAACATAAAATCACACAAAGGGACAGTTCTATTTACCTTACGTGAGTAATGCCACATTGTGAATATGATTTGCCCTATGAGTCATGGGCTCAGAGAGTGTTTTTTAAAGTTTTAATACCTTCAAATATGAAGCTTTAATACCCTCACATATAGATTTGTAATGTGTTACATTTACATCCATTATATAAACAAAGAATAAGTATCACAAGAGCTTTTTCATTACCACTCTACGCAGTTTCTTTCAACTGAGCCTTTGCTTATCCTAACAATTTTGATATTATCTCATCTAGTAATGTGACTAAACTATATTTTGAACTCTTTCCCTGCCCTGCTCTTTTTTGAATGCTTTCCAAATTGCTTTTCTACTAATAAAAGACCTCTAAAAATTGTGACGTTTCATTTTACAGCAGGCATAGATGTCACCATCATTAAAAAAAAGAAATAAAATTTTATTTTACTTCAAAAGTCATTGCTAGAGAGTCACCTTGTATTAAAAGGTTTTGTATTGCTGTCATCAATAGCACATCTTGAAAAATTCTGGAGAATAGCCATGCTGTGATATGTCTGGGAAAGGAAAAACATTAAAAACTTACCTGGGATAGCTATTATTTTCAGCTGCAGGATCTTTTTCAAGCCAACTCTCATAGAGAGATTTATTTTCATAACCCTCATCAGGGCTTAAAATCTGGAGAGAAAAATATAATCATCTCATTGAAAGTACCTCTAACTCATTATAAAAGGAGAACTTTATGGCTATCTGCATCATTATTAATTGACAGCATTGCTGCATGCTGGGAAGTTCACATCCACTATTTACATTAGTTACATACATTTATGGATCCCAACCATGAAAAGCATTTCACTGGCACTTGGAACCAACCACAGACAGTGGGGAAGAGCAGGTTATAAGCTCAAGGACACTAACCAGAGTTCATCCACTTCTGGGGGAAGTGGATCCTGGGGATTTCTAAGACTTCTTACAACCTTATAGCATTGTGTATATACACACACCACAGCATATATAACACTATGGAGCTCCTCCAGCAGCCAGGCTTCCCCATCTGCTTTCCTTTTAGCAGGCAAGGGGAGACAACAGCCCTAACCCTGTGGAGGTTTGCCCTGAGACTGAAACTTGAGTGCTCTTTCTATAGGAGGGGTACAAAAAAACTGTTCTAGAAGGAAGGGTCAAAACCGGTTATTAACTATACTACAGCAGTGCCAAGGTGACAACCAAGACTGGAAAACCATTGTGCACGATACTGTATGTACAAACGTAAGTCCCGGTCTTTAAAAAAATTAGAAAGCTGTGTAACAAGGATGGAAAAAAATATTAGTACAGTAAAACAGCCAGGAAAACTACGAAAGAGTATAAAATTAGTTGAGCAAAGCTCTTAGAATATCAGCGGCAGAGGTAAAAATAAATCAAGACCCTGTCTTTGGTCTCCATCTACACTTTAACAATCTTTAATAGACACGGTCCTTCCTTCAAATGCAAGATTGGTTATGATGTGCAGAGGATTGTTTGTTTGTTTGTTTTTTTCCAAAATACAAAGCATAAATGTTAATGGCTAGGTACGTGATCCTACAGTACTGATGAGATTTAAATTCTGCATTGAAAAATATACAGACTCCAAATTGAAAATCCAAAGAGTTCTGACCTCTTAGATGATGTCAGAAGCTAGCAGAAAAATAACAACTTTGTGAAGTAACTGCTTGGCTGCTGTCATTTTCAGGGCACTTTGGTCAAGTTCTAGGGCTAAATTGAAAATGACACATTAATAAGAGCAATCTGAACTCTGCCATATGGGAGTAAAAGCACTCCATGTTCTGGCAGAGGCGATGTTCTGACAGCTCTGGTCATGTAAAAGCCATTGGCCAGCTTTTTCATAAGGCACTGAGAGCTTAGTAGTAAAACATATTATTTGTCCTGACTTAGATCCAAATCCTTCATCGGCATAAGCTTACTACTACCTCAAGGGAAGATGCAGAGTTCATTAAATATAAATAAAAAGTAAGAAGTGATGATCAGGAAAGGAATTGGAGATGAACTATTGCAGATGCTGGCTGGTGGTGACCAATTGTCTAAAGCCTAGCAGTAGAGCAGGGCCAAGAAAGACTGTCAACAGCTAAATGTCCCATCTGTGTGCTAAAGACACTTAAATGCAGAACTCCCTGAAAGACAACATTTCATGTGTACACTACAGTTTTCTGGTGAGAAGTGGCTCACTAAAAGAAAAAGAGCAAAGAGATCTTGGGATGTTGGATAGCTGGATGTTGGACTCTTTAATATGAACAGAAATAACTTCTTTTTGGACATGTATAATCACCCACACCTGCACTAATGTTCTTTCACATACTGGGATTCCTGTATGAAATTTAATCCCATGCAAAAGCCTAATACAAAGCATAGGGAACATTTAGGTGCTGTTGCTTTTTCCAAGAATTAACTAGGACTTATGAGGTGCACAGGACTTCCCACTATTCTTATTCAAGAAACTAACAACCAGGATATGCAAAGACTTAATGGGTTGAGGCTTTGATGTTTACATATAGCTTCCCAATGTCATCCAAAATCAAATGCATTGCAGTTGAAATAGCAAAACTAAGAATATAATCACTCTGCCTTAGTCCTTCTAGCCCTTACAGAAATCAGGGTTATTTTTCAGATTAGTGTAAAAGACACAACTGATCAGAAAAGGTACTGATTATAGTCTTTGGTTACTTTTATAAGATGATACCTAAATGCAAGTGAGGAAAAAAAAAAAAAGAAAAAAAAATATCAGATTCCTCTGCAAAACGGAGCTTCCCTGGTTTAGCTGTTGCTTCAACTTCTCTCCCTCTTTTCCCAATGCAATTCACTGGAATTTTTAGATACCTGTAGAATAAAGATGTTTGAACCCTTTAATGATTTTATTCTGTGATTTTAGAAGCAAAGAGCCAAGTAAAAGATGTGCCACATTTCTACAGGGTCTATCAGTCATCTATATATATGTTTTTATGCCAACAAAAATGGTGTCCTAGCTAGAGGTGGTCCTTCAGCAAACACCCTTTGGTATCCCTGACTTCTTTCCAAGAGTCCATCAAAACATCTTTTTCCTTGGGAAAATTCCAACAATCACTATGAATGATCTTACAGAAAAGTTCAGAAGAGTGTAAGTGTTCTGGAAAAAGGTTTCACAGCCTAGGATTTATGGATCACTGGTGGCACATCAACACTGGTAAACGAAAGATGGTTCAGAAATTAAAACCACGATGTTGAATCACTGTAAAAATTGAACCATGATTTCATTTTTCAAAAAGATAAGAGGCAATCCCAGGTTTAGCAGTAAAAAAAAAGGAAAACATTCCTTTAGACAAATGTGGCAAGGAGTCTCTCAAATGTATTTAGCAAGACAGCAAAAAAGAATAAGCAAAAAGGAAAAAAGGATTGCAGATGAGATTCTTTGGCCAGAGACAGTATGATAAAACTAGGGAAAATTATCTTTGACAGTTTATGGAAAGGAGAGAACAATAGAGAATCAAAATGTTGTTGCAGAATTCTGATCTGTGGAACAACAGGAAAGAAAAAGTAGTTGTGGGTTCTGTCTATAACAAGCTAAGAAGAAATAAAAAAATTAAGATGTTCCAACAGTGGCTTTAAGGAGCTCAACAAATAGTCAGACTTTTCACTGACAACTCTCTACTATAAAATAATCCCATTTATAAATAAAGCTATGAAGAATATGGATGAATATAATTTACTCCCATGAGATATTTAGCAGGGAGACAGCATGGACTTATAGACAGCTTGTCAGGTTTCTGTCATTTACATTATGCTTCTACTGTTAAAAGCTTAAATAACATTGAATAGGAAAATTTTCAAAAAAGATAAGTCTCAAGTACTTTGTATGGTGTTTTAATGGAAGTTTTCTGCTCAAATCCAACAATAGCTGAATAGTTGACTTAAGATCGAGAGTGAGATACTATTTTTAGCCCAGAAGCATTTTTTCATTTTGTTTATCTTTTGCAGAAGAACGTATCCCTGGGTAAGTGGCTTGCTGCAGACAAAGTAAATTATTTTCTGCAGGGTCGTGCAGCATTAGGGACATGGAAATTTTTATAGGCAAAGAATGTCCTTCACTGTGAAAAGTGTCACAGCTAGCGTTTGAACAAGCACAGCTTCTTCCCCCACAAGGAAGAAAATGTAAGATAGAAAGAGTTCTTAAAAAATAAAATGTAGACAAGAAATACATGGGAATAGCATAGATAAACCACCTCAGATGCAAACCACAGCATTTCCAGCGTAAAGTGTACTGCGTTTGAAAATAATTCAGGATGGATGGTGGTAGGGTAGTAGATTAATAGCTGGAGTCATTCTACCTCGTGCCATTACAGTGCAGATTTTTACACTGGACCACGTTTCCTTTAATATCAGGGGGGAAAGACACTTTGAGAATTCTGTATGTACAAGAGTAGACAACCACATCTGGTCAAATGAATCTCATCCCAAAGGTACCTAATTCTACCTATGGCCTTTAAAGGGAGCCTACATTGCTTAAGTCAGACAAAGGTGTCTTCTGTTAATTGAGATGAATCCAGATCTGAGGATAGTGACAATAGCTCATGCTAGATGCTTAATCTAGTTAACTACTTATATGACCAAGGAAGTTTCATGCTTTAATGGATCACAGTCTTTCAGCCTTATGATAATTCATCCTGAGAGGTAAAAGAAAAGGAGACATGATTAGACCACTTGTAATCATACAAGTCCATACATCTGGCCTGTTACAAAACCTGTTCAATCCTTCAATATTTATCACAGTATTTCAGGGTCTCAATGACATATAAACAGAGAGAAAATGGTAGCTAGCCAATGCAAGAATTAATAGATTCTCTTTTGCACATGAAATGGAAATTTAAAATACAATTTATTTCCTTGAATGCTTATCACTTTAGAGAACTGATCTTGCTCAAGTGTTTTACTATCTTGGTTTTATTATTATTTTTACTATATTTCACAATTACTATTCCACTTATGTCAGTGACACATTTTAACCTTTCTACGAATACTAAGGGACTGTGATCCTGGACTGTATACCACTGATTGGATATTTTGCTATTGATTTTGGTGGGTTCAAGATTCTTCCAGCACAGAGATAAGATAAATCCAATATTATTTAATAATCCAATTTGATCCAAAAAACTTGCAGTTATACATTCTTAGAAAGTCACAAAAAGATACTCTGATTTTGTACCTCTTTTGTCAGATTATACACCAGTTTGTAGAGAAGAGGGCTGCAGTCAACTCTTAATGTGTAGTTACCTGAAAATGAAACAAAGACAAGGAAATTTTCCCTTCACATACCAGTGGCATTATCTTCTTATTTGATTAAATCCTGTAGTCCTTTCTCAGACAAACTTCTTATGTCCAAGGCAAGAATTTAGATCTTGTCTCAGAACATATAAGCTACTGCTACTACACCACAATGATGCTTTGGTTTTAGTAGATACATAGCAATGTAATTAAACTTTGCCATAGTTCTAAAATATGACTAAGTATCCTTCATTAGCTACATGTCCTTGTCACTCAAATGCTCCCAGAAGCTTGTGTTTAAGAGAAGGCAATGGTAACATCCTACTTTTTTGTAAGATGTTAAAAATAAAGCTAGTGCATTCAGGAACTGTGCAGGAGGAAAGACATATTCTCTGCAAGATGCTTTAAGAAGACTTTCAATGTCACTGCATCTTCTTTTATCATAAAGAGTACATTTTCAATGTTTTTGCAGACAGTATGTGAAAGACAGGTCATGTTCTGAGTAAGAAAGAGACTTGCAAGACATCTGGCATTTTATATTTCAGAACTAAGTCTCACTCAAACAGGAGGCAAAGATGCAGAGTAATGTTTTCATCTACTGTGTCCTAAACCTCCCCTTTTATCACCATACTGTGGCTCCTACACTTTACACCTATGAGGTTTCCACACTGCCTGTGGGCTATGCTGAGCTAGGTGAGCATCTAATACTGCAGTTGTCAGTAACAGCAGCAAGACCCCCAACAAAAAGAAACTATCACCACTTTTGAGGCAGGCAGGAATGTAAAGCAGTCCTCTTTATAGACTACGAGCACCAGACAGCAGCTGGGCAAACACCTCTGCCCTCGAATACATACAGCAACGAAGAGGGGGAGAGGGATGAGAAGACTGGGACATAAAACATAAACCACTAAGTAACACAGTTATTAGGTTTTGATATGGCTTTAGACCTTTGGGTCATCCTTTCCACAGTGTGTACTCACATGAGAGCTAGACTGATAATGTTAATGATGTTTCCAAGGAGAGTATATTTGAGAACTGGAAATTAAAGTCACAAAAATGCTCAAAAGGATGACCCACTGTTTGTCTTTTCATTGCTAAAGGTCAGTGAATAGTGAATAGAAAAAATCTGCTGTCCAAAACGTGGCATAAGAAATGCTATGGAGTATGATGATAGAATAACTGGTGGAGTACATGGATGCTACAGGAGATGTTAATGTTCAGTCAGGTGAAAGATGTCCAGGATATTTAAAACCATACACTGAATATGGTATTCTTTTCCTTATTACATACTTATTTTCCAGTGGGTTTACTTTCCCATTTCCCTTAATGCATAAAGCAAAAGACATGTTTGAATAATCGAGATTTAGAAGAAAATTGTTAAGGCAGCAGCATGTTGGCCGCAAACCAACTAAAAATGTGTTACAACCCATGCTGAGAATATGAAGCAGTTGTAAAGCTATTATTTCATTCGTGAGATCTTCTAGGCGTGAAATTCTGCTCTACTTTTTACACAGCATGTAGGCTGCATAATTGAAGGAACAGCTCTAGCCCTCCCTATAACCCAAGTCCAACTGAGAGTTTAGAAACTGGGTTTGTCTGTTCTTTCTTTCCAATCCTTTTCTGACAGACAAAATTTTCAGCTGACAGGAATAAAAAGAGTTCTTAAATATGCCTGTTGATATCCATTTTATTCACACACAGTAAGCCCAAATAAGTTGGGTTTAACATGGGAAGAGCAGTGCCCTAAATAACTGAGGTTATGATGCAGGACAGCTTTGCAGGACTCTACTATTATTTTGGCATAGACAACAATAAATTAAGTCCTTGTGTAATGAAGCTCAGTATAATTTAAGAAGGATTTTGTGATTTAGGTCATAGTGTTGGCCTGAAAACAAAGTCCAGTTTCTAAGCAACATTCCTGTATGACAGATTCTTCTCAAAATCTGAAGGGCATAGTAAATTGGATAATAATGGATCAGGTTTTTTGTGAAACAGCGCTTATTTTTCTAGAAGAGCCCTGACATAATACATATGTAACTCCCTGCATATTCTCACAGCAATGAACAAGGCGACCACACTGGCCCAAAGCACCAAAATGTGTCCCACCCCCACAAAATGTAAACCTCAGGTCTTGACACAAATTGTCTTAATTTTAACAAATTAGTGTCCCAAAATATTATAATTCCACAGGGAAAGGAGCTGGACCTGCAATCAGAACAAGGAGCGGTATATCATATATTAAAACTGTAATTGTAAATTAAAGCTAGTGCAGTTAAGAGAGAGTTTAACATTCAGACCATTCAGTTCACTAGCACAGAATACTAAACTCCTCCAGAGGAGACATTCTGGACTCCAGACATGTGGGCTGCAGCTCATGGATGGCGTTATTTGCAACAAGAAAGTAACAAGAGAATTTAAACTGTTCTCTCTCTCCACTTGATTCTATATTTGCTACACTTACTCTGAACATCACTTTATCTATCTTACATTTGCCAGCTCTGGATGCAATAAGTAATACACAGTAAACTATTAAAATTGACATCTGTGAAGAAAAGTGAGTTTAAAAATAAAAGACACACCTTCTATAGAAGAATCTGTGTTGATGTAAGCAACTGCCCGTTCCTGGAGGACTCTGGCATTTTCCTGGAGTTGTAAAAGTGTAATTATTATTTTCAGTTAGTGAACTCTAGTCAAGAGCACATTAAGTGCACTGCTTTTTACAGCATTACCTTTAACAACCCAGTCAAGATAAATATCACTACACACCTTACTAATTATATTAATGTCTGAGGATGGCTCAGTGATCCAGGCATGTGAAATTCACTCCTGTTTTCTGGGACTTATTTTGTTGTGGAAAACATCCACAAAATCTAGGTGCTGCCTGCTGCATCACACGGGAGCAAGATGGAACAGGACAATTGTAGCAGGGTAAATTAAGGTTATACATGTGTTTTAACTCTGCATTTGCAGACCTTTTTGAGCATTCAACATGTGACTGTAACATCAGTCAGAATGCCTCCTTGCTTTTAATTCTCAGTTATTCATCTGAGCTCCCAGCCCTGAACTCTTAACACTGATAAACCAAGTACTGCTGTTATTTCCATACTCTTCCACTTCAAAAAGGGACAAGTCAAATCATTGGCATTTCCTGTTACAATTAATTTGACTGTTTTGAGTCAAGCAGCATTGCTTTCATGCTAAATATATTCACACACTTGTTTAATTTTTTGCAAACTGGTAATTATGTTTGAAATTGATATTCTAATCAGTAAGTGGTATTTTACCAAGTCTTGGCTTTGTGATAGATATTCTAATTAGGTTAGTAATTGTTACTTGATTCATTCAATTTATAACCCAACTAATCATCTGTAAGTCATGTGAACTAAAAATTGAATTGATAATTGATAACTTCATAATTAAATTAATATCTTTAAAGCAAGCTGTGGAGGAGATTCTGAAAAAGAATATGAAGGGAGGAAGCAAGCCTGTATGTGCATACATGAGGCCTTGCATACATGCAAAAGCATATTTGCAACAAAGAAATTCCTTCGTTTACGAGCAATGGGGATTGTCTATGTAACAAAAGGATGTTGACACAGTTGCAGAGTCTTTTTGTTACGCAGAGGACAGTAAAAATCATGGGTTGATTTTCCTCAAGATTTAGTACATGACAGATCTGGCAGCTGCAGAAAACATGAATGTAAGCTGTGAGAAGTGTCTCTACAGAAACTGCATTTAATTTGGGTGTAAAAGAATAGGAAGGCACGCCACCGGGATAAAACAAGAAAACAATAATATAAAAACATTGAGGTTCAAATATGAATTCTGCTCATGGCTTTCTAATCTAGTACAGCTGCTGTTTCATGAAATAATGGATGATAGATTACTAGATATTAAACTATTAAGCAAAAAACATTACAGAACAGCAGTAGCAATATGTGACCAAATCAAAAAGAATTTATTCATGACTTGCTCAAGAGAAATTGATCTTTTAAGTATCAGTTTCATATTCCTCAGTTAAAATAACTGAGTGTTTTTTCTTGATAGCATCTAAATATGTGCAGATACACAGACAAAGAAATCACAAATAAAGTTTTATATACAGTATACTTCTGTTACTAGTGGAATTCAGGTGGGATGAAACTTTAATGCCAACTCTTTAAAATCTCTCAGTAAATTTTAAACTAAACTTAAAAATCTCTCAGTGATTTTAAAGATAATTTAAATTATACTTTCTTCATCTAAGATCCCATAAAGCAACGCAAAACGCAGAGTCGGTTGCAGCCGTAAGCCAAACAGTTTATGAGAGAAAGAATTAGTGCAAATCCAAAGGAACAAAAATCTCAGCTTTGTTAACAGAAGAGTGATGGAATCCCCTTGCTGTTTGGGAGCATACTTCTGGTTTTGTTCCCTCTTCTGACATGTGTCATTTTGTTATGTAATTTTGTGGTTTACTGAAATACCTGTCAATAAACTAAAACAAAAAGATTAAAATACTGTATTTTATAGATTTTGAAAGCTCTATCTACATGTCTAAATATAACCTTGTAAATAAAATTCTAACGGACAGTACATTTATGTTAAATCGTTCAGTACTAATTTTACATAATTCAGCAGAACTGTGTTTCATCAAACAGTTTTCTGCCTGCCCTATTTCTAATTTGGATTTTACAGACAAAGGAATGAAAACTCTTGTAAGACCTATATTTCTTACAGGGGCTGAACAAATCCACTTACAGGATTAAGAACTGAACATGCCCAACAGGGAAAGGAAGATAAAAACATTCAGAACCTCATTTCTGAATTTCCCAACATCCTTCTATCAGGCAGAAATGTAGTCAGGTATCGAACTACAGAATTAATCAATTGTCTTGCCTCTGAGACTCTACAATACTGGAAGTTTCACAGAAATTTGGAACTATTCACTCATAGATTACTTAGCCTTTCCTTTTCCAAGGATGATTAATTTCCACACAAAGGGCTTGGTGTGTTTATGGATCACAGGTATATGATCTGGACTTCAGTTTATAGAAACTGAGGAATTTCTCAAATAGAGAGTTAGAAAATAACCCAGTTTAGGTTATATAAAATGCTATCATTCTGTTAAAGGAAGGGATAGATTTCCACATAGGGGAAATCTATCTTTCCACTGAGAGGCATCAGCTTTCAATGAAAGTATATTTTTAAATCTTAGAAGAGTTGGTGCACTTATGTTGTAATAAGTTAGGTAAGTCATTTATATAATTATATGAGGATCTCACAGCACCCGAAGGAGTCAGTTGTGCTCCAAGTTTACTTTGAACTATTGATTGTAGTCTAGGAATAGAAGGCACTGGGTACTGCTGCTGCCTGCAACAGACATTCAAGTTTTGCTTTCTTTACACTGTTTATTATTTACCTCAGCCCATTCTGTGGATCCCAATAACCCAAATTCTTCTGCATCCCAGCTAGCAAAAATAATAGTTCGCTTAGGCCTCCAACCTGCAATCACACAGTTAAACTTAAAAATTCAACTTAAAGTTAGAAAGTCTAGTGAAAGATCATCACAGTTAATTGAAATCACTTTAAAAAAGTAGCACTTAATTGATATAGCAATAAAAAAATCCTCTCTAAACTCCTTAGAGGAACAAATTATTCCAGAAACATTTCTTCTTAATGCAATATTTTCATTCCACACAACTAAGAGGTTACTATTACACTGATGCGAGATGTTGTTGTGGTTTGAGCCTACTCAACACCTAAATGCCACACAGCCGCTCACCCACCCTCCCCCCACTTGGGAATGGGGAGGGAATCGGAGGGGCAAAGGGAGACTCACGGGTTGCGATAAAAACAGTTTAGTAACAGTAACAGAACAATACACTGACAGCAGTATCAGCAGGTAATGTACAACACAGCTGCTCACCACCCTCAGACCAACACCCACCTGCTCCCAGCCAGCAAACCCAAACACAAAGGCCCCACAGCCACACTCCCCAAAAGTGACAGCTCCTTCCAGCCCTCTCCTGCCTTTATATAGTGAGCACAGTGTCACATGACATGGACTATCGGCCAATCGGGGCCCAGCCCTCCAGCTGTGCTCCCCCCACCCCCGCACACAGGTGAGGGCACTGGGGCCTGGGGAGCCCCTGGGGTCTCAGGGTGCTGCAGCACTCCTCCAGCTACTAAAACCAACAGGAACTCTAGTCCAGCCTGAACCAGGACAGATGTGAGGGAATAAATTCAGCCAACTAAGATGCAATGCTACATACGCATCTCTTCAATGAATTTACATCTTTCATAATGATTAATACAACTTTCTGTAGAGGTGAAAAGTTAAATCAACACAACTGCTTATGGAAACATTCAACACAGTTCCTCAAAACTGCTGTTTTCCATATCCATCATTTTATGTCTGTAATAAGTTAGTTACCTTCCATCTTCATTTTACCAAAACTTCGTACAACTTCCTGCAGAACAGCTGCACCTGTAGTAGGATCAATACCACCAAATACCCAAGAGTCTCTATGACCTCCTAAAATAATGTATCTGTCTGGGAACAAACACATAATATCAATCCTTAAATAAAAATGCATTTAGATTACCTGTATTTCCTTTGATTTCATCCCTACTTGTGTCAAACAAAATATGAAGTTTAATACCAGTGCTACAAATTTGTTTTTTAAGGTAATCTGCAATCATTCACTTGTTCTATGGAAGTATATAAATGAAGACAAGAAATATTTTCTACATATATTTCCCTGTAAAAGTCTCTCATGTATGTGGCCCGCTATGAACTAGCAACAATAGTATGCTGAAGTCCCAAATCATCACTGGTTTTCTGTACTTTGCATTGAGTTAATTTTTGCAAAGACAAAATGTATGAATTATGTAAGGGGTAACCTACTGTAAAATGACAGGCTTTATAAAAAAATTCTGTGACGGTAACCTACTGTAAAATGACAGGCTTTATAAAAAAATTCTGTGACATCTATCATTCTAACATCCCCATTCAAATATATTCTTGGGAATGCCAATGAAAAAGACTGTGATGGGAAGGGCAGGACAACTATTAAGAGTTTCTAAGATTTCATATTTGACTATCTAAAAAGCTTGAAGTTTCTTGCAACATGAGAACAGTTTCACCAAACACAAAGAAGGAATTAAAATCATTAAGCACCCAATGCCCACCTGGTTCCACAGCTCCTCTGAGGATGCCAATGACATTGCAAATTCGTGTTATTTTATTGTTTGTATGAACATGCATTCTGACTCTTCTGAAATGAAAAGCAATATGGGGTAACCATTTCTGACTGAGAAGGCAATAAAAAGTCAACGTTGATAAGCTGTAAGCCAGAAAGTTAGTGCTTTGGTTCTGCTTTGTGTGTTCAACGCTGATCTAACCTGTCATGCTCTATGAGTGTCCCATTTTTTATTTCAGGATAACCTGCTGACAGAAATATGTCTTAGAGACAACCCTAGAAAGTGGGACAATGTATAAACTTTCAAATATTTACAGAATTTATTGAATTGTCATTTATGGGATTCAATCGGATAATTAGGGGAGTAAACTGAAAAGCATACACAGTAATTAAAAATACATTTCCATTTTGACCAAAATTATAATTGTGGATATACATATTTTTATAAAGAATATACTTTGGTTTTCTAGCACAATTCTGTGTAATAAGATAGAACTTGGAGAGAAGGTCATTAGAAATATTCATTTAGGAATAAATAGAAATCTCTGTTTAAGACAGCAGATCTAAGTCATCAAGACTTGCCAATCCTCCATGCTTCTCCCCCAGTAAAATCCAATTGTGAAATTTTATGAAAAGGAAGGAAATTCAGGCATTAAGAGTGCTAAAAACAATGTAGTATTCAGAACCTCTTAACCTGCAGAAGAAACAAAGCATCAAACAGTGCTTTTTTTGTCTGGCAAAACCCCAAGAGTTTCACATTTGAAGTTAACTTCTCAGCAGCAAATCTGCATAGCTGTCAAAATCAAAACCTACTTCAGGACAGCTACTGGATCTTTGCCCAGAAAATAACTGTCACCAGTGCCTTGAGCATGCATATACTTGCACACTTTCCATGTGCAAGTGACTTTCTACCTAGACTCAGAAGGTTTATTTTGATATGGAGTTACTCTGAGAAAGAAGTATATGTAGTATTAACCCATATTTACAAAAACTGTTACCCTATCAAGTAGGAAGATGTTAAAAAGTGCATTCAAAAATATTTCCCATGGATATGTTTTGTGGATGAATCATATTGCTTCTTTTCTCACTGTTACTCTTCAAGACATTCCAAACAGCAGTTTAATTATGTCAAATATACTTTCTTATTTATTTATTCCTACCATATTAATTTTCAGCTAGTGTTAAAGCAGAACTGAAAAGAATAATAATCAATAAAGTCTTTATAAAATTATATATTCAGGCATACATTGGTTTTGCAGGAGGTGGAGCAGTGATAATGATACACCATTTTTACACCATTCATTGCAGTCCACTACCAGTTCTGATGGAATAATATCTCATGGAAACTAAAAGTATTTTTATGTGAAAAAAGAATAGAAAAGCAATCTTTAGCTTTATCTATTTCAGCTTATCGGTATAAACAAGGAAGAATGCTATGACTGTCCTTGACAGCCAGTCAAATCCCACATTGCCAAATGCAATTTTTAGGTGGCTTGATCTGTTAAAAAGTGACTCTGTTAGTAGTTCTGGAAACCTGGACAGTTGTATTTCTCTGTTACAGCTGAAAAAATGTTACTACAAACATACTATTCTTAATCCAACTGGTCAAAGGCTATTTCTACCCAAGCAAATTATGTGCATTGGGCTATTCCATGCTGTTATTGTTCAGAGCTTTCAACCATGCAGCCTACCAGCTTTGGGGAACAGTTGATGGATCTCTCAAATCATTGCCACACTTCAAAGCTCTAAATTCACAGAAACCCTTGGAGGCTTTCAGTGGAAAAGGGAAACATATGCAGAAGAGAATTACTGAATTGTCAGTCCTTCCCAGTTGGACTGGTACAAGCTGGCTGTCCAGTTGTCCTCTTGGTCATCAGAAACAGAAAAGAAAAACCAAACTTCAAGTGAGGACGAAGTTTAGGGTTAATTCAACAGTATTAAAAATACACCTACTTACAGCTATAAAGCCATTTCAAAAAGGACCAGTGAAACAACGTCTGAACCTTCAAGTAGGGATAAAAGTTGGAATAACAGGACTGGACCTATACCCTCTGAATCTGTCCATTCATTGACACTGGGGACACTGAGCAAAACCATGGTTTTGATAATTTGTTTTCAAACACTAATGATTATCACCAAGTGCTGCCCACTCAGAAGGAAGCAAATTTTTCCAAAATATCTCTGGATGTATTGTTTCACAGTCTTTTTCTTGTTGAGACTTTTTCTGCAATATTTTATAAATAGGCAAGTGTTAAAACAGACCTTGTAGAAGAGTTTGCAAATCCTGGCCCTATGTTGTAAGACACATTGAGACTTCCCTTCCAGCTGCTGTCTGGAGCTGTGGGTCCTCCCATTGCACTGTTAAGTGAAAACCAAGACAAATGTAGTTGTCCAGTGGACTAAAATCTTAAATTTTCTTAATGATTACTGCACCTAAAACAAGGTGGGTTTACAAAATTCTTAAAAGAATTATGCCAGAAACAGATTGCTTTGAATTTTCCACATTTTCTGAAGCATACGCTACTACAAAAGAACAATAAATCCAAGTAACTGCATAGATTTTACCATCTTAGCATAAAAAATTTTGTGTACATTTGTGAATACTGACTTCTGGTGAGGAGGACTGATGCATACTCACCGTAATAATACTTCTGCATCATGATATCCAATGGGATGAACCGGGATTTGGGGAATTCCTACACCTTCATTAACTTTATACCTGAAAGCGTACTCTGAGAAACCAGAATAAAATGTCAAATTTATAGTGTTCTTAGCAACTTTCACCAAACTGGAAACAATTTTGAACAGGGCAGCCACACAGTGGCAACAAGGATGCATCTTTTTTTACTTCTTGCATAATTTTTTTGATATTGCTTCTAGAAAACAAAAATGTAATGACAGAATCATGAACCCATTAGTGCATCTGCACAACTGTGTGAGCCCCCACATTTGATGCAAGGTTAGATTTGCTGTCCATCCATATTGTTACACCTCCTCAAAGCTGGTGTGTGAGATGAAGATAGTCCCTGTGCAGCCTGTTGGCAAGGTGCAGAAGACATTCACAGATGCACTTACTTATGTTGAAGACAGTCAATGTCTCTCTGAATCTGGTGGGCCAGGCACACACAATCTATCCTGTTTTTTCAGTAGGTTGTTGTCTTATGCCCCCAGAAATGGTCACACAAGCCAGCGAGCTTTCCAGAAGCACCCCTGTATTCCCACCCCACCTGCATACAGGACTGGTAGGCATCTCAGTTCAGACTGAGTTCAGGATGCCCACGAGGACAAGACAAGCACATGGTGCCAGGTTTTGGAAGACTCCAGGCTACTGTTATTTTTACTACAGAAATTTTACTCCCTGCAAAGAGAATTTTAAACTGTTTTTCTTCTTGGAATTTAGGATCAGCAAGGAAACATACCTCCAAGCAAAGCTATTACTCCTCTTTGATAGTAGACTATAATCCAGTTTAAACCAGTCATTTTGAGAAACACAGATATTTAAAAATTACTATAAATTCTCAGCCATTTTCTGCTGCTTCCTGGTCTGTAAACCTACACATCCTGCTTTTCTAAGGGTTACAAGGCTGGGATCATACAAGGAGATTTTTTTAAAAACTTGCTTTCCCTGCCTAACTCAAAAGCAACCAGTTAAAATGACATACAGGTAGAACTGAGTCTGCAATAGGAAAATTAACTACTGCTAAAAATAATTTTAAGCAGCTTTTTTCTTTGCATTTTCACTGAAAATAGATGAATTTCTAGTGCCATGATAACTTTCAGCAACAGTTTATAAAGTACTTGACGGCCCAGGGTACAGATCTTTTGCTCACCTTTTGCAGGGTAACCTGGTGTTAGAGGGTCCCCTGCTCCATTCAGGTTTAACACATTCCCACGCTGGGCTCCTCCATCTGGAAGGTTCCAGCCATCTGGATAAGTATCTACTCCTGGGGCACAGTAGTCAGCAGGGTCGGAATAAAGTATGATCCCTTGGGCTCCTGCTAATATGGCATTTTTAACCTGTAAAATTATTTGCTTTTCAGAAATGCTTTTTTTTTTTTTTTTTTTTTTTTTAATGCAGTAATAAATATGAATGTTGCAATTTACTTCCATGGGGACATAGTTTTAGAAGTTGTATATGTGGAAGAGTGAAAATGGCCACAGACTCAGCAGAAGAACAAACCACAGTGAAACCCAGTATGTTCATTATTTGTGTCACACCTTTAGTCATAGCTCAAGGTCATGAAATAAAGCACAGGACACAAAACTCAGGCACAAAAACTGACTACTATCCCCACTGTCCCGCTATCACCAGTTTTGTCAGAGTTGTTCTGTAAAGTAAGAAGAGTTAGTTATTCAATCTCCATGCATCAGACTCCTCTTCAAATACTTACTTCTTAAAAATACAGTAGTTCCAAGGATGAAAAATATTAAAAGCCTTGGCTGTACAAAATACTCAGTTCCCTAAGCTAATCTATTGAAAAAACTGCCTAAGGACTTTACAGTCATCTCAGCCTCAGGAGATTAATATATTCATCTGTTTCTATTGTTTTGGAAATTATTCGTAGAATGCAGTCACAATGGACACATTGCAGGGTTCCTTCTGCTCATATGTTTTAAATCACAACCCTCATTAGCTCCTGCCAGCTCTACCATGAGCAGTGTTTGACCCACACAGGAAAAAATAAAACACAACCCTTACTTTGTTTCCTCTGAAGATCTTCCCGTATCTGGCAATGACAATCTTTCCTGTACAGTTAATTCCCATTTCACGCTCCAGCTTAAAAAAATCTTCAGTACGGCCATAGTTCACATATACCAGATCTGCCTGCACAGAAAAGAAAAGCAGTTTCATGGCAATTGGACATTTTCACATTTCTACAACGGAGATCCAGTGCTCATAAAAACAATAGCAAAACATATCCATAATATTCTCAGCTCAAACCATTGACCTCTCTATATTATCCTGCACTTACCAGCAGCCCTATAAACTGAGGTTGGAAAGTAAACCAACCTACTTTGCTAAACTGACAGATTTCTGTGGCCATTATAAAATAGCCATATTCCTTGCATACACAAACACTATTATATAATTTCATCCATTTATGCAATCAAAAGTTGTCCCTGACTTCTTCCTCCATGATGAATTATCAGAATGAGTGTGTTTTGTAGCCTTTGAAGACATTCGCTTAATTCAAAATGTCTTCCAAATTGATTTATATATTGCTCTTTCCATTTAAGACTTATGCAAGTCCTCTCCATATTATTGAGTAATGTGTAATAATTTGAGATGTATCCAACATTTTCCATAAAGATAAAAGCTTTTCACTTATTATGTGTTTCAGAATTCTAGCAATTTGAGAAAGATTTTCTTTGTAATAGGAGACTTCTAACCTTCACACAATATGTGGCCTAGCTGTCCTTAAGTGTTCTTTTATATTAATGATTAATTAAAACTATTGCAACAAGTATTTTGAGAAGTTGAAGCAATCTATCCCAGAAAATGTTTCATAAAATATGACTTCAGCTAATAATAATCTCCTATATAATTTTTTCTTACCTCTGGCACTCCTTGTGCTGAAAAAGCATTATATGGTGGTAGTATATCAGTAACATTTTCATACCCCTGTGGAGGTGGCTCAAACAATGATGTATTGAAAATCTATCAATAAATAACAGAAGTCTTTGGTCAAACACTCTATCTCCAGGCACAAATTTGTACACTAAGCTTGGTTATTGCAAATTGTATGCTAGCTTCCATAAATTGTTAGCAAAAATACAATTCTAACTAGCACATCTAAGCAAAAAAAAAAAAACCAAACAAACAAAAAAAACCATCTAGGGATACATAGCTGAATTTTTATAAAAGAATGCTAATATGAATACAGAGAGATAGATCACTTCTCAGAAGATGCTCGAGTCACTGCCTAAACCTAATCAAAGAAGTAGCTGAAGACTGCCAAGAGGTGGTGACAATAAAAATACACCTAGTTCATCCACGCCATCACAGGTATTTTTTGTGATTACTCCCACCTGTATTATTACTCTTCTTTTTACCAGTTACGCTCCAGTTAAATGTGCTTACCTTTATCACTATCTATTCTAACACTCACGTTGCCTCAAGGTTCATGTCCACTCTTTGTCACCTTGTGAGACTATACCTGAGAGACTGTTACTGGGTTTCTGGAAGTATTTCTCCATTCTTTCACCTCTAAGATCACGTCAACCCCAAGCACGTATTCCTTAGTTTATACCTGAGCTCTTCATCCCTAACTATGTACTATGATGCTTCTCTAGCTGTTCCATCTGCTGACCTCGCTCAGGCCCTTTGTGAGATTTTACATCTACTTCTTTATTCCCCTGTGTGTACAAAATTAAGATGACTATAGACCGACTTCATTATGATTTAGGAGACACTAGAGGAAGCCAGTAGGATCATGTTCAGAGCCAATGAAAGGAGGTAGTACTTCATATAATGGATAGTATCTGTGTGGCATTCTTCACCTCAACATGTTGTGGAAGCAAAAATTGTACAGGTGTTCAAGCAGAGATTGGATAGGTGTTTGGAAGAGAGATCTAACAAGGGTCACTAAATGGATAAATACTTGGAAACGAGGTCTAATGAGGATTCTTAAAGAGACTAATTGTGCCACACTTAGAGAACCACTGAGCTGAAAACAGCTAGACACTGGAAGAATTGCATGCCCTAAATACATCCCTTTGTTCTTAAACTTCCCTGTGCAACCATTTCAGGCTGTTTATGGAAACAGGACATTGGCCTAGGTGTATCCCTCATCTGGACCAATATGGACATTCTTACACCTTATGGTCTATTGGTGTTAATCACAGCCTCTCCACACATCCTCTACTGTATGAGGCACTGAGATTGTAACCACTCTGCTGTTCTGCTGCACAGTCTGGAAAACCATTTCTAAATATGAGTTCCCTTTGTGCTGGATTTTCTATCATATTATAAAGCACATGCTAGGATAAGTGTGTGGAAAAAGAAAAAGGCACTGTTTCTTTAAAGGATTCTTATATCAATATAGTTTAATCATTAAAAAGATCACCTCATTCCCTTGATCATCAATTACTGAGATGTAGTTTGGCTGCGTTTCATTTGGGTATGAAAGAAGCACATCATAATGAACAAGTTCTGCTGAATCCAGTCCAAATTCCTTCCACTGGCCTTGAATTTGTTTGGCAAGAAGAAGATTTTGTTCTGTTCCTGCGAGGTGAGGTAACTTGGTAAACGAGCTAGAATAAAACAGAAAATTGCTAGTAAAAACCAAATGCAGAAAGGCACAATAGTGAACTAGAATCAGTGTGTATAAAGCTTGTCTTCAAGACACATGCATGGAAAGTAAGGTCTTATAGCTAAAGTCTGAGCTGTTTAACATTTGTTTATCAGTTTGCATCAGGATAAGCACAAAATATAGTCAAAGCAGGGGATCTTTCCTGAGGCCTTAAGATAAGTCAGCTGCATAACAGAAATAGAAACATCTACATACAAGCAGTGAAAATCAGTGTCAAAGACATTCAACAAAAGAATATGAATGGTATGCAAGGAGCAGAAATAGATACAGAAAAGCTACACATTCAGAAAGGAGCCCTCCAAATAATCCTGGTATCTGATGATGGGTTTGTATATTGTTGGCATAACATGCACTAATTAGTTTAACTTGAAAATCATTATGTCAAACTATCATCAGGGATTTGTTCTTTTTTTTTTTCTTAATCAAAAGCCTGAATAACAAAAGCCTTTTTAAAAACATTTATATCCAGATCAGATATAATACATAATGGTGATAAACTGTCAGAAAAAATATTCAGACCCTCTGGGCTACCCTACAAAAATCTATCTACAATTTGTTTGGTCCACTGAACAAACAAGTTATGGTGAACGCGGATCATTCAGTGGGTACTAAACACCAGTTTCAAATTCCCAAGAGGCTACTTGTTAATGGTTGCCTCACGGATGTCAGATACCATCAATTACTGTTCATTAATGGTACCAAATACTATGATTAGTACTACTTCAACCTGTCAGTTCAGACTATTTTCAACCCATGTAACAAGTTGTTCTTCAGTATGTGCTTCCTGAGCTTCCAAGCAGGAATGTTGTGGGAGATGACGTCCAGAGCCCTGTTAAAGCCAAGGGTGTTACAGCCACAGTAATGTCCCCAGTCATCCACGTAGACTGTCATTTCCTTACAGAAGGCGGTCATGCTGATCATATAAACAAATAGTAAATAAATGCTGACTGTTCCTAACTATCTTTGTGTCCTTCACGTGTTTGGAAACAGATTCCAGAAGGATGTTTGGTCACCCTTCCAGGGACTGAAGTGAAGCTGACCAGCCCACAGTCCCCCAGGTTGTCTTTCTTGCCTTACTTAAAAATGGGCACAACATCAGCCTTTTTCAGCCACCATGGACGTCTTTCAATCACCAGAACTTCTCTTAGACAGCAGCCTTGCAATCATACCATCCAGGTCTTTCACACGAATCCCATCTGCACCCCCCAGATTTGAATGCATCTAGATTAAGTAGACCATAACTTTCTGCTCCCTGCTGTTGTCTTTCCCTCTCTTTAAACTGTGTGGGTACACATTGTGATCTGGAATCAACCTTTGTCAAAGCTTGTTGCCTGTCTTCTTGCACTTTAATTCTCTAGAGTATTTTAAGTGCCTTTTAATTCATTTAAATTAAGTTCAAACACTACGTATGCCATAAAGAAAAATATACTGAACAACACATGATGCTTTTTTTCAGTTTTTCACTTTCAGTTTCACCATTTCCAGAGCTATGATTCAATGCAGTCAAAGTGTCTGCATTTTCCGAGACTCAACGTTTGTTTTCCCCACTTGATAAAAGATTTAGTAGTCTGAAAAGCTAAGAATATGGATCAAAATTCTCAAGTTCACTTTTTTTATGATTTTAACAAACTTTTTGGATAGAGGATTAATATATTTTTTTATCTGCAGTACCTGCTTTTTATTTGAATTTAGGAAAACAAAACGAAAACCAGGATGAAGCATTTGGCCCATCATCAAAGCAAGCAGACAAAACAGATACCATTAATACCCTATGGCCAAGAAACTTTAGCGTAATTGCAGAGATATTTCATGCTGTCATCAATTTCTATGTTTCCTACACTCTCACTCAGACATAGTCTTCAACAACTCTTCAATCTACCAGGAGCAATAAATACAAAATAAGGCCTATAGACTTAAAAAGCTAATTGATGTTTACAGATTAAACCTTTTGATTTTAGAATAAATGTACAGAAATCAAATTTGTCAGTAATCCTTTGATGTTTATGATGCAGCTGCTGACTTACATGCTGAATATCAACATGTTACTAGCTAGAGGTTATATTTGTATATTTGTTTATTTTCTGTGTGAATATATTTGTTCCTCTGTAGAAAATATAAATATGCAATTTTTTTTTTTTTTTTCATTTCCAGTGAAATACACAGCAAAACAAGAAGCTATTGTTATATCCCTAGCATTTTAGATGTTTTGGAAAAAACATGTGGATGTACTAGGATGAAAAAAGTATATTTAACAACAATTACATGATGCAAGATTCAATCAATCATACACACACACTGTGCGTGGACAGGGCCCTTCATCTTCTGAAACAGAAGACAGGTTGTAATGGAATCTCAAGCGCCCAGTTAACAGCACATTATCCAATATGGCCACACTAAAGAAATTATCAATTTTATGTATATATGAAACTCAGTGCCATGCAAAATTTGTATCATTTTTAATATATCCATTTTCTACTTAGACTAGCTGCCCAAACTGGAAGTTTAAAAAGACACTGGAGAGATTATAAATCAAATGTAATGAATAGCAATCAGTGTATCCCAAATACAGTAAAATCATCCCATTTTGAGACAAGGCAGTTATCCAGTGGTAGAGCTTCAGACATTTGTGAAGAAAAAACAGACACTTGTACTGCATTAAATCAAGACTATGGAAAATCATAACAAAAAAGCATGATAAGCACTGGCAGTAATGCAGCTCAAGGGATGTACATTTAACAGTACAACCACTCCAGAAAGGTAATTTCAAAAATGGGGAGGGGGAAACAGAAGGGTTGTGAGTCTCTCCGTTCTCCTTCCCTCAGACATTCTGTAAAAACCAAGTGCTTCCAAATCATCTTAACAGCTCTGCTTTCAGAGGCTGTTCCTTGGAGCTGGTGTTATCATTTTCTGGCTTTTATGACTGATAAAATTATTCCAAAACCAAGATGCGCAGGGCTTACCGAAGGAATTGCTTGATGTTTTCTGGTTTCATTTCAGCCACAAGTTTCTGTCGCACGTTTTGATAGACATCTGAAGAGTTGGGGGTTTTTTCGGTTGGTTTTGTAAACCATCCTGAAACACATTTGAAAAGCTTTTTGTTTAGCAAGAACCCCACTCCTCACATGTTACTGAACAGCCTCATTAAAACCATGAGGATTAACAGGGCTTAGAGCACCCTCTGTCAGTGTTTGCTGGCACAAACATAAAGTGAAGCAGAAAAGTAAAATATACTTAATTGACTGAATTGTCAAAAAAAGTGACATAATTAAAAGAGTACACCCTAAATCTCTGGTAAATACAGTCCTCTTTTTAAGGCGGATTCATCTCTGATTAATTTTAAACTATAGTTTAAATTCTTGTTTGCAGTGTGAAGATTGAATTCCTGATACTTGTGATGAAATTCTCTTATTTAATTTATACATATATTTAAAAATGTGCATGAGCATATATAAAGTGAAGTTCTAGGACTCAACAGCCAAACTTTATAATAGTTACAGATTTAGGGAAGGGTGGGGTTAGTTTATTTAATAATTAAAGGAATAAAGTTAATTGTGGTCCAAGTCAGTTTTAAAAGGTTAAAGATTCTTCAGTAGCCATAAATCTGAAAGGAGAGAATATATCAACTAAGTGAATTTGTCTTTAAAAAACAAAACAAACAAACAAACAAAAAAACCCAAATAATCCTTTTATTATCATAGCTAGAAAATAACGAACTGGAAAAATTGTCATAATAAAGCCAAGTATATGTGCTGTCACATGCACAATATATATGACCTGTTAGACTTTAATTTAATTTTAGTAACACTCTGACCATTACCATGATACTGGATCAGACCAAATGTCCATCTTGCTCACTATCCTGTTTTGGAGGATGGCCAAAAGATAATGTTCAGGGAAATGTATGAGAATAGCACAAGCACCATCATTAAAGTTTTTTATACTGAATAGCCCTTATAGATTTTTCTATCATGCCTTAACCTTAAGTGTGTGCTACAACACAAGTTTAAAATGGACAGATGCAGACATGCAATTCTGGACTTAAAATCAAATGCTGCAGGTGACTGCAGAAAAGAATCTAATGTTCTAGAAAAGTTCATTGTACATGATGAAAAATTCAGCAACTCTACTCTGGCTGTCAGTCAAAACTCCTCCTCCTCTACATTATGCCCTTAATTTCTAAAATAGCAACTGAATAGGAGTATCTAAATAGATCTTCAGTAAAAATCAGGAAATACAAATAACAAAAATAATCCTGGAGGTTTTGCAATCACAGAACTCTCAAACTTTTCTAATAATCTCTCCTCTCTGAACATCTGACTGCCCATTACAGGAAGCTGTCAATTCACCAGGGCTGGTCTTGGGCTGAATCACTCAGCTGTTATATTCCTCACTCTCTAAAGACCAAAACTGCTAGAGAGAAAACGCTCTTAGAAAACGAGTGGGACAAGTGTTTTATAGTGTCCCTAAAAAGCAGTAAAAGCTCCCTGGTGGTGAGTTAATCACAACAAGGGTTGCACGCAAGTACCTGCAGAGGGCAAAGGCTGTGCCTGAGCCCCTGTGACTCTGTACTCACCTGCAAGAAAGCCCAGCAAGAAGCAGCCCAGCAGCCCGGGGCAGCCCAGCCATGTGCAGAGGGTGGCCTTGCTCCTGGCCATATGGGCACCGGTGGCCGGCTGCTTTTCAGGCTGCGAGGAGGGCAGGCAAGCAGCTGCCTTCCTCCTCCTCCTTCTCCCCCTCCTCCTCCTCTTCCCGCCCTCAGCCCCAGGGCTGCCCCTGGCTTCTGTGTTCTGCCTAACAAACCTTAATCCCTGAATGATGATGATGATACGATCTTCTGAGTGCAATAAAACAATTCCATTTCTTAGTCTCACCCCGCAAGACAGTTTGTGTGTAGCTGTATGTGTATCTCTGTAACAAATATGCATCTAGACTGTGCCCCAAGCAACACATAAGCACTATTTTAAAGGTTAATTTCTACTCATTATCAGGACTTTCTGGTTTTGAAAGATCCTGGTTTAGGCTTAGTCACAATCAGTATTTATTCCACTGGAAGTGGCTAAGAGATGAAGTGGAGGAAGGGAAGACATGTTTTCTCTTCACAGAGGAAGCTCTGAATTGCTCCCCTTTGTAATCCATGGTTACATTAATCCTTGGCAAGTGATGAATACTTAGAGCAGCTCAGAATACAATTTAGATTAGCCAATGGGGACACTTCCAGATGTCATCCAATTTGCAACTGGGAAAAGTTGCAAAAATATTTCCTATATTCTCTAGCTTTTTATATTTTGCATTACAAGGTACTTAGGATCAAGTATCCCTAGTCTAATTCAGCCAAAATCCATCAATATCTCATGGGAAAGAACACAGCTTCAGCCCAGGGAATAGTCAAGATACTTTCATAGAATCATCATATTTTGTACAAACTTACCCTGGCCCTGCACATCACTCCTTGCTGGTGAGTTCCTGTGCGGCTACGTGGGAGCCAAGTCTGATCTTTCTGTAACTGAGGACCTGCCCACCTGAGACTGGTTATATGGCTGAAGACAGGAAAGCTTTTCTGGGAGTCTGGACATGCTCTGACATCTTACCACTCACTCCCAAAAGAGTCCAAAGTAGATACATTTTGTGAAAGAAACATCAGTGCACCAAGTATCAAAACTTTCTTAAATATATTAGGTTGAACTGAAAATACTCAGAAACTGCTGAAAAGACTGGTTAATGTCCTAATTACTTCACTAAGGCTTTTCAGAGATTAGAGGAGAATTACACCACTTGCGTATTCTGCACCAGTCACAGCCACTGTTTTAAGCATACGTCTGGATGTCTTTGTTCAAATGATAAGCACATCCACTTTTGTGATCTTTTTTTCTGTCATTTCCCAACTGCTCATAAGCCATCACAAATTCTGAACAGCAAGGACTTTTCACACTAACATCTCACTTGACATATACGAACCAGATGGAATTCCACCTACAGAACTTATAAAGAACGAGCATATTGATGTATTATTAGCATTTATATAGCACCACAGGTGTAGGACTGGCACATAATAGACAGTAAAGTGACAAGGGCTTTTGGAAATTACTATCTAAATTAGAACTCCCATGATGATAACATCAGTGGAGGAAGAAGGTAAGAATAGCAACAGTGAGAAAGTATGAAATGTATTTATTTCTATGCCTATGTCTTTTTAAAGTGATTAAGGCATCAGCAATGATGAGGTTGAATGATAGCAGCAACCAAGTGGCTTCTACCACTTAAATAGAGACCTAGTACTATTAGTTATTAGTTGTGGCATGTTCTCACATTCTGTGAATTGACCACCAGTGGAATATATTATGTTCCATTTAAATGAAAGTATAACTATACAGTATAAGTCTATGCCTTGAATCACATGCTCTCCACAACAGGAAAGGGGCAGGAAAGAAGGTGAAAAAGCTCATGGGCTGAGATGAAGACAGGGACATCAACTGCCAATTACAATCATAGGCAAAACAGACTAGACTTAGGGAAAAATTATTTAATTTATTGGAAATTAAAATAGACTTGGGTTGTGAGAAACAAAAACAAAAATTAAAATGACATCTTCTTCTGCACCACACACAGTTTTTCCAGCATAACTTTACTTCTCCACTCCCGACTCTATGCCATAGAGCTGCCATGTGCAGACACAGGAGATCCTGGGATCGGGCCAGATACCCTAGGGTATCTAAAGTGTGCTAAGCACCTCACTATAAGCACTTGAATTATTCTATACAGAGAGTGTTCAGTTCCTAATAGAAAAATATCCAGTGCCACTTGGAAGCTTGTGGACTGTCCGAGACCTCTAGACAGAGCAAACCAGTACAGGGCAGCATTTATATCACACCCGCCCTGCTCTGGCGTAGCAGCTACAGGTGAGGTGAGACTTCTCACAACACCTAAAATGTTGTTGTGAAGCCACTAATCCTATAACTGAATCCTGCTCAGTGAAGCCAGGTGTGAGCTAACCGTCCACAGACAGAACCAGTGGAGTTCCAGGCACTACAACTGGAATTAAAATAAGGATTCAGTGCAATTCCAGATACTTTAGTGTAGCCCACCCGGGTATGCATTTTTTCCCAGGTCCAGTATCCTGCTGATTTCATGTGTATTCATAGGATATCAGGCTTTCAGACAGACAAAGTGGCACTAGGTCAGTATGCTAAACACCTGAATTGCTCCCCAGTGTTTAGACAGCACATTTATTTGTCTGAACCTTCATGCTGGGCTCCACCTCCCCCTGCCCCAGCCCTGACAGCAAGGAGGAGGCCAAGGAGAGGTGGGGTGGGATGGGGGCGATGAGGGTCTGTGATGTGACCACAGCCCCGGGTGACAAGCTGCCTCCTCACGGACAGGAGCAACAGCGGGTTCTCCGTATCGACCATTTTCCTCAGGGGCCCGAGTTATCACCTGTCCCACTGCATTTGAGTAAACCTGAGGAGCAACAGCCCTGTTTCCCTGGGCAGCCAAGGGCCGGGCCGTCCATCAGCCCCTGGCACCCCTCCCCAGCTCTGGCGTGGCTCTGTCACAGCAGGCAGAACGTGGGCATGGGCTGAGTCACCGGGGCCGGTGACATGGCCGGCGCAGGGCGGGTATAAAAAGGGCTGCGCAGTGAGCCGGCCTAGGCTGGAGGCGAGCTGGTGGGTGAGCAAAGGCTGAGGGGAGAGGACAGGGAAGAGGGCAGGGAAGGGGACGGCTGGGCCACAGGCAGGGAGGCAGGGGTTGCCTGGGGTGCAACAGTTAGTGGCTGCTCTGCCTTTGCCTTCTAGGGCTGGACGTCCCGAAGAGGACGTGACCAGACCGTGGCGAACCCCTCTGCTCGGCCACTCAGCCGGAGAGATTGGAGACTTTCTGCAAGGCCACTGACATAAAGATAAGGAATCAACTTAACAGCTGGCTGGTGGCATTTGGGAGCTATCTGCTCCTGGCACCAGCCTCAGCAATGCTTTGGCCATGCCACGGTGAGCAGCAGGCTGGTGGTGGGGTGGGTGGCATGGCCACCCCCGGACGGGTGATGTGGGACTGACGGCCTTGGCCTGAGGCTGGGAGAGCCCTGGGCAGGGTTGCCCGTGGTCACTGAGGGTGGCTGCTCCTGTTGTTTGTACATATTGTCTTCCTTTTCACAGCTTCAGGCCCAGACAAGGACACAACTAGACCCTGGCACACTCCTGTCCCCTCCCTCCTCAGCCACGCAGCTGGAGACTTCTTCAGCTTTCTGCAGAGCCCTTGGCCTGAGGACAAGGAAACACACACAGCCCCTGTCGACACCCCGCCACAGTCGCACGGGCAGCTGGAAGCTCCCCGCAGCCATGGACAAGGGGAGCTCTGCAACACCCACCTTCTCTGTCTGAAGCGGACCTCGAATTATGGTTTCTGACTTATGAAGCCATTGGCTGGCTCTTCTGGTTTGTGTGGGGGCTTTGGGAAACCGTTTGGGCTTTTCCTTATGATCCTTATTTCCTTATTATATTTATATATACACGTGTGCATGTGTATAATATCTAATGTGCAATATATACACATATATCAATACACATGTATTTATACACATCAAGTGTATCTATGTATAAATAAAAATACATTTATAGTCACTTGCACACTCACATATACACATATATATACAGAAATGTCTCCATATACATCTGCCTGCTGTTCTGTATGAGCATTCCTGATCTAAAGGAGGTGGGGAGCCAATCGGAGGGTGCTCTGGGACCGTGTAGGTATGACAGCTTCAAAACCCAGTGACTGGTCACTCTCAGAGCAGTTTGGAAACACACGGGATCTGCACCCAGAGTCATGTCCTTAAGTCAGTCCAACGAGGAAGCACGTTGAGGGCATTCTGTGTGACACAGGCTCCACACAGACCTCACGACAATGTCATTTGCTGTCAAGTGCACAACAAAGGTGCTTTGCGCTCGATCTCTGGTAATTTTCATCTGAAGCCATCAAGGAAAAACTTTTCACTCTCGTACCTGTTCTGTCTCAGAAAACATCCATTACCCATGGAATTCCTTACAGATTCACATACAGATGCGCATGGCTGCTATTCTGAATTTCTTAACTGAAATATTACCACACATTGCATTGAATCCAGGGCAGACCGTTACTGAAGATGTTGCTCATTTGTTCATTACATGGATTTAAAAATCCCCTCAAATTCTCAGAAATGTAGAAAATCTAAATCCATGTCAACAATACAATACTGGTATTTTATTAATATCTTAGTAACTTCTCAAAATCACAGTAGCATCTTCAGTTTTACCAAAGTATATAAGCCAATTTTTATATTTCATATGTCTCTGAGTAGATCATGAGAGCTGGCACAGCATGCTTTTAATTCCTGTGTAAGGGACTGTGTAGGGGAATCTTATTTACTGCCTTTCCAGGATGCTTTTTATTATTATTTGAACCAATGAGATTGCTAATTACGCTCTACGACACAAATAAAGAACACAATTAGAACACTGTCTAGAGGAGACTCTGAGCCTTAAACTTGTTGGCAATTTAACACCCATGCTGTTGTTTCCTCTCCTCCTGCTCTGATTTTCTGAGCCAGACCTCTCCCGGAAATGTCAATGGATATAAAGGAAGCGCATAACACTCATGTTCTGCAAAGTCGAGTGTGACTTTCTCATGTTAATCACAAAACATTGAGAAAAAATACTGGCTTACAATAGGAAGAGTATTATAAAAAGACCTGTCATAACGAATGTCAGTCCTGGTGCAACACATCACTTGGAGAGGTTGAAGTAACACCAGGACAGGTGCAGTGAAGGGCTCACTGGGTTAGACCAGGTTAGAATGGAGAGCTGCCTTTTCTCAGTCTGTCATCCAAAGACACAGTGCAAATGAGAGACTTTTGAATTCAGTTTGAAGAAAAGCTCTTCCTCGGAGTTGAAACCTGATTCAAATCCATACAATTCAAGGTTAAGGTATTCACATGAGTCAGTATTTTATGACCTATGATACAAACCCAGTAAAACAATATATTGACTTGATTACTTTTTAAAAAACATGAAATCAGGTCACTGAATCACACTAGGGATGCCTGATCATTGTTTTATTTCCAGCATGGTCTGTGAAGCTGATGTCTCATATTTCTGTGGTACCAAGCTGGGGTTTCACAGTCCTCCTATGACTTGTGGACCTATTTTCCCTTACTAGTGATCAATATTTTCATATCATACTTGTACTGTATACCTCGATAGATGTGCAGCGCTGCTTCACAGGCACTGAGTGACATTCAAATGATAAACTCTAAAGACTGGCTTTTGTGCATTTCCGTGGACCACATCTTTTATGACCTAGAGTACTAAATTTTTGTGGGTTGTGCTACAGACCCTGAATATGCTGCATTATGTGTTTGTTAAAAGTACTAGTAAACCAGCACAGAGTGGGCCAAGCGGGCACTAGAGTTCCAACTCATCTCACGTCATTGAGACACGTACAATGCCAATTTCTCACCTTCCAAAACAGGCTGCTTATTTCAGAAATCAGTGGTGAGAAACAGGTGCTTTTTAGGCACAAATCAGTCAACCTGCTTCAGACATTGATTTTGCATGAAACAAGTTATACCTTAGAAGAGCTTTTTTCCTTTCCTCTGGTTATTAAAGAGTGCATTTTTCACATAACTTGGATATAAACATGGTCGGGTGAAATTTGGTGAAACAAATCCCCTTCTAGCAGATTAGGAGCAGTATAAGGGGCCTCACGTTGCATACGCCTAAATCATCCTAACTTATTCTATCCTTTCTTCTATTTTTAGTTCAGATTAACACTTTGTTTTATGCTGAACTAGAGCTGTTCTTGATGAATGTTGTTGGCCAATGCAAAATACTTAGCTCCATTAAAAGAAGTGTCTGCTCAGAATTTGCTGTGATCTCTCTGCATATGCAGGCTTCTAAAAGTGATGCAGATATAAAATGTTGTGCTGCTGTAGAAGATTTCTACGATAGTCATGAAGGTTTAGTAACAATGAGCTATATTCACAGTTGTGGTGGGTTGACACTGGCTGAGGGCCACAGTCCCACCCGACTGCTCACTCACTCCCCCTCCTCAGCGGGACAGGGGGAGAACAGAAGATGAAAATGCTCACGAGTTGAGATAAAGACAGGGAGATTGCCCACCAGTTACTGTCATGGGCAAATAGACTTGACTTGGGGAAAATTAATTTAACGTATTGCCAATTAAAATAGATTTGGGTAGTAGGAAACAAAGACAAAAATTAAAACAACAGTTTCCCCACCCTTTTATCCCAGGCTGACCTTCACTCTTTCACTCCTACCACCTCTAACACCCCCACCCCGCCCGGCACAGGGGAGCAGGGATGGGGGTTATGGTCAGTACCTAACTGCCCCTCTCTGCAGCTCCTTCCTCCTCACACTGTTCCCCTGCTCCTGCGTGGGCTTTCTGCCAGCTGCAGTTCATTCAGGAAATATCCAGCTGCTCTGATGTGGGGTCCTCCCCAGGCAGCTGTGTGGAGATCTGTTCCACCACGGCCTTGTCCGCAGGCTGGGGGGCAACACCCGCCCCGGCACCTGGAGCACCTTTTCCTCCTCCTTCTCCTCCTCTTCCTCCACTCACCTAGGCGCTCACACTGCTGCTTCTCTTTTTCCTTTTTTTTTTTTTTTTTTTTTTCACCTCACTCCTCAGCTCTTTCAGCATATTTGCCCTTTTTTCACTATGTTTTCACAGAGGGACCAGCTGACAAGCTCAGCTGTGCCTGCGGTGGGTCTGTCCTGGAGCTGGCCAGAACCAGCTGTGTCCAGCCTGGGGCAGCCCTGGCCTCTCAAGCTTCTTCAGGGCAAAACCTATCCAAGCCATATTGAAATTAGTGCTCTTCATCAGGCATAGAAAAGTAATGAACTTCACACACCAAGCAACTGTGCCATCAACTGTTTTAAAGCAAGCTGGTCTCTTTCTGACAAATTGTTATAGTCTTACTACAGTGTCGAATAAAAGCCACATTCTGAAACCTTCTATTTTCATAAATTGGAATCGTTGGGTTCCTTCCAGCCTAAAATTCTTGTAACATTTACTCTTCATTCCCAGCTGCATAAGGAATTGTTTGCTGCTTCTTTGATGGACCTGTTGGAGCAGCTCCAGTTTGGGCCACAGATGATCAGATGGATGGAACAGCTCTCTGATGAGGACAGGCTGAGAGAGCTGGGGTTCTTCAGCCTGGAGAAGAGAAGGCTCTGGGGAGACCTTCTTGCAACCTCTCAATACTTAAAAGGGCTTATAGGAAAGATGGGGACAGACTTTTCAGTAGGTCCTGTTAAGATAGGACAAGGGGTAATGGTTTTAAACCAAAAAAATGTAGATTCAGACTAGATATAAGGAAGAAATGTCTTGGGCTGAGGGTGCTAACATACTGGTTGCCCAGAGAGGTCGTAGATGCCCCATCCCTGGAGATATTCCAGGCCAGGCTGGATGGGGCTCTGAACAACCTGATCTGGTTGAAGATGTCCGTGCTCATTGCTGGGGGTGTCAGACTAGATGATCTTTGGAGGTCCATTCCAACCCAAACTATTTTATTCTATGAATCAGCTAGGTATGGTGTGGAGGCCAGTCTAAGGAGCAACATTAGTACATGATAGTTTTTGTTTTCCCTTTTGGATCATACCTTTTTTATATATAGATATTTGAAATTAGTTGCTGATACATTGAAAAAGTATTTCCGAGCTATCATCTCATCTACACACTTCCTGGGAAGATGAGAAAAACAGCATATAAAGGCTAAATAAATACCATTTACCCATGTGAAACAGAAGTTTTAGCTTAATAACAAAGTTTATAGATGCTGGTGGCTTTCCTTTTGGAAGTGGGAACAGGGTGCAGCAATCCAGATACTTCTTAAAGAAGGTGGAGAGAGAGCAGAGAACAGCTCGAACTAAGTTTTTCAAAAGAAGAGAAGGGGAATAAAGCTACCTCCTCCTATACCAGCTTCCATTTTCCTCAGTGCCTTGGCTGGAAAAGGGGTTTCTCTTTAGTATTGTTTTGATGCTCCTTCCTTGACCCTCTCTTTTTGTTTCTGTATCTCCTTTACTTTCTCCTCTTTGCTGATACTGTAAGTTCCAAGATATGCAGCACAGGGAGTGCAGTATCTAACCCGCATGTTCACTGTTTCCTGAGTCTTGGGACATGTCCTAAATAATCCACTACACACATTACTAAATCACAAAGCCAAAGTTGTAGTATGTCTTACAACTGCTCCTCAGAATAAGAGGAGCTAGAAAGAAATGAGCCTGCCACGGTGAGATCTTAAGTACAGCATGTCTGGAATGCAAAGTCACGTCTGTGAGGAGGTGTAAGAAGCTGATCCAAACCAAACCTCATCTCACTCCTAGCTGTTACTGAGCATCTCACTCAGCAGCCAAGGAGGGAGCTCAGAGCTATTAAAACAATCAGTTTCCCATAAGACTCATATCTTTGAGTAACTTCATGACCAAATCAAAACCATGTCTATTCTTTTATGTGGGGCTTTTCCTGCTAGAACTAAGCTATTATCAGTGTCTGATACTGCTAAGACTGCTTCTCTGATAATAGCTGGGTATTTTATTCAATGACGAAAATACCAACCTTAGCCTAAATTTAATCAGAGTTAAGGCTTGAGGTTGATGGGAGATAAAACTGGTTCTAAGTAGTCGCAGAAGTTATGCAGGATAATCAATGTGAAAAGATTAGGAAAAGAGATTTATTTTCTCAAACCAGGTGACAAAACCAAAAAAAGGTCCAAAACACAGACAAGCTCCTGAATACAGAGTACCTCTTCAAATTAATAGCACTTTTAAAACTAGCAAGAAAACTGTCAGTTACTGCACAGGCCTCATATTGAGCTCAGGAGTGGTGAGAATTGCACGTTGAGAGCAAGAACAAAAGTGAGGTTTAGATGAAGCTAGAACTTGCAGATAGCTACATATATTCTACTTAGTTTAAAAAAAAAAAAAAAAAAATTAAAAATATGCTGGTAAACTAGAAAAGCTCCAAAAATGGCAAAGATACACATGCCAAATGCAAAAACAGTACACAATTGTTTGTTGAATAGATAATTATGCTATGCAGCCAATTAGCGAAACCAGCAACAGTACAGAAAAATACATAATACACAGAATTAATGTCAGGGTTTGTATATTTTATATTGTATCTGCTCAGCAACAGGGCCCCAAAGGTTAATATCTGCAGCAAGAAAGATACGCTAATGTTGTGCTGCTTGACCTATTGTCCGACTAAAGGTTGAACTTGTGTCTTGAGAGATCAAAGGGCCCTGGTTTGTGGGAAAGGCAGCTCTTGCAGGAAAAATGGCAACAGGGGAATGCTCAACTGCAATCTCAAATCAGTAGTTTCCTTCTGACTCTGCCAGTTACACAGTCCCCCAGAACTCTCTCACGGCCTCTGCAGTCCATCTGACTACCAGATTAAAAGGGTAGTAGATTTTGATGCACTGAGTTGCAGTCTCTGTTATCTTGAACTTCTGAAGTCTATTATCAGATTCCAGCTAAAATAAAGTTTACATTGCTGGCAGCTGACAAGTTCAGCTTGCAAACTTTGACCCTTTCTTCTACAACAGGAATGTACCCAGTGAAGCAGAGAGTAAAGGACTGTGCATAAACCAAATGATATCTTTTAGCATGTACAAGAACTTTCTCAAGAATACAGAGCCAGACTCTTCAGTGGTGCATGACAGGAGGATGAGAAACAACAGTCATAAACTGAAACAACAAGTGGTTCTCTCTGGATATAAGGAAAAGCTTTTCCATCATGAGGGCAGTGAAGCACTGGAATATGTTGCACAGAGAGGTTATGCGATCTCCATCCTTGGAGATTTTCAAGACTAGACTGGATAAAACTCTGTGTAACCTGGTTTGACCTTGGAGCTCACCCTGCTTTGAGCAGGAGTTTGCACTAGAGACCTCCTGAGTTCTCTTCCAACCCTATGATCCTATAATTGTGTGATATTCTTCCATTCATTCCAATCTTTGGCTCTGGGGAGCTGCTGTCCATCAAGTGAAAGAATATAATTTAATCTGACTCCAGCTGTGAGAGTTGGCTGCTCTGCTCCACTACGGTATTGTCTGTAGTCCAGCAGCACATTTCAAACTGATCATACAAGCAGAGATGAGCACAGGTCCCATCTCAGAGATCTTGACTACCAGGGATTGCTCTGTGTCATCTAAACTAACACTTGAAGTAAGATCTGTGTCAACAGCATCTTAATTTAGAAATTATGCTCCCAGGTCAACAGACTTTCCAGCCAAATTAACACTGTCATTGCTGGCTTCCACACACAGGTATGGTTTAATTTAATTTGATTTAGACTCTTAGAGCATAGGATGGTCATTGTATGAAGTTCTTTGGAAAATTCTGAGAGCATCCAATTTGTGATCATATGATAGGAAGTACTTTCTTCAAAAAAATACAATTTTCATTCCACTTCCAGAGGTTTTCATGTAATTTCTCAAATTAGAAAGGATGCCACAGTACCAGCTAGGTTCCTCCCTCTGCTTGCTAAATACTTCTACAGCTCTTGCCTTGTAATTAAGTGATCTGGTGCTGTATATAAATAATGACTCCATGAGTTTGTCTGCAATAACTGTAAAAGTCAAATGAGTGTTTGCAAGGAGCTGTCAGGTATTAGGATCTTAGTTCTTCCAAGTATAAATTACAGCATATTTAGAACATAAAAGAACCAAAAGTTGATTATAGTAAAGAACTCTGCTAATGGCCATCTCTAGCTGAAAACATCTGTAGTTACATGAACAACTGTCTCAGGTTAGATGATCAAGAAGCTGTAAATTCAACATACTTAGTTGATTTTGGGTTTTGTTCTTGTTAACAACTGGGGTTTTTTTTTGTTGGGTTTTTTTTTACCTAATTCAACAGCATTTTTTGGACAATTACTATGAAATAGTATCAGAGCTTGAGAGCCAAACCAGTTAATCTGGTCAACAGCACTTGGCAGTGTTAAGAGTGAATTTCAACTCACTATAGAAGTCTAGAAAAAAAAAGACCTAAATTCTACTTCACTGAAAGAGAATTAGCACACAAACCTTATCTTGACTTCTTGTATAGAAAGGATTTCACACTCAGGGCTTGAGTTAGCTAATAGCTATGCCTCTGAGATACACTGGCAGATCTAACAAAAAATACAGATACTTCAAAAGTAGTTATTCCTGTATCTGGCTTCTCATTGTCTGCCTTTCCTTATCAGACTGCTTCATAGCATACACCTCCTTGTACACGTGACTGGTTCAGACAGTTTTTGAGCTCTAAAAATCAACTGACTGGAAACATTTCCCAGTGCAGCTACGATGTTTGCAAGAACATATTAACAGACAGTGCTTTTAATGCATATTATTAATTTCACCATTGTTCCCCGTTTATCTGGTAGGAACTAGAGTTCTTCATTTGTTGGCATGTCAGCTGGCCTGATTTTGTTCATAAATGTGAAATGTGACCCTTACTTCTTTTTATCCTTGTAAATGAGTCATGTGAAATGACATTTCTCAGGGCATACACAATTCTGTTTGTTTGTCTTTTTTTTGTTTGTTTGTTTAAAACTCATAATCCTAGTGACACATATAGGAAATGGACAGTTGCATATGCATCCCTGCATATATTTTGACATACAGCTCAGACACCCGACTGCAAATCATGTAGCTTCAGTAATTTGCTACATAGGCTTTGTCCTTTGCTGTCCAGTAATGACACCAGCCACTTCTGCCGGGAATAGTCTCTGAGGAGCTGAAGGCTACAGTGGCTCTATCTAGACTCCATAGAAGACTGACAGTAAGAAATGATTTAGGAAGAAGAACATTCTTAGCAGGATTTCAATAGAAGTTCTTGAAGACTAAAAAGCATTTTATTTTAAATTTAAAAACTAATCAAGAACTTTAGAATGGGCCATAATGTGTCTAAATGCTAGGTGTGGCCACATCTAGCTTGGGGCTTGCTGGACTAGACACTTGTGCTTCCTTCCTCACAGAAACGAAGGAGCCTGAGGTAGACACTTATTAGCACAGACAGCTTACCATGGAATACCTATCCTGCACACCACCCGCTGTCTATTTTCCCCTTTCTCAGCAAGCCCCAGATAAAGATGCAAAGATGTCTTAGCAGCTCTTGAAGAAGCTGTTGAACAGACACAAGTCGCAGCTCAGTATACCAAGGAAAAACAGAACAAGTGCTGGTTTATCTTGACAAATTTGTGAATTGGGGTGGGTTTATGTAGTGGGGCTAGGAACATCCAAGATGATGCTGGATAAGCTACAGGTAAGAATCACTGTGGCTGTCAGCACCAAGTGTTAGGCATCTCAAAATTGAGATCAGAAAAGCTTCATGCTGACCAGTGAGTGGGGAAAGACTCCCACTGACAGCACAGAGCATGGGGGCTTTGACCTAAGATCATTTTGATAGGAGACTGGGTTAGAGCTTGGGGAAAGAGCTGGAGTGAGTCCTTCTAAAGATATTCTTCTCTTAAAAAATTAAGCAAAGCTCCATTTACTTTACAAATTCCACTACTACAGGTTGTGGTTTGCACTGAGCAAAGATGGGTCACAAAGCAGACCCAGATGTGGGCAAAGGCACTGGACAATTTGAATCCCACCTTACCAAAACATCATGTAAACCATCATGCTACAACCAGCCTAATGGGCACTTATTCTCTTTGGACTAGTTAGCCTTGACGTTTTTGTGTGCAGGGGAACAGAGTCAATAGGAGAGAACTTCTGTTCTTATATCCTATTTTCTGCAGTGGTTAGGGGACACGTATTTTTTTTAGAATGGATGTTGCTGTAGTTTAAGAGTGTTAACTATCTCCGTATTTTGTGAGGTTCTGGGCCCTGACATTGTATATTATCTGCCAGAGATTTAAAAAGTATGTCTTCTGGACTGAGAGAAAAAGTTGCTGAGAAAGCTTACAATTCATATAGGGAAAGATATCCACAATTTTGGAACATGGTGTTTCAGTTCATCTTCCTTAGCAACAGAAGAATACTCTTTTTGTATCCACCTGGTCAACAGAAGCTGTTTATTGCTGCTCCCCTCTACATGGTGGATTTGTGTTATCATTCCCTTGATTGCTGCAGACAAAATCCTCTAGGTTAACCTAACTGATGATCTAAACTATCCTGGATAATTTTGTGAGAGGTGTCTTATAGACTGTCATCATGAATTCTCCACTGCCAAAAGGAGCAGAGGAGTGGCCAGCAGTGATAAAGTAGATAGTAGTCTTTTGAGCAGTCTGTCCTAAGTGTGAGCTGCACACCAAAATCAGAAAAACAGACTATACAGAGATGGTAATAATTTGGAATCCATTCAAACTAAGTACATGATGAATTTTATTTGCTTCTGATTGTCTTAATATTAAAAATACCTTGATATGGAAGAGGCATAGCAGGGGTAGATATTGGATAAAAGGATAAAAGAAGGTCTTAATCTCAAAAGACATGTTTTGTGAGATGATTATACATCTGACAAGATGTATTGCCTTGTTTTTACACTGGTGACTAGAAGGCTTCTTGCTTAATTTTATTTGTAAACAGCTGCAAGACTCAGCATGTGAAGTGAAGAACGTCATGGATGAGTATTCTGGGCTGTCTGCCCAAAACTTGTTATGATCATTATATATCCTGCACACGGTATGTGACAGTTTTCCCATCTTCATACATGAATCTTTGTGTAAAAGGAGAGCTGAAAGGGCTATCTTGGAGTATAATTATTCAACTCCAAGGTAAGTAATAAAAAGTCAACAACAAAATTAGAAACTGATAGAAACAGGAAATGACTTCTGGTTTCCTGATGCACAATGAAGACTCTTGTAATAATCAAGCTAGCAAAATTCAAAGCTCTGAAAATAAATCCAGTGATTAGCAATTCTTAAAGTATGAAGCTGACAGAAAACATGAGATTTTTTCACTCTCACTTCAGAAGATACCAAAAGACTGAGCTCTCTGAATAGAGTAGATTACCTTGTTAACACTGGTAAATGCAAATAACATGCCCAAGTGGGATGCAAAGAACACCATTTTTTTCTGGTGTTCTTTGTAATAATCCTCCTAGTGTTTTTAAATGCTCCATTTTTAAGGCTTCTGCAAACTGTCATATGTAGTCTTCATTGATGATTATGTTGTTGATATTCAAGCTACTTCTTTCAGTGTTTCTGCTGCTGCCTGCACAGTGAAGGCTGCAATGGAAATCTGCCTCTTAACTTCTTCCCAGGCTTCACGTTGATCTGCTTTGTTTTTGATGTCAAACATGGCATCATAGATCCCTGGGAATGATTCTCCTGCATACTTGTTATGGCTGCTTGGAGCAAAGATGACATGTCTGTAGGAAAGTTGAGGGGGAAAATAACCACAATTTTCTGAATTAGGAAAATAAAAAATTATTTTCTGGATAAAAGTAATCTGTTTCTATATTATCTGTTAAAATCTTGACACTGAAGATGTAAATAAATAAGATTATTGCAGTAAAAGTACCTATAATGTATGAAGCAAGAAAATAACATAAACTACATTATTCCATGTGAATTCCAGAACTTTATAGCTAAGGAGACTTGAGGTAAAGCTGACTAAAGTATTTTATTTTCCCTCTTTTTAGATGAAATGGAGAGATAAAAAAAAAAAAAAAAAACCAACAGCTTTTTTTTCTCACAGATATACTCTGTCTCCAACAGATACAGGCATGCTTTGAGGTAGGAAAGCTGATGCTTTAGCAAGAGGCTGTTCTCAACAAGTTTTTAATCACAAGCTATGAGAGGCAGAAGGGTTGTAGATCTTCAGTTCTCCATCTACAGTTACTTTGTAGTGGAACCTTTTAGTGGGAAGATTACTGTTCTGAATTATGCAGACTGGTAGAAGGACCAAAAAGTTAGACTTGACTATTCTGACTCTCAAACAAGATTTACTTCTTGCAGTGGATGAAAGGAGTACTGAATTTGCTTCACTGCTGTTAAGTACTGCATGACTGTTCTACTATAATAGATCAAATTGTAGATATTTTAATTATACCCTATTTCACTTTCAAATAACTTCCTAAAGATTCTTTACCACTGAAATTACTTGAATTGAGTCCAGGGCCAAACTTTTATGTATGTTTAGAAGTCCAATGCAGTCAATGGAAATGGGTTTACTGATCTGGATAGGCTTCCAACAAGACTTTTCCTCATTATGTATAGTGTATCTCACTGAAATCTTCCCTAATGTTGTTTTCCCTTTTCAATCTTATCTGTCCTGTTTAATGTACTTTTTACCATCTTGAATAAAATAATTACAATTCCATTTAGAGATCTATAAGTCTTAAAGGAATTCTCATGGAGTACTCCAAGCAGAAAGTGAAAAGTAAGTCTTTCTTACCTATAGAATGGCCTGCCAGGTAATCCAAGAGGATCGATGAAAGCCCTTTCTAGCAACATGAGCTGATCATTTAGTGATCTGACAGCAAGTAGGCTAAAAAGAAAACAGGAATACGTTAGCTACAGAGTGGTTGGCCCACTGTCATCTTGTGCCCTAATGTACACAACTCTGGATTTATGAAGGACAGTAGATCCAAGATGTTGAACTTAAAAGTATAGCCCACAAAATATAGCCCATGTCAGTTAATTTGCACAACAGAATCTTGCTGCTCTGTACTGTGAGACGATTTGGTTCGTAACCCTAAAGTCTCTTAAAGCCATTTTAAAAGGTCAAGCAGTAGTGTCAAAGAAGACAGAGACTTCCAGGCATTCTCACTCATGTTACATCTTATTCCTTTATCTCCCTTTCATTAGGATGCTTAGGCAGACCATTTTCTTCTTTTGTACAACAGTTTTCTAAAGACTCTACTTTCCACAAAACCAGCCAGCTGCAAATTACTTCAATAAAATCACATTTATTTTTATTTAAAACCACAACATCTGAGAAACAGGAACCTTGTGATGTTAGAATCATCTTTTGAGTCATCCAAGTATTGTGTTTTTCTGACAGCAGATTGTAAATTCCCTAGAGCAGAGACCATCTGTGTCTGTGTGCTTTGAATAGCTCTGACCATACTAGTGATGCTTAACAAATAAAAGAACTGTGAAGAAGATTATACTGAATATATTTGGGTTTAGTAGTTTACATGAAAAGTAACTTATTGTAGAGCTTCAAAGGCATTCATCAATAAAAAAAGAGTAAAATTTACATCACAGTAAGGCTGGAGTAACTCTACTACCATCAATGAAATTGTTTCAAGTTTACATTGGTATAAACGGAAACGGAAACTGGTTGATGGAATTAAAGCTTAGATTTAGGTGATCCATCAAAGAAACCATTTTGAAAATGCCACATATATGTCATATATCATAAATGTCATATTTTACATAAGAAATTATTATTAAGTCATTTATCTTAAAAGTCACTGACATTAAAAAGATGGCTTTTATTCTCACTTAGTCTTCCATAAGGGTAAGCATATGGCTAAATTAGATTCTTCACAAGAAATGTAACATACACATATGTACACACAAAAGGAAGACTGGTTTGTCATTTTGGGCATTGCCTACAAAGAAAGTGCAAATTAGTCCAGTGCAAAATAGGTCTTTTTGCATAGGTGGTGCATAGAATTTTTTGAAATCTCATCAAAAAGATTGCCAAAACCACAATAATGGTACAGCTTTTTATTTTTTTTCAATAAGCGGTACCAGTATCTTGAAAACTAGAATGCTGGCAAACAAAGACCACGAGACAACATTTGCTCTTTAATGATAATCCAGTGACAAAATTTTAGGACATATCTCTACTTAGAGGGAGTTACACACCTGAGCTGGCTCTGCTTATGCTAACCAACATTCTAGTCACATCCATGTGTCATCCTGGCATTGCTCCTCAACTAAAACCTGTCAAGAATTGACACTAATTAGCTTGGACACTTTTCAAAGCAGACATGGCTAGATTCTCAGGCTCTGCGGTGTCCATGATGTCCACGAATTCAACATTTCTATACTTTGCTTCCTAGAGTAACCGTATCCTTAAAGACAAGAGTCCATAAGGACTTGAAATGAAACAAATGACTGACATTCATCTGTCACCAAGGTTATTCAGGGGACTAAATGCAAATGAACACTATGCCCTCTGAGCCCTGAGGACTACATGGAGTATTTGACTGGAATAAAAAAAAAGAGTTAAACTTACTTATTGGTATCTATTTGTTGCAGTCTCTCATGAAAGCTAGCAGCAACTTCTGTAAAATTCTTCACAGCTGAAAAGAGAGCATCTGTAGGGAGCAGGAAGGAAGTATTTAACTTGAAATTCTGAAGGAATCATTTAACAAATCAAATTCTTCCAATTAATGCTTTATCTTTCACTGTGATCGTGATCTTTCTGTTCTCATTGAATGAAAATCAAATGACCTCATATTCCTACTGTGTGAAAATTTGCCTTGGAGACAACAGAAATCAGTATTTTTGTAAATATTATCTATTATTTGCTACTTGAAGAATATACAGAAATACCAAAAACTAGAGCATGGATTGCCAGAACCAGACTGTTCAGGTAGGTCCACAGTTTTATAAATCCAAACAACCCGTGTTTTACTGGTATGTCCCTCCACACATACAGAGTTTTGCGAAAGACTGAGTATGTATGTGTACGTGTGAGCGTATGTACATGTACCTGATACTGGTCATTAGCAGCCAAATTCTAAACTGAATAGTATGTCTTGTTGCCAATAAAATAAAGGCTTCTCAGGCAGGAGGGATATTGTGAATCTCTATAACATGAAATAAAATTTTACATGCCAGCACAAGATCCCTGCTGTGGCGTAGGGCTGAACCATTCCTGTCAGACCAAGCTCTGAGGCAAACTTCTCATAGTAGGGAAGGAGATATAAGGAGAAGCTTTTTACCCTGAGGACTGTCAAGTACTATGCTCCAGAGGGGTTCTGTAGTCTCTGTCCTTGAAGGTTTCCAGGACCAAATGGGATAGAGCTCTGAGCCACCTGGTCTGACCTCAAAGCTGACCCTGCCTTACGCAGGCTGACCTAGAGACCTCCTGAGGTTCCTTCTAACCTGAATTATACTATGATCCTATGATGAGTGTTGGACAGAGAATTATCCAACACCATAAGCTGCAAAATAGTGTGATTTTTTTAGGGACCAAGACAAAGATATCTTGTTGCCAACATCGGTGAGCCACGCACAGGTGGTTCAACTCTAAGTGTTAGCTCTACTTGGCAGTCGCATAGTCTCTACACAGCCATACTAGTGACAAAATATTAAAACTTCAAATTTTTGGAAGGTGTGGCTCTTGTTTTATTTACTGTTCATACAGCACAAGGTAAATACCAAGTCATGACTAAGAAATGCATTAAGATAGGAAACTGCTAGCATTAACAGAAGAGGAGTGTGATGAAAGGCTGTACATACCAAAGGAAACACTGTATGTTGCCAGGTCCTCTTCATGATTCCTTGACAAATTATAGATGATGTGAGCATAGTTGCTCACAGCTGATGCATAATCTCTACAGTCGAAAGGAAGCACAACGGAGTTGGCCAATTCAAACACCAGCCCTCCCCGTACCTGAGCTATTGTCAGATGATTCTTGAAAGTGGGATCATAAAACCTCTCCACAATTTCATAGGTTTCATAGACAGTGTGGTAAACTGGATAGCCGCTATATTTTTCTACATTCTGAAACAAACCCAAACAAACCCATTATTCATCTGTGGATACTTCAGCTTTGCTTGAAAACCTTTGCTGTGAGATTCAAGGCACTGCAAAATTAAGTGTTCAGGTCACACTAATCCTGTGTAGCCACTATAGACAGTCAAATGGGAAGAACGACTCAGTGGTGGCTCTCTTGGACATCAACCTATGATGAATGGTCATTTGGAGATCTCTCTCTCCACTGATCATGTACAGAGCCTGAAGAAGAATGGACAAATAACTTTTAGTTGGCTAAATTAAAGGTGAGATTGTTCTTCCTCTCTTTGCTTGGATCTCAACAGTCATTCCTGTTTGTGTCTTTACATATGCTTTTTCAGAGGAATAGACCGCATTGAATAGATTGTTCCTTGAACATTTCTCAGTCTCACAATATGCTCCAGAGTCCATCCCAGATTTTCCATAAAAAATTAACCATTTTGATTTCAAAGCTTCAAAAGTTATTACAAATCATTCAAAAGTCATTGTAAGTCACTTAGGAGCCTTCATCAACCATAGGTAATGTTAAGCACATTCACTTATCCTGAGCAAAGGTCCTTTTGTCTGACTGACACCGAGTTGACTGTTCCTATTTATTAAATATTTGTGTTGTGGTAGCACATAGAGTTCTAATAATGAACTGGGGCTCCACTCTGACACACTGAACTGAACTACTCCAAAAAGCTGGCAGTCTAAACGGCTCAATTACAGGTGATATTATTCAGGCAGCTACAGGGGAGACAAAATTACAAAGACACAGACTTACCCAGTTTTTACTGTAACGTGCTCTGCCTGAAGCAATGCCAAGACGTTGAAAAAAGACTTCAAAGTCATTGCCAGAACCCAATTTATTTATTCTTTTAACAAGAAAGAGGAAAATGCCTTGAGTGACAATACTTCAAGTATAATTTTAGTTTGCTTCCAAGTACTGTGGCAATTATTTATTCTGCAGTCACAGTCACTACACAGTCTTTCCCTAGCACTCCCTTTCTGTCAATATGCCATGGAGTGCCTTTGACCCCTACATGACATGCACCTTACCAGCTGCATTCTCAGAGGAGCAGAATCATCATTCTCAGGGTCAGAGACATCAAACTCTCAAGAGGAGAGTTTAACTCACTGTCTTTAATCACTGAAAAGACTCAATGACCTTCCTCCTGATGAATTTCCATTATCCCAGGCTCTCAGCTCAAAGAAATCACAACAGTACCAGCGTGGCTCCAAGGACTAGAATCACTTTGAGATTCTGTACAGAAACCCTGGTAAATGTGAAGGACCGCGCTGTAAAATCCTGCTTGGTCTGCTCCCCAGACACCCAAACTCAGAGGCCTTCCAGGAGACTGGAAGCAAGTGCAAGGGAAAGTGGCTCTGTTAGCATCTTTTGTGCCTGCTTCTGGCTTGTGCATACTACCCCATTTGTCTAAATCTCTATAAGCTACATGAACACTATACTTTTCATATAGAAAGCCTCCTGTTCATGCTACAAAGGCAAGTTCACAAAAGTGTTGTACAATAGTGTATCAGCTGCAATCAATATAACTCTGAAATTTACACCAGTTGACAATCACACCATCTCTTTTAGGTGCTCAGTTTTTCACATGGATATTTCTTTACAACCTGCACTCTACAAGTTATAATAATGATTGGTATATCATTTATTTTCTTTGTCACTGACCTGGGGACCTCTTTATATTCTGTTGATGGATTTTTTTTATACCAGCTCTCATAAAGAGATTTTCCTTCAAACCCCTCATCAGGACTTGGTATCTAGAAAAAGTAGATTGTAGAAGAGACAAAGGGTACAATTTTAAATGTTACCAAGCAACAAATCTATAACCTGTCATCACATAAAGCCTGTGGCTTTAGGACAGTGAATAAGTCACAGCCTTAAGTCCCTCAACCTTTCTGCATTTCCATTTTAACATTTCAAATGCATAGTGTTTTCCAGAGGAATAGTTTATTTGCTAAAAATAGATACTTTTAGATGGAAGAAAACACAGGGAAAGAAAAACATTTCACATCAGTATTTACATTCTGATATTTATTTATGAGATTTTTCGCTATTTAATTTAAATATTCAACACAAATTCCCTCACAAAGTCAAAACTTTTTTTTTTCGCTTAGGCAGGAAATGTCAAGTTTTCTGTGGTTTAATTCAAAATTGTTTCTACCTTGTTTTATTTCACAAAAGTTATTTTCATGGATGCAGCAGTAACTTTAGAAGGGCAAAGTGCACAGTACTTGCTGTTTATGTCATCATAGCTGCAATAGAGGTATACAAATCATGATCATCCTAAAATTCATCCCTATCACTCTGACTACTTTCTAGATTACTAAGCAGGTTAAACACTGTGGCTATTTTTTTATATTTCCTTTTTATTTGTGAGCTGCTCAGTTTTTATTATCTTTAATCTAGTAAAGATTATTAATATATCTTCTATTATTAATTATCTATATCTACTATCTAAGAATTAGTCCACAACAAGTATCAAAATAAAACTAATATATTTGGAGTTTTGGTCATGAAGCTAATTGTTCATAGAACAGCATTAACAGTGTTAACAGTGCTAATGCTTTTTGCCACAGATTAACTTTGATGGGATCACAGGGGACCTGATTCTTGATCAGCATTCTCTTCAGCCATCAGCTACCAACAAGCTGTGGTTACATCCATTCACCAGCCTTTGTTGCTGCTTCCCAGCTCAAGGAAGGGTTATGCGACTGTGTTTACTGGTATTTAGGTCAACATTTTAACGATGGCTCTTGCTGTCCAAACTGAGACTCTGCTGACCTGATTTTCTGACTGTTCTGAACACCTGCCCTTAGCACAGGTTACCATGGGAACCGGAGGTGATCAGCGCTTCTGCAGTTCAGGACAGAAATATCTTTATCAGGGCACCTAATTTTAACAGAGTTAAACTGTATTTGTTGTCTTTCAATTGCCAGAGAATGATTATACTGAATTACTACTTTTCCTTTACTTTTGTATCAGTCTAATGCCAGCTTCCAAGAGTTAACAATTTATCAAACCTGGAAAAGAGAGATGACTGAATATATACCACAGATGAAGACAGATATAGTAGATTCATAGAATATATATGTGTGTATATAAAACACACACAAAGATGATTAATTAAATGTTCATGCTTTAATACAGATGAACAGAAAAAAAAAAAAAAAAGAGAAATAAAAAGCCTTTAAGACCCATTCTCAAAGCAAGGAACATCTTACATTTAAGATGGTGAGGCTATTTCCTGAGAAAGATCATAATCTTTTAATTCTGTGTGCCACACAAATATGTGAGAGTGTGTCACGGTCAGAGCCCATGACTATCTAACAGGGGACACTGAAGCTGAGCACATTGACCAAATCTGTCACATCATGCTAAAAACAACACTGTAGCAAGCCTAATTTCTTTCCCTGCCTGAAGGGAGTCAGTCTCCCACTACCATGAGCACCCTAGTAGTTGGACTGGGCTGCCAGGTTTGTGCTTGTTTCCGTTCTCTGGCTCATGGCATTTTTTTATTCTTTTGTTCTTAGAAGGAATACTATCATAGGAGGAGTGAAAAAAATCCCCTAATCCTGAATAGCTAATAATTTAAAGGTATAAGCTTGAAATCCCTTTGCAACTCCTGGGAAAAACTCCAGTTACTTAGCTATTGACTTAAAAGGGGTATTGCAATCAGGAAAGAAACATCTGACACCATATTTTACACAGGGAGCCTCATCCAGTAAGTGAGCACTGAACACACAGGCTAAAAATTTCAAGTGATATTACCTCTTTAGTCAGACTGTACACCAGCCTGTACATTAGTGGTGTGCAATCCACTCGTAGTGTGTAGTTTCCTGAAAAACAGGAAAAAGTATCTGAATAAGCAAGTTCTACCCAGTTGAAACCTTGTGCCATTATTTGTTAACAAGAAAGGGACTAGATAGCTACACTCTCTACAAGAAACAAGCTGATTCTCCCTGTAGAAGACTATTCTCCTATGATCTTGACAGTGCATTTGTATTTGTTAGGATGAATTACAGCCCAGTTTTTGGAGCAACCCTTAAGAGCTCTTCCTGTGTCGCTATGCTTATTACACATTATAAGGGGAGAAGTTGACGCTAGAGATTTGCCATAGAACTGCTGACGGGGGGCACAACACTTCTTGTCCCTCCCCACAACTTCCCAAATAGTGTAGCTACTGTAATGGACTTCTTCCCTGAAGCAACAGGAATACCCGAAGGATACTTTATGATTTTGGGTCACAGTTTCCCCCCACATCTACTCCCGAACTAGTGCAACAAAATGATCACACTGAAGCTTTCACTGCTCTCCAAGCCAAAGTGCCTCACAGTCATCTGTATATACCATCACTATTCCTGTAAATCACAAGCCAAAACTATGTACCTTCGATGGAGGAATCTGCATTGATATAAGCCACTCCCCGTGCTTGCAATACTTTGACATTTTCCTATGAGAAAGAGGAAGAAAATGCTAATGAACATTTTTTTCCTCAAAACTATTTTCCCATCCACAGAAGTAACAGCTGTTTCAGGGAAAGACAGATAGTGCAAGGAGTCATATATTCTTGGTATTTCAAAAGGAAACGAGGGGGTGGGAGCAGAGGGAGAGAGGGAGGGGAGGAGAAGCAGGGGCGGGGGGATAGAGGGAAGAAGTGTTGCTTTCTAGTACAGGGTTCTCAAAGATCTGGCACTGTGCAAACTTCTCTTTGAACACTATTGGTTTACCTCAGCCCACTCTGTCGATCCTAACAAACCAAATTCCTCTGCATCCCAGCTTGCAAATATCACTGTTCTCCTTGGCCTCCACCCTGCAGTAAAAGACCATGAAAATTGTATTACAGAAATAAAGACTGATTATTACAAGGTAACCAATGTGAAAACAAATGTCATTGCTTGGGGCTCATCTTTTATCCTGATCTCTGTGGAAAGAGGTGTGTTTAAGGAACTTTAACACCAAATTCTTCACTAACCTCATCTAGTAATGTCTTGCTAGTTTCGTAGCAATCTCACTTCTACTTCAGTATTGTGTCAAATAAAGTATTCTTTTTCTTCTCTCAGGTTTAGTTGCAAGAAAATTTTCTAAAATTTAAAATGCTGAAAAATGAGAAATAATGTGCTTGTGCACAAATTCTTGAAACAAAGCTTTTCTACACTTTTTGTTTTGTTCAATTTAGTACACATTGTATACCAGTGTCTACTTTAACAGAAAAGTGCTTGGCGTGTTTCCGTATCTATTACTGCATTTCTTTGACTTGCCTCCCAAATGCCAAATTTCAAAACCTAAGGAATTCCCTGTAACTTTGACAGATCACCTTCAAAACAAAGATCTTTCACCTGAAGTTCTGCATTCAATTTAAACCCAGGCCAAATGGAACAGGCTCTATTGTCCTGCCTCTATATCTCTACCCAAAGTTTTCTTTGAGGCTACTGGAAACTCTTCATCTTTTGCTCACTTTCGTTTTCACTTTTTTTTTTTTCCAGCTTGCTTTCCAAAGACAGCTTCTCCTGATACCCACAATAAGTGGGAGGCAATGAAAAGAAAACTAAATGTTAATAGGTTTTAAATGTAATGGGTACGCAAAGAAAGCTCCTCTAGCACAGTATTTGAGTTATGTCAGAGCTTCTTTCCATGGGATGTCAGATAGGGAGACAGCATTTGCTCTGACAGCAGCAGAAACTCAGTACAGTTGACATTTGTTCCTATTCTCATGTAACTAGGCATATGATATTTTTAACCATTACCTCCTACGATGTTTGCACAGCTCATTCTCCACACTACATAGACATTATTTATTCTTGAGTCTGTCTCCAAATTACAGTCAAGTACTCAGAATGCTCTCAGTGCTGCCCTGATGAAGTCCTGATCAGTCCCCACCACTGTATCAATTTTGTAGGACCACTGAAACATCCAGTCTGACCAGTCTCAAATATACAGTAACCAACTGCACCTAAATGTCATATCTATTTCAGTATCCTCCATTTTGTGTTTTGTTTTTCTTTAGGTGTACTTTCTCTTGAGTAGAAGCACCTCATATGTACCAAGGTTTTAATTCGGACTAGTTAACAGCTGCAGAGCACTGTGCTTACTCCAGAGATCAGTAAGATACACATTTAATTTTAAGCATATGCTTAAATCCCAGAGAAATCAATGGGCACGGATGAGAGCAGTGATTTTGGTGTGCTTTACTCTTTCATTACATTACCTTTCCTTTTCAGTTTACCAAAGCTCCTCACAATCTCATGAACCACAGCCGCCCCACTCTGAGGATCAATACCACCAAATACCCATGAGTCACGGTGGCCTCCCAGGATGACATATCTGTCTAGAGAAATGAATTATGGAGGTTTACTTAGAAAAAAGTTTTTCCTTCCATAGAGATGTTAATTGGAAGTAATTTCTAATTTTCCATGTAGGTATCAGGCAACAAAGCTTAATAGTTTATAATATGTATTATAGAAAGGCAAAAGACATTTTAAATCTCCAAAGACATTTTTCTGCATTTTCAGTGCTAAAGAATTTGTCAAACAGTATAACTTGATCCCATAAGACTTAAAACCTCTTAAATTCCATAATGTTGCTACTATTGTTAGAAATACTGCAGCTTTACTCTAAAGATAGAAGCATCTTGCCATATTTTACAATAGTGTGTTTCATGGTAAAGCTGATCCACTAATTATATTTGTACAGCACAACAACTCACAACATTAAGGTGTGCTGAATGCAGTATTTCTCTGAATATATATATAGTCAATCATAAAAAAGGTTGTCCAAATCATGATAGAGATGTGATTAATAAGATCAAAGTCAGACTAGATCTCTGTGCTATTACAATATGGTTACAGTTGTGTTTCAGGCAACAGAGAAGAGCTGCAGTTACAAGCTAAATGTTGTATCACTGTCCTAGGGATGTCTACATATCTGTTTTTTTGGAGTGTAAAATCACACTGGTTACAAGACTGTAAGACAGACAAGAAGTCAGTAGTGATGGATATGATGTCTTCAGATGGAATGCAAAATCCATTCCCATGTCAGTAAGGAAGAATATCCACCTAAGAATATTCTTTCAGTTGAAAAGTTAGTTGCCTGAAGACAAACATTTCTGTCTTGGTTATGACTCCCCCTTGAAAATCAGCATTTACAGTGAAAGTGCTGACATACCCTGAACCACATGAAAATCAGTGCAATAAATATTTCAACACCAATGATCATGTAGTGCAGTATTTTCAGAGAAAATATTCCTCATTTTCCCCTTGTAACTATGAAGTGCATGTAGAGGTCACTGCACACTCACATTACACTGAAGACAAATGACTTTACCTGGTTCCACTGTGCCTCTGATGGTACCAATCACATTGTAAATCCTTCTTTTTTCATTGTTGCTATGAATGTGCATTTTCACCTTTCTAGTATATTGGAAAGAAAATCCAAAGAGAAAATACACCAGATTAGACAATAAAACATCTTGACACCTTTCAAAAGTGTACAATATAAATTGCAAAGAAAGCATTTTGGCCAAATTTACCCTCCATTAAACTAAAGTAAATCTGAAAAGATTTCAGTGTAGTTTTTTCTGGATTATACCTGTGTAACAGGGAACAGCATTTAGCCCTTGAAAGCTGTGTACCATTATTAACACCAGTAAGATTTATATGGATAACAAGCTCAGAATGCCAAAGACTTTTTTCTAGCAGCTAGTTTTTAAACTTGTAAGAGTGAAAGAAAAATGAAAACCATCTAACATTAAAAAGGTAAATAGTTCTAATTATCTAGAGGTTGGTGCAAATCAGCACTGACTCTAGCACAGTCAATACTGATGTGGCACCTCAGGCAGCAGAAAATCAGACAACCTGATTTGCATCAAGAGACTTTGTTTATCTACAACACAGCTGGAGGTGCAACGACTCATCCACAAGGGCTGCCTGTGCATTTTCAGAAAGATTTTTTCATGTGGTATGACTAAGACATAGGGAAAAGGTCAAATGGTTTGAATGAAGTCAGTACAATAGCTCAGCCAATATTGAAATACACGGGATTTAGATCTAAACTATAGTTACTAAATCAGTTTAAAAGCAATTTGAAGCAATAAAATGACATTGTAGTTAAAGGTTTTTTTCTGGAAAACTTGACTTGTAGGTTAATACAGTTTTATATAAGGTCACAGGTAAGACCAGAAGCTGGACTCACATGAATTTAAAAAAGATAACAAACAAATTCAGTTCTCAAAAGAATAATCAGTCTCATCAAATAATCTGTCAAAGGCTAGACGTTTTTCAAATTAAACTGGTTCAAGACTAGCTGAAAACTAAAGCAATTAAGTCATATCCATCCAAACAAGATGTAAATCTACTGAAGCTTTGCACTGAGTGCATTCCAGCCCAGGAAATGGTCATAACCAAAGGAATGATGCAAATAACCCCACTAATCTAGCTTTGGTCAAATTCTATTGCTCTACTTGTTCTTCTCTGATCCCGAGTATGCTTTCCTTATGAAACAAAACTAACCTTGTGGAATAATTTGTTGTGAAACCAGGACCAACGTTGTAAGATACATTCAAATTTCCTTTCCAGCTAGTATGAGGTGGTGCATATCCTCCCATATTGCTATTATGAAAACAAAAAATTGTCATTATTAGTTACATACATCTTACAATAGCACCAAACACAAATGAGGAACCAGGAACAACACTTTGTTAGGTTGCACACACACAGAGACCACAGTGATGATTTTTGTCTTAGAGAATTTATACTACAAGCTTCCACAGGAGAATAATCTGTCTTTTTAGCTGCATTAATACTAGCAAATTAACATTGCAGAATAGTCCTGGGCACTGAGATCATCTTGGAATGGCCTACAGCTATCCTGGAAAACAGTGACGGACTCCAAAGTTTTTGCATACAGGCTGCCTCTTGTAAATGGTCCCTGGAACTTTCTACTGCCTTGAACTGCATTTTCAGTTGAATTAGCAGAGAGTAACTCGGAGCATTCTAACAGTTTAATAGAATCAGCAGTTGTCTTTCAGTGCCTGGACACTGTTTAATCTGGTAGCATAGATGGAGTTGATGTATTTCAAAATGTCTAAAATTGGAGAAACGTTATCAGACGTTTTTTCTGTTAACACAAGTGGAAATGCAGTAATTCAGTGGCTCTCAATCATCCATAATTATTGACCTATTCTAAAGGTTTATATATTTTTTGACATGAACTCATGAGAAGCTTAACAAAAAATACTAAGAAGTATGATGGATGTTGTGGTTCTTATTAGGCAATATGTATTTATTGTAAATGAAAGCATGTCCTTTACTATAAATGCATACTTCAGTCAAGCTTTATTCCACAGAACACTTAGAATCATAGAATCATAGACTCTAAGTGTCCTTCACTTCAGTATGTCTTCAAGTCCTTGGTATATTTTTTATATAAAAATACGATTGCAAGAATAACTAAAGTTATGACTTCTCAAGAAAAAAGTGAAAACAAGGACACAGTATTTTTAGAGGATTTATATTTCATTCATAATTATTAAAACCAAGATCTAGAATTATTTACAACTTATTGAAGAGAAATATATAGCTATGCCATATTTGTACACTTTAATCTGCTCTACCATTACTAGTTGGCAGTGGAAAAAAGAGGATTTTTTAACCTATACCTTTATCATTATGAGCAGTTATCCTCATAACAGTGATGACCAAAAAGTTTTAAAGAAAATACAGTTTGGAGATACATTAGACCATAAAAGTTTTGGAGAAAATAGGAAAAATGCTAGAACAGTGTTAAAGAACATCAGGTATGCAAAACCACCAGACAGTAAAATTCTGCCTCGCAGAAATAAATAGCTTTAATACTTCAGAGGAAACCTGCATAGAGAACCAAGATAGATTTTTTTTTTTTTGACTCGGTATTCAAACAGAGGCATCAGACAGAGCAGAATCATTGCTCATGTGATTTAGATGTGAAATTCCTACACAAATACACACCCAAGATTATGTTCACTTATTGCCCTAAACACTTTTCCTTGGTGCTGTTGCCAACCCTGGCATTTCCTGCTCTGTATCTCTACAGTTGATACAGATGATTACTGCTACATTTTTAGGGGAATGAGACACTTGCCAACTCAATCACATCTTAATTTTTTCAGAGAACTTAGTTGGTTTCTCAAGATAATTATGAATTTTAATGCTGTCCTCTGACAAGCTGGTAGCTTGTCTTCATGTCACTTGCATGTTTAATAAGCACGCTTACTTACAGGTAAATGTCTATTAAATCCTCTATAATACTCCAGAGTTTCCTCACTGTCCTTCTATTAGTTCACTATCATAATTTCCTATTTATGCAACATAATACACATGATGAGAGAAAGCACACATCTTCATTTAACAGAGGACAGTACAAATACTATCCCATACAGTGTTTCCCTGGACAAATGAATGACTTCATTTGTGGTCTTTTTCACAAGACAGGTATCATGCCATCCTCAAATATTTTTGCCTTTATTCAAACTGAGAGGCCCTTTATAACTCCAGTATACTTGACTGATCATTACAAATGAACCTTTCCAGATCACTTTGTACATACCTGATATGTAGTAATAATAACATGTTTACCTCCTACAGAGAACCTAATGACAAACATTTCAACAGCTACAGTAGAAACACAGTTCAAGTCTTTTCCGTTTCTTTTCAAATACTGTCAGAACTTTCACAAAACACTCTGCTTAAAATTCCTCATGTCTCCCATACACTTACCGCAGCAATGACTCAGCATCATGATAGCCAATGGGATGAACTGGAATTTTTGGGAGACCTACACCACTGGCTTTGTCTAATCGGTAGGTGTATTCTGAAAGCAAAAGACAGATATTGTCATATTTACAGCTCTCAGAAGGGATCTGTACAGTTCATAGCACAGTCCTAACAATGGAGTCAGGGATAATAATTTAATTTTTCTCGAAGTAAGGCTGACATTTCTTCAGTGATTTCATTCTTTATCCTTTATCAGTGTGTCTTCAAAGAGACACTAACAAAGGTTCTCCCATAGTGTCTGCAGTCATGCATTTAGAGCTGGCTGGAAATTTTAAAATTTTTAATTTTTTGTGTTGAAATGCTTTTAGACCAAAATATTGCTCTCCATGCAAAAGAACTTCAGACTAAATCACAGATAAAGAACAAAAGCAAAGAGGAAGCCCGTAGTCTGATGCTTGGAACATTCAGCTAGGAACTAGAAAATTTCGCCACTTGATAAGAGATGCAGATAAAATCTTATAGACTGGGCTACTGAATATGCTGTTTTGCTGTTTTTGTGAACAAAATGAAGTTTAGGTTTTGTTCTGACAAAGCTCAAATATAAATCATGGGGTTTTTTAGAAATAAGAATCTTAATTTTCACAATGTGGACAAAATTTCCTGCTTACAAGCCAGCAGGTATGGAATAGTTTCCTCCTAAATACAACATTCACAGGGACCCTTGTTAAGGGAAGCAGATGGGGATTCACCTATGAGACCACTGACACTAGCACAAGGAACCAGAAATCTTCTCATGGTCTGCTCCTGCTGTGCTGCCATTGTGAACATGTGTCCTCTTCCAGCTCATACTGTACTGGCTAAAGGCAACTTTCCCCGTCACTTAGGGACTACTCTTCTTGAGGTGACTGCCTCCCTCAGATAGGCTGGCTCAAGTGCTGGCATGAATGGTTGTTAATGCCTTTCAGTAAAAATGATCTGGTTTAGGTGCTAAATTAAACAGCTTAAGCAGAGCTTAAATAAGCAGCTGAGGAAGCATGAGGTGAAGTGATGAACCAGTGGGGAATGGTCATCTTCTCAGGAGCCTCTGCTGCAGCCAGGTGACATGAGTCCCAGCATGAAAGATCTCAGCATTGTCAGTAGGGGCTCTTGTGAAGGGAAAACAGCCCAAATCCTGCAGAAAGGAGAACTGCAAAAGCAAAAAAATCTGTAAGCTGTGCAGGCTGGCTCCTTGCTGACTTACTGATGAGAAACAGGAAGAAAAGACTAGGGCTTCAGTTGTCAAATACTTGTGTCATGATCTCTGGGCTACCTTGGGTCTGTTTGTGAAGTTAAATAGCCCAGCACTGGACTGTGTGTCTCCCTTAACATCTCCTCACTTTTTCTCATGCATCATTTGCAGAAGCGGTCTACTGATGTGAAGTCTAAAGCTGCCTCTTCTGAGCAAAAGAAAGACCAAGAAAAAATATGTTTTGTTCCAAGGGAAAGAACATCCCCATTACCTTCTCCCTCTTTCCTGAAACCAGGCCCTTGCAGCATGACTTCTGTAATGTTACTCACCTTTTGCAGGGTAACCTGGTGTCAGGGGATCCCCTGCCCCATTTAGGTTTAATACATTTCCACGCTGGGCTCCTCCACCTGGAAGGTTCCAGCCATTTGGATAGGGATCTGTTCCTGGGGCACAGTAGTCAGCAGGGTCAGAGTACAGAATAATTCCCTTGGCACCTGCCAATTCAGCATTCTTCACCTGCAAAGCACATCTCTGGTCCCTATCCAGTCCTTCGTAGCTTGACAAAAGAGCTCAAGGGGCAAAATTACAATGATTATTCCTCAGGCCCTTTTATGGTGCTTGGGCTAAGGGCCCATAACTGTCTCATATCAAAAAATTTCCTGAAAATATAGATACAGATATCAGGTTCCATATGAAATTAAGAGGTTTGCTGTTGTTTTGGAATTTAATTAGGAGATAACTGCAGTGACATCCTTCACAGTTTTACTACAATAACCTGAGTTTGTATTCTGTCATCCAGATCAATACAATCAACTATTGAAACATACACATCATGGATGAAAAAAACTGTTCACACTGATGCAACCTTATCTTTCAGTTAGTCACGTATTTACCTTATTTATGTAAATGATCTCCAGAAAGTAGCTCATGATTCAGACTACACAGAAAGATCATTATTGGAGAATTTGAAACTGGTTTTGGCTGTGGACAAGACTAATTCCACGCTGTGTGAATCTGAGTCTTATTATGGCAGAAGGACTGACCTGCATGCTGTTTTTATTAAAAAAAGTGTTCTTGTGCAACTTTATTATTGTATAATACCAGTTGGTAGAGAGTGAGAGAGAGAAAATATATGTCATTCTGACATCCCAATCTGTTTTGCTACTAGATATGACAGTGATGTATAGTGACTGAGTGACAACTAATCCTCAACAGTTTTAAATTTGGGTATTTTAATTCAGAAATACCATAGATTTTTTTAGGAAATACAGTACGTGCCTTCATCCTCTATCCTATTTTTGCACACTATTAGGAAGTTGGAAAATGACAGTATGGTTCTCCAGATTTTATACAGGCTACCAAATTCCTCAGTATATAAACAGTCATTAGAAATACAACCGTAGAAATGAACGTATCATCCCTTTGTCTCAATGAGGGCATGTAATTTCCAAACCACAGGACAACTGCCCCTCTAGATAATAATAACACTGAGGTGTTTGTATTTAATTTTAAGAAAAGATCCATAGACAGCAATACTTTCTTAAATTTTTAAGTTTTTTCCATTCAGATAGTATCTTTAAGAGTGGTAAAAAATTTAGTGAAAATATTATCTGACCCAGAATATGAGTTACATGTCACTTCACTGGTGAAAATGGTATGTATGTAAACCAGTGACTTACCCATTTAAAAGCTCACAGAAGATTAGTCAACAGCATATAAAAAGAGATGGCATTCCAGTAAGGAGATTCAGTGTTTGATACCCTTAGGTAACTGAGAAATACAAATGATAGTCCTGCCCAAATTAGGGTCAAACTAATTTTTGTACGAGCCAAACACACTTAAAATAGACTGTCTTCTTACATCCTTATTGAGGAAATAACTTGAGTGTATGCGTGAAGTATGGACATGATTATGTCCTTTCCTGTGAGGCCATGGAACTCTGGAGAAATCTGTAGTTTAAAAATATTTATATGATAGGGACATTAAATAAACAAATACAGAATTTAAAATAACCTCCATATAGTTATAGTCTCTGCCTGGTGTACAGAAACTATTACAAAGAAACACAATATATGCATCTCAAAGCACAGCTGAACCAATAAGGAAGAACAGTCTTGTTCAGAGTTAGAGTATATTACCCAAGAATGTTAGTAATATTTTGGAAAAATTTATAGTATGTAAATTAATATAAAAATACATAACATTTTCCAACTTATTTACTTTTATTCTGTAGATGTATTAAACATATCAAATATATATGTTGTATCTTCTACTAAAGATCCATCTTTGAACACAGCTTTATGAAAACTGTTATGTTAAAATCTCCAGAACACATTAGGTCAGTGTTTTAGTTTCTTGAAATCAAATGAAGTACAGCACAAATAACATTTTTATATAGAGACATTACCTTATTTCCTCTGAAGATCTTCCCATATCTGGCAATAACAATCTTTCCTGTACAGTTAATTCCCATTTCACGTTCTAGTTTAAAGAAGTCCTCGGTGCGACCATAATTCACATACACCAACTCACCCTGATAGAAAGAGGTAGAATTTGAAACAAGAATGTCAATGAGCATGTCAAAAGGAGTATGTGATCTAGTAAGAGAATAAGCTGGGAACAGTGAGCTCTAGGACTGGCTCTCGGATGAATTCTTTGCTGATCATGAGACAATTAGGTAGGCTAGTGACTTCTAATGAATTTAGACTCCTACCATCCAAAGCTGCCAGACTTTGTCCAAAATGGAGAATGTTAAGATATGACTTCTGAATCAGAAACTTAAAGTGCTCAGAGTATGGCATTTACTTCTCTTTGTAGTCTGTTTAAGCTGTAGTCAGTACTGGACAGATGGAAGTATTTCAGATCCAGACACTACAGTAAATATCAATTGTATTTTAGGCAGTAGAGTAGAATGAATGATGCCAATATCCTACGAAATTCTCAGGACTCGATTCTTATTCAATACAGAAGAAGCTACAAGTGGTTGACTGTCAAAATAAATACACTTTTCACATGAATAAAGTATACTTCACGACTGTATTTCAACTGTGTTATTCAATACTTGGTGTGTGATTCATCTTCCTTAATGCCAGCTACTTAAAAGTTGTGTGCATTGTCTAAGAAATTCCTGTAGTGCTCTCCATAGCCAGTAAAGACCTGGGAAGTTCTCTGAGAACTCAACCTTTCCAGGAGAATTCACCCTAAATCCATTTTAAACACCTATTTTAGAAAGGAATGAATTGCCCTCGGGATATACCTCTCATTGATTATACCTCAAAGACTGTTTTATAGTAAATGACTATAAAAACACTCAAAGCCCAGTTTAGGGAGGATGCCTACAGTTTAGACAACAGAAATTAGGTGACAGGAAACTCCTCCTTTTTCTCCATGTTACCAGACACCTCCAGAGACATCTTTGATTTAATTTCAAAAAGGTGCAAGCTTAAATCTCTTATACCAATAAAAATTTCTGACTAGGCATTCAGGTAGTCTGATATACCAGCATACAGCATGTCCTGAAAAGACTGTGTATGGTCATTTTGACTGTGCTGGTTTCATCAGTAATCTGCTCAAATTGCAATTTCTTCTTAAATTAAGCAAAATTAACTCAGTTAGGATAAGTTAATGAAATAAAAGGGACTATGTTTAAATAAGGTAAACCGTTTCACACCTAGTAAGATTCTGGTCCTCTTTGTTCAGAGAATAATTCATAAACACAAGGATTATTCTTGGGGAGGCTTTTCTGAATTTATGGAGTAGCTTTCCCTCTGAATAAAATCAAGGGTAACTGTACTGAAGTCAAGACAGTTCTCTCAGTCTATTTAGATTAAGCAAAAGGGGAATTTGGTCCTCCATTTTAACATAATTTCTTTAGAATATCTTGTAAAGAATACCTACATTTGTAGACTATTGTATTTTTAATGTCAAATAAAAAAATATTGATTTCAACAGTTTGACTTACATAATCACAGAGCTGTAATTACAACAATTAAAAGCAACATGTGGGGTTCTCATATTCAAGGCCCTTGTTCTACAATGAAGCACAGAACAAGTTAACATGAGAGTAACATTTTATGGTGAAAACCTCTCCACACTTTTCAGGGCTTTTTAAATTATGTATTTGATTAAGTAGATGTCATCACATAAACAAAAGATCACTTTTGATCTTTAGAAGAAGGTTTCATAACTATATCTGATATAAAGTATATAATATGTATTTATAGCATTTTTCCGGATGTTGCAGAATAATTCATATTTATTCAATGTCTAAATTTCCAAAACTACATTAAAAGGTGCTTATTTGAAGATTCTGACAATATTCAATATAGCACATAGTAAATCGGGCTTCCTTAAAATCTTTTAGTATCTCTGAAAATTCTTCATCTTTAACTTTCATTAACAGGGCTAAGAACTACATTGAGGTAATAAATTTCTCATCAGAGCATTGTGACAGTTTTGAGTCATAATTTCCTAGTGATGTGGTGAAATCCCTTATGTTTCTAGAACTATGACAAAATACAAGCTTTTAAAATAAAGTGTGGACTCATAAAATGTCTTGTCTGGGCTCTTTTAGCATAGTTCGAGACCTGAAGCACACTTCTTGTGACTATCATTAACTGCATGGGAGTACTTTTGCAGTCACATAAAAAGGAAGTGAAGAGCAGAGTTTTACCATTATTTATGATGCTGATGTTCCAAACTACCACTACTGTCTGACAGAATGTGACTTCACTGCTTTGTCTTCTTTCTGCTACATATTTCTGTTTGAAAAAGTTTCTGTTCAAAACATATTTTTTTCATCTGACTTTCATTGGAGTTTAGTTAAAATACACCACACAGAAGAAACTTACATCTTCTGACAATCTGTATGACAGATGAGGACTTATTCCATCTTCCATCCATTGAGAACCTGAAGTGAGTGGGAACTACTTCTAAATCTCTGCAGGGTATCACTCTAGCAGACAAGTAGTTACTATCCCACTCTGACAGTATTTAACCTTCAAAACACAGTCACTGCCACTTATTTTTAAAAAGCAGCTGCAGGAAAAAAGTAATAGTCCTAGCAGTGCCAAACTGTATTTCCACAACTCCCTGATTATAGCACTCACCCAGAAAATGTGTAAGCTGCATTCTTGGTCTCTCTCAGTATGAAGAACTTTGACCATTTCTCCCACTTTCCAGGAAGGTGACCTACTTGTGAGACTACAGTTAGCCTGGGATGCAGGTATTTTACAGCCTTCTCCCTTCACTGAACTTGGAGCTTTGTGCAGGAATAGTTTGCAAAATTAATGAGCAGAAGGAGAACCTCCGACTGATGATTGCACTTGGCAAGTTCCAAATCTCTCTCTCCAGAGCTTAGTTCTGGTTTTTAATACAGTGTTTTTTAACATAAAATACATAAACAGGCCTGGGAGAACTCAGAGCCCTGAACCCACTGAGTATTCCCACTGCTGAGCTATATATATGTTCCCTTCTGTGCTGTTTGCGGTACAGGTGCACACAACTGCTCACTGGAGAATGTTGCTGCTAACAACGCTAATTAGGTACCCGGAGCTTTTGTCAAAATACTATGTAATAAGGTGAACATAAGCATCAAATTTGAAAAGACAACCTGTCTTTTAATTATTGGTTTTTTTCAGAAACAAAGTTCCTGTATTTATATAAAATAAAATCATTTTGTAAGGAAGGAAGATGGTTTCTTAAACTTGTTTTGGTTACTTTCTATATCCCATCACTTACTGTAGCTCTCCACAAACCAAATAAAGCAGTGGGGTTGTTCTCTCTGTCTTTGGGGATATTATGTTATGATACAAAGTCTGAATCCATGAATTTTACCTTACATTATGTTCCAAAATTCCCACTGCAGTTCTTGAAACACTCAAAGCTCTCATATCTTAGGGTACAGACTATCTGCCTGGTTCTCCAGCTTTTTTTGAGTATCTGAGGCAAATGAATACAGGATACCTTTTGTTTTCTGGACTTGGACAGCTTATTAACAAACTTCAAAAGGCACGTGACTCTAATACGGGGCTGTGTGAATAAAAGCATTGCTAGCAGGTTTCAAAGACAGATCCAACTTTAAAGGGGAGATTGGACCAGATGACCTCCAGAGGGCCCTGCCAATCTACATTATTCTATGTATAAACAGAAAAGATACCGAGAACAACAAAAAAATTTTCTAATCTTACAAAACATTAATTGAAACCACTAATGGTAATAGGATAGAATACTCCTGTTACACAGGCCAGCTTTATAAAAGAAAGCCCATCAGCTGGTACCATCTGTACAACAAGATAGAAAGAATTAGTGTTAATTTCAGTAACACTTTTACCACCAGCTAGAAACACTAGCAAAAGCCATTTTCAACTGTGCAGTTGCACCTGTCAGTGTGAGCCTTGGGCAAGCAGCATTTTTAAAATAGACTGTTCATTTGGCTACATAAATGTAACAGTCTTATTTGTTCAACAAGATGGGAAACAATAGTGCATAGCCACAGAAATATCTGGAGAAACTTATAGCAGCTGACAACATTAAATATTTATTACCATAATTTTTTAAGGAAAAAGTAAACATAAAATCCAGTTCTGACTCAAACTAGAGATAAAAACTAAACATATATGTATGACTACTCAGTTTGAACATTGTTCCATCTCAGAACTCAGAAGAACATCAGAGCTAGGACATCTTTCCTACTGATGACATGTCAGGTTTTGAACTAAAGCCTAAGATCCAGGAATTTCACATTGTTCTGTATTACTCTATGCTATTCTACACTACACTATGGTATTCCATCTTTATATTTCTGTTATTTCTATTTATGTCTCTATTTCTATTTCTGTTTCTACTTCTATTTCTTTTACTATTCTTCTACGTTACCTCAGGCATTCCTTGGGCTGAAAACGCACTGTAGGGTGGCACCACATCTCTAACAGTCTCATATCCTGGAGGAGGAGGCTCAGATAAGGATGTGTTAAAAATCTAGTGGGAAACAAAAGACCTTAAAAAGTAAACCAGGCAATATGAAAAATAAGTACTGTCTATTCAGGCACACTTCACATGCATTTGCAGTTCAAAGGACTCTAGTTTTAGAACTCTAAATGAGGAATGGCCAAAACACTGGGAATCCTTTCCAGTATGCAGGTTCAGTGTTTGACCTTGCAAATCCCATCTCCACTCTTTACACAGACTCCTGCTTAAATGAACACAGGGTCCCTTAAGGTGGTCTCAGTACAGCAGATAAGAGCAGGTTATATTGTAATGGTAAAAAACACTTGCATTCTGCTCATCCCTGGAACTTCTATGAGCACTAGAACTGCTCTGTGATGAACTGATGTTACCTGTGTTAGTACATCTCGAGGCCTGATCTCTAATCTTCAAGAAACTGAATTTAGCACAATCACTGATACTTTATAATGAATCAGTGCAAATAATGATGACCACGGTTGCTTTCCTCTTTCTAAATAACAGAAAAATTGTAAAACAATTGAATTAGATGAAGTAATTCTCCTTTAATCTATATGTCAGTATGCTATATGAATCAAGGTATTTTTTAGTATTTCTAGTGCATACATTATGAAACAAAGGTACCAAATACAAAAGCGAACTGGAAATCCTGGTTTCTGTGCACTTTGGATTGGGCCCAACACCATTAACAGAGCAGAGGATAGCTTTCCCTCCCAGTCTTCCCAGGTGTATAAAGGTTATTTTGTTCCCTGGTTGCAAAAACTGGTGTTTTCCGTACCTCATTTCCATGCTCATCAATTATTGAGATGTAGTTGGGCTTAGTGTCATCAGGGTAAGAAAGCAAGACATCATAATGAACCAGCTGAACAGAATCCAAACCAAACTCCTTCCACTCAGCTTGGACTTGCTCTGCCAGATGTAGATTCTCCTTTGTTCCTGCTAGGTGAGGAAGCTGTGTAAAATTGCTAGAGAAAAAGAAGCAATGAGTCAGGATCAGGCATCACAGCTCATAATCAGAACTCCTCTTAGTCCAGCTGAAAATAAACCTCCACAAGATGACCTGATGTACCCAGGCTAAATAAGGACTCAGACTCCTCTGCATTTCTCTTATACAATAAGTTAAAGTAAAGGGTTTCAGTCTGTCCTGTTTAGCACAGGTGTTTGTATCTTCCTTGCAGCATAGATTAGGAAGAATGGCATGATGACATCAGCTGTTGGGCCTATCATTGCTTTATTCATCTTCTGGGTGATCTTAGGCCAATCACTCCTTCGTGTAATGAGACTGATCTTCCTTGTGAAATGATAAGAAATGAGTATCATTATGTATTCTTATGTATTCAATTTTAAAATGTGCATAACTACTCTGATCCCTACTTTTAATTAACAATTAACTGGATATTCTCCCTGGATTTCACTATTTTAATTAATTTTGGCACAAATACTGATTTATCTAAAAGTTCGCTTTGAGTATGTCTTGCTGGCAAATAAAAGAGAGTGAGTTCACAGTGGCTTACAGACAAGGAACAGAAAAACTCAACAGCTTGTGACTTAGAAGTCATGTAGCATCAACAACAAGCAGTGAAAGATACCATAAATAGTAAGCAACCCATAGTCTGAAAAAAAAGATTGTCCAGATCACTGAGAAAGCCCAGTGGTGAAGTGAGCTGAAGAATCTCTCAGCTGCATGAGGCTGTCATCATGATGTCCTCCTCCTGTCATGACCATGCCATCAACATGTCACAGAAGCATATGTTGCACTATCTGGTGTTATTAACGGAATTTGGATCTTGGATAAGGAAGGGTTATAAGATTGGAAAAAAAAAATAATTCTTAAGTTTGCGTTAGAAAAAAGCCATCAAACAAAGCATGTGAAAGAACTATACACATAGAGTAGAATAGAATAGAGTAGAATAGAATAGAATAGAATAGAATAGAATAGAATAGAATAGAATAGAATAGAATAGAATAGAATAGAATAGAATAGAATAGAATAGAATAGAATAGAATAGAATAGAATAGAATAGAATAGAATAGAATAGAATAGAATAGAATAGAATAATTTCAGTTGGAAGGGACCTACAACAATCATCTAGTCCAACTGCCTGACCAGTTCAGGGCTAACCAAAAATTAAAGCATGTTATCAAGGACATTGTCCAAATGCCTCTTAAACATTGACAGGCTTGGGGCATCAACCACCTCTCTAGGAAGCCTATTAAAGTGTTTGAGCTCCCTCTCAGTAAAGAAATGCCTCCTAATGTCCACTCTGAACCTCCCCTGGTGCAGCTTTGAACCATTCCCATGTGTCCTATCACTGAATACCAGGGAGAAGAGCTCAGCACCTCCCTCTCCACTTCTCCTTCCCAGGAGCTGTAGAAAGCAATGATGTCACCCCTCAGCCTCCTTTTCTCCAAACTGAACAAACCCAAAGTCCTTAGCAGCTGAATGCTGCTGGATAAAACCATGTTCCTCTGATAATGTCAACATCTACTACCAACACTGTACTAAAAGTCCCTGTTACAGTGACAGTACCATTTTCTGGGTGACATACTGAACCAAGAGCACAGTTGTGTGTTATTGTTAGAGCCAATGGCTTTTTTCTGTAAGAGTTAGGCATATTTAAGTTTCACATTTTCATTAAAATTTTACTTATGCAATAACATTCTCCTGTATTATATTTCCATTTAACTGAGTATTTTTTTCTTCATTCCCTTTTCTAATCTGTTGACTGCTTGTACTGGTAGTTCTGAGTAGTGACTAAGTATCTGACATATTTCACCACAGAACTGGCCCTGTGACAGCAAATGAGGTACAATGTTTCCTGCTGGCATAGAGACAGTTTCGAGGGCAGAAAGCAGTCCTTTTACAGAGCTGTTTAACAACAGTTGACTTTGTAGGAGCCAAAACACAGGTTATGACTGTAAAAAATCCTATGTGTTCAGTTTTCAATGTTTATATAGTTCAGGACATAACTGTTACATAGTAAAGAGAATGTACTTTACAGCTAATTTATTTGCAATAGTTTATGGCAAGTGTACTTAAAATGAAATCAGTGGTATTGCCACAACCTTATAAACTGAAAATGTTTTTTTAGCAATTTAGTTTTGTAACAAGATACAACTTCATGCTATGTAATCAGGCTGGGAATTTAAGGCAAACTCAAATTTGCTGATTATTCCTAAAATAACTGATACTCTAACACTTCGTTTACACAGAAAGTACATTTCTATCAATAAACTATGACTTCTGGTCTATTACAGACTTGAATAAATACTTTTTTTAACAAATACTACACTCTGCTAAGAGAAAAATAATCTGTTTACAAGATCTCTAAAATAAATAGATACTAGTACATCAGCTTCCTTATAGTTAAAGCTTCTCAATTACAGACATTAAGAAATTGATTACAGTAATTAAATTGTAATAGATTTTTAAAATATATATCTATTGTCATCTCCTATTGCTTAAATTTTCAGGAACAAGGATTGGCATCTTTGCTTCTAGGATTTAATAAAAGAAACAAGAGCATATTTAAAAACACCTAATATAATGGCTAGATGGAATGAAAAAATTATTAGGAAAATAGTATGTTCTTAAAAAAGACTCTAAAGCTTTAAGACTATTAGATTTATTGTTATGAACAGTCTAATCAGATGACTAGCTGATACGTACTGGGTCTGTTCTAGCTATTCACTGTCCAGAGGGAGAGATCTTGGAAACATATATTTCTTCATGAAAGTGAGTACAAGGTTGGAATGGTGACAGATTAACACATAAATTTCATCACAACATGACAAAGTGTGAAGGGAGAGTAGCAATAAGGTATTAAGACCTAAGCTGTAGGAAGAAGTAAAGGCTCAAACGCTGGTATGATTTCTTCTCTCTTACATTGATGTACTTCACTATTTTCCATTTAATCTCTCCTGATTAAGTTCACTCATACAGCCTAATTTGAAGTGAATGATTCGTCCATAAAAAACAGTGTAAGATAAACACTGTTGTAGACTGAAGAAGGACACATAACAGAAAGGCTGAACCTCTGCATCATTGTACATGCATTCAACAAATCCTGAGCAAAAGCTTGGCCAATTTTTAATTAAGTACTGAAATTACTAGCAACTCTTCAACTGTTTCCAACACAGACAGGAATGAGAGGAATTGAGATGGACCGTTTTGTCAATCACGACTCACTGGGACACATTAGATAAAACCTATGGCTGACAACTTGTATACCATCCTCTGTCGGGTGGCAGCCTTGGGCTGGTTCCTGCTTTAATTTTTTTTTTTTTTTCTTTTTCAGACTGATTAGTCTACACATTGCTTACTAGAGAAACTCTTTGATGTTTTCAGCTTTCATTTCAGCCATAAATGCCGCCTTCATGTCCTCAGGAGGACTCACAGATGTCTTCTTTTCTGTAGGTGTTGCAAACCAGCCTGTACAACACAACAAAATACAACAGTAAAAACACTATTGCAATATTCCCATGACACACACCATTTCTTTTTGGTATCACCACAAGATCTTCACTGTGTATTTTACAACTGTTTTTATCTCAGCACAGACAAGCAGCCACAACCTAATGGAGGCTGCACAGTGATGGCAGTGGCAGTTCCCCACGTAGTAACATAACTTATTTACCTAGGTAGATATTGAGGGGAATAAAATACTATATTATACTTATTCATCACAGTTACTTTACTGTAGATGCTAAGGAGATATCCATCTTCCTTTAGCACCAGAACATCATGCTGTCAGTCATGTCAGCCGTATCAGTCACCTCAGTAATAAGGCAGCAGCTTTACAAAAATGCACAGAAACACAGACACCCTTTGTAAGGAACAGATGTCTTGTAACTCCTTTCTCACTTTCTGGTCTGTCTGGCTCTTATTCTGGAATCCTTCCCTTACTGTGCAGGCATTACCAGAGTAAGTGATGAGAGGAACACCTGGCTAGAAAGAAAGTGTTTCTGACATCTGTTTTTATTTTTAAGTCAGAGACTGGACATATTCAGTGCAAATGCAGCAGCAGCTACATGGGCACTGCAAATGAGAGAAGTGGTGGGGAGCAGAGAGCAGGTAACAACCTGGCACTGGCAAGGCACTGATGCAGCCAAAGGCTCTTTCCACATGAGAGTGGAATTCAGTCAGGGCTTCCCAATGGCACAAACCCCAAGTACGTACCAAAAGGCATTTCAAAATACAAGTGGCTCTTTTGTTTCCCTTCCTCCCCCATCTGTGAACCAAAGAGGAGGTAGGGAGGGGAAATCTCCTGCGGCAACAACCCACAGGCCTGCCTGCTTGAGCCAAGAGGGAGGTGGGATATTAAATTAAAGACTATTCCACCCCTCTTATCAGCGCTCATCCAGCCCCATATTTATCTTCCCACTTTTATGGTTTGGGCTGTTCCAACGCAACAGGGTTGAGAGGCCCGTCTTCTGTGCCCTCCTCACAATCGCAGCACCTCTTCTCTTCTCCATAGCATAACTACTTCATTTAAAAGGAAAACGAAAAACAAGTAGAAGAGACAAAGACCCCCTTCTCATGCGGAGGAGCTGGAAATCCCAGGAGGGGTCGGTGCCTGCACCTGCCTGCTGTGACGGGCAGGAGGGGAGGGCGATGTCCGCCGGCCGAGCGCCGCCTCACCTCGGGCACCGCCGGCACCAAGCCCCGGGCGCAGGAAACCCGCCTGCTTCTTCCCCCCAACCCGATCCTTCCTCGGCCGGGCTCCGAGCCACCTCCCCTGGATGGAAGGGGCAGGGATGGCCGGAAGACCCCCCCACACACTCTCCCCAACTCCGATCGGAGGGAGGGTCAGTCCGCACTGTACCGATGAGGAACCCGAGGAGGAAAAGCCCCGCCGCTGCTCCCAGGGCGACAGCCCAGAAGCGGCCGCTGGATGCCCTGGGGCCGGCCGGCTCCGTGACGGCGCCGAGCGAGGTGCCCATCGCTGCCGGCCGCTCCGCGCCGCTCCCGACAGCGCCCGCCCCGCCGGCCGAAGTCCCGCGGCGGCGCGGCCCGGCCCGCCCCGGAGGCGGTGGAGCTGAGGCGGGGGCGGGCGGCGGCCGTTGGTTGCGGCCCCCTCAGCGGCTGGCGGCTCAGCCGGGCCGCCTCACACGCACCCCTGTAAGGGCTCCGCGCTCCCCCACCGCCCAGGGGTAAGGCGTCCCGCCATCACACCCCGGCGAGGCTGGAGATGTCGGAGCCCGGTTGCTGAAGCTGCTGCCCGGGCGCTTGCCACTCTCTCGCCGAGGCCTGTCAGGTCCAGACGTGCCCACCTCCCCTCTGCCGTAACCCCTCTCTGCCTGCATGTCCTAGGCATTCCCGCCACCCCATATTTCTTTTAACTTGCTACAAAGGGTGGTGAGGAGGTAAAGGAATGATCTTGACACCTGGCTCGTCATGGCTGTTCTACACAGCACTGTGCTGTGCCGTCCTCCACAGGGCACACGCCAGAGTGGGCAACACTAACCTGGCAAATGTGAGGGGCAAAAGTGGTAAAAGCCATTATTTTAAGAGATATATTTTATGAAATATTATACCCCAATATCCAACACTCTGGAAGGCTATAAAGACTTCAGAGAGGAATGTGGCCTATGGATTCATTTACCAGGAGGTAGGCTGATGACCAGACATCTCTCTGCTCTTTTTTTTTTTTTTTTTTTCTTCCAGTTTACAAAGGTACAACCCCAAAGAGTGCGGGTGCACCCCAGCTACTGGCTTGAGGACAATCCTCAAACTGTACACGCTTGACTTTGCTGGAGTCTTTATTCCACACCTTAAAATCTCCACAATATGGTTTTGGAAAAAGCTCTTCATTCAGTTTGGTCATCACATTTGGGAGGAGGCTGTACCTTTAGGTCCATGAACAGAGAGGAACTTTGCATGCAGAGGTAACGTTCTGGTCTCTACACAGATTTTCACCCTCAGAACCCTTGCTTGGGTGCCAGCTAGGAACAACAGCTGTTAATTAAGGCATGAGGTCTGTATGTTGTGTCCATGTCCACATACAGTGTGGGCAGCCTGTTCTCAGCAGCAGGCACAAGCACCCTACAGGGGTGCTCCTATTGCACCACACTACTTGCTGATGCGGACAAACCCAAAGTCTAGGATGAATTCCAGACACTGGACTTTGATCTGCAGAGCCCGTTGCACTAGGAAATCTTTGTACAAGATCACTAGATGAGCCCTGTGGAAAGCAGAAGTGTTGATTGCAAAGAGCAATACACCAGTGACACAACAGCAGGATGTTTTGAAATTTTATGAGACAAAAATAACTACCAGTGACCAGACAGATACTAAAAAAAATGCCAGTCCTGTCTCCTACTGTATACTATACAACACAGTCTGGCCCTATTGTGCAAATGCCCCGCTTTTAATGATACTCTGAGCAGGGTAATCTTCCATGTTGTCAGGTCAAACCCAGATGTCTGCCAAGTTACCCTCAGAGTGCCGGCTCTTGTAGATACCATTCTGGAATGCCCAGCTCTCGCCTATAATATATAGGGAACCTAAGTTTGGAAATGAGCAGAGTAGAAGGTTGTACCCCTACCCAGCAGTCTACTTTCCTTTCCCATTCTGTACCTGGAGGGGCATAATGTGCCTGTGTTCACTACTCTACCACTACTTATTCATAGAAGCTGAAATCAATGCAGTGTTTAAGTTAAATGGGCTGAAGAATGGACATGTCTTCTAATATTCTGAAAAATATTAGTATGTCCAGGGCACCTTTGGGCATAGGAACTTGGAAGAGATCCTGGATCAGCTAATTTCTGTTTGAAGCACTTAGAAATTACGTTAATGAAGCACCATGGGACTAGGTGCTGAGCAAAAGCATATTTTATCTCTTGATTAATATTCCAGAGGGATTTAATCAATCCCAGTGGTTTATGGCCACACTTATTCAAGTAAAATAAGATGGAAAGGAACAGTGAGGAAACTGAGATGGGAATATGGTCAAAAGTTTGGTGCTATTCAGTACTCTGAAACTAATTGACCTGCTCACACCACTCAGAAGCTGTGAATTGCTGCTTTCAGATGTTTTATATATATTCTTCCAATGTGCCTGCAGCTTGGATGGGACATTATGAATCTTAACTACACAATAGCGACAGTCAAAGGGCATAGGAAAGCTTTATTCAAGAACAAATTACAGTTATGACAAATGCATAAAATGTTATGCTTGTTTCTATACAGACTTGTATAGGTCACTTAGCAGGCAAAGCCATTTCACTAAACCAGAAATGTTCAATAAATGAAATGTAGGAAAAATTAATGGTTGTCCTCCCTCTATGCTTTAATGGAAAATCTACTAATCAAAGTACTATAAGTTTTTTTTCTTATCTCTGAGCTGTGAGGAATGTATGAAAAAAAAATTTTTTTCAAGTCATCCACCTGAAGAAACAAACTCACTGTTTTTTGAGGTGGAAATCTTAGGCAATGTTTTGGTTAGGATTATCCTTTTACATATCATCTATGACGACACGGTTTTCCTTAGGTCCAACTGAAACTAATTTCATGTGACTATTTTAGGTAGGATCTATCCTTGCAAGGTGTTGAGCAACCTAGTTGTATGCTAAAGTACTGTTCAAACACAGATACAAATAGATCAACTTATGTGCTACTTTCTTTTGATATACCTGCAGGTTTACTATTTTATTCTTTGATAGCCCTTCAGCACGTGAAAATGGTGTCACGTTAACTTACTGCAAATAAGGCTTACAAATATTTGTGGGGAGGGTTCTTGAGGTACCTACTAAATGCATGCTGTGACTTCACTCAGGTTTGGGATTTGGGGTAGGGAGAAGTTCTCTCCGTGTCAGTTTGTGCAGTAGCCTTTCATTCCTCTGAGTCACAAAGCTAGTTTGATAGGTGATTGGGACAGGAGCTTCCAAACTCTTTTGGCTAGAGCATAAGGCGAAGAAGGTGAAAGCAGTTAGGTCACTTACAACCCACTGGAGGAACAGCCAGTTTAGTGTGGAGGTAACACTACTGTAGTGTCTGAGGACAACTTTTATAGCTTGACCAATAAAGGTGTGTTTGCTTATAGCTGCCAGTCTTTGTTATAGTTTTAACTGTGAAAGAGTGGATGCTCAAATGCAGAGTTCTGCTGTGGAACTGGAGTTGGTGACAGGCTGGCTGAGAGCTTATGTGCCAGGCTTCGAGGGGAGGCTAACAAGGGGACTTCATGTGGGTCATCTCCAACTGAGTGGTCTCTCAAGATGTGAAAATGGATGAAGTCTTCTTTAAACAACTAGAAGAAATCTCATAATCACAGGTCCTTCAGCATGGGAGTGGGTAAGCACTAGAGCAGGCTGCCCAAAGGTGTGGTATATAAATTATTGGAACTTTTCAAAACACCTGAACACCCTGTGTAACATGATCTAACTTGCGTGCTAGCTCTGTTTTGATCAGGAGTTGGTCTGAATTGACCTCCTGGGGTCCTTTCTAACATTTTTCTATGATTCTGTGATTTTAATGGAGAGCTGCTTGTAAATTAATATGCAGTCAGCTTCGTAAATGTTGAAGTCTGTGTTTCTCTGTTATAAATTTGCAATACAGATAGTGAAATGAAAAGACTTGCCTACCTCCCAAGGGTTCTGTAGGCTTAAATCATTTATGTTGAAAAAAAGTAAAGAAATTCATGAGTTTCAGGTCTTTATTATGCTATAGAACCACTCACTAATTAAATTTGAAATGTTTCTGATGGAAGTTATTGTTACATGCTTCACGAGTGAATTAAATTAGATGTATTGTTGCAAAGTGTCAATAGAAGAATAGGAAATAAAACTTAGAAGACTTTTCACCTAGAAAACTTTTCTTACACTTTATTCTAGCTTCATATTTTCAAACTATTCAAAATACCAGCTCACACTTTTTACTCATATAATATAAGGCATGTAAATAATAAGTAGGTTTATATGTTTTTCTTTCCACTGCTATATACTCTTCTCATCATATCTTCAGTAGAAATTGCATAGATAAAACTTTCTCAGGGGCCTAGAAATCATGCTGCTTTTGATTTTCACACCACCGCAGTGCTTCTGAAACATCCCATTCTGGGAGGTGCCACATATGCCTATGTATTGGAAACAAAATTTGAGCTTTCTAAATATCTTTCTCTCTATAGGTCTCTGTATAAAGAAGTCTACATGAAGCACAGAGCAATGATAAAATTCAGTGTAAACAGCACCTCCCTGATTTTAATTTTTGGTAGTCAAGTTTATTAGCTTTCCATGTTGGGTTTGTGCCTTGTTCCTATGCTGTGCACTCAGATATCTGTGGAGTATTTACATTGCTGTGATAACAGTCCTTCTGCTGAGGCTCTGGTGACTATCAAAAAGAGCAGCAGTGGCAGGACTGCTTTCCTACTGTAATGGCTCACTCATTTTGTCCTCTTTCTCCCTTCTGAGTTCCTTTTGTGTCCTCTTTTCTCCTCTCCTATCTCTTAAATTTATTCAAGGGAATCCATTCTTATGCCCTAGTGAAAATGGTAATGAATTGGCCAAAATAACTACCCGCCCAGGTCTCTTTTCTAACTCCCTTCTGTGTTGAATGGTGACAACAGTTACTCTGTCAGAAATAATTATGCTTCCATCTTCTGGGGCTTGCTAATGAAATGCTGGAACATTTTAGCTTCTGCAGAATTCATCTGTTTGAAGAAGGGAGTCTGGTTACTCAAATAGTACAGCATTTTGGGATAGTACATTGTAAAAGAAAGAACAGAAAGGTACTGTGAACTTAGTATAGAGGCCCCTAAGGATCTGTGCTACACATGGAAAGACCTGAGGTAATTCTGAATTGTAACAGAGATCGTCTCAGTCCCAGTGTTGCAAGATAAAAAAGGATAAAGGTAAGTAAAGATGTCTTCACTGATTTAACAGCTTGCCGTACTGAATGAGGGAGATTTTGCTGATTACTCCTGCTGTTGGCTTCACAAGTCTGTTCCTTCCCGGTTGTGATGCTCACTGGTCTGCTCAAGAAC